TAAAAGGATGAATGGAAACTAGCGGATGAGTGGAAACTAGTAGTTTTCACTGCGATTGTGCATTCACTCACCACAAAAATTTTCCCTTGCATAACCCACTAGCCACAAACTTTGCCGGAAATATGGCATTCTTGCAGTCAAACAAGTATCCTGAAGACAGCGGTGTTTTTATTTATTTAAATACTGTAGGTAGAACAGTATATCAACCACCTATTAAAATTCTATTTGTCGTCTTTTGGATTACCACTGTGAGTATTATCTTCATCTATTGAAGCCAGAAGAAAGTTCGTAATATATTTGATCTCCGGAATATAACGTTAAATTTCCCTCAAAAACTGACCAAAGCTTGCAAAATTTGGTGAAAATAATACTTATTTAACTTCAAGAGAATAAAACAGAGAAGCGAAATAGATTTGTTTGTATACTGCAAAATTATAGCCAACAGAGTTTATGTAGAGGTATTTCTTGGATTTTTGTTAGATTTCTGTGACCATTTTAAGGTCCGTAATGACTGCAAAAATTTTGCTACCTCCCGATTAGGAAATTTGGTCACGAGAATATCACTCTGTTATCACGTGCCATAATTTCCCTTTTTGGAATCACACAATCCTTCTAGCACGGCTGGACTCATTAAATGAGTTTCTAAACTACTGAAGAGAGAGCAGATACAATATAACGTTGACTTTTACAAACGCGAAACTGTACTTCCAGAAAAATAATGTTAATAAATATAATAATTGCTAAAATCGTATAAATTACAAGCTAAGAAACAATGTGTTTCACTAAATTGAGCCTATTTCTTCTCATCTAGGATCACATCAATCATTTCATCTGATTCATCTGAGTTTGGTGCAACCAAGTTCTGTGCATCCAAGTTTGATCTTGGACCAGTATATGATCTATATCCCCAAACAAAATAATAAAATAATGAAAGAATCCATACACCAACATTAATGACGACAGTATAATTCATGGTTTCTTTATTAACCTGTCTAGAATCTGGGAACATAACTAAGACAATGGAATATAAGATCCAACAAACAGTAGTAATATTAATAAAGGTACTTAAGTATGTACCAAGATAGAATTGACCTCTAACAAATCTTTTCCTTCCAACTGGTAATAAAACTAATAAGACTGGAGTTCCCCATGACAAATAATTAGAGGCAACGGCTAAGGAAAACAATGCATTTGCACCTGCAGGCCCAATCAACACTAATAAACCTAATAAGAGACCAAGGAAACCACCGAAGGCTGTAGCTCTAACAGGAACTTTGACCTTTGGATTAACATACTTGACAAACTTATACACGACAGGTAATCCATCATCTCTAGCAAAGGACCAAATTTGTCTTGAAGCTGCAATCAAAATAGAAACCGACATTAAGTATTGCCCAACAGCAATAAGAGCCATGAAAGCAACAGCCCATTCTTTCCCCAAAGCATCCAAGATAATTTGTGCCATTGGAGAACCAGTTGGGGAATTAAGTACAGCAGAAACATCACCATCTTTGATACAGGCAGCACATACTATGCAAATGACCCAGCCAAGGATCCAACATGCACTGATTGAACCCATAATACCCCATGGGATAGATTTTTGTGCGTTTTTAGCTTCTTCGGAACAATGGATAGCTGAATCAAAGGCTCCAATAGTCCAAATTGCTGGCATCCAACTTAATGCAAATGACCAAGCTGAACTCCAGGTTGTTGAGTTTTCAAAGTCTGTAAAGATAAATTTTGCTGAATTGAACTCGTTATGTCTGAAACCAACAGGAACAGCAATAAGGAATAACACCACTAAGAAAACATTTACAACAATGGAAATGGTTTGCAAGTAGGCAGCATGCTTACTTGTCAAACATGAAAGAATGACATTGGTAATGATACATGCAGCAAAAATCCCATAACATTTACCATCAGTAATTTCGAAATCACCATCACGTTGAATAAAGACACATGACAAGATTTCCACAGCAAACCCATAACTAATACTGCATAATCCACCAAGTAATCCTAAAGTGTTTGTACAACCAATCATAAAACTGAGAGGAACTCTAATACTTTCAGGTGCAAAATAATTTGAATAATAAAACAAACCACCACTTGTTGGGATAGCACTTCCTAAAAATGACATGGAAGTACCAACACATAAGATAAAAATACTAGCCAAAAACCAACCCCAGACCAAACCAGCAGGACCAGAGGCTAAACCAAGACCAAGGGTGGATGCGATACTTGGTAATAAACCCATAATGGAAAAAGCGATACCAAACACTTGAATAGTACTATAATGACGTCTAAGTTCTTGCTTATAACCAATCTGAGCTAACAATTCCACATCATTAGCAGCTTCATCAGGATGAATCTCCCTAATTTCTGATCTGACTGAAGCAACCGCATGGAGATGTACTTCACCACGTGATCTGATGGCACTGATATGACTTTCTGTTTTTGATTTGATTGCATTCATTGTAATCGAATTAATTAATTCAATAAAAGATAAGTTTTTGGAATTAATTTCGTCAAACCTGGGATGTGTCCTTTGATATATATATATAGAATATAATTCACAATCAAGAATTCACCATTGTGACAAGATAATAATTTTATGGATGCAAAAATCCATCAAAAAAATTATGGTGCCTTAACCTATTGATAGGCATATATCACCAATAGCAACAAATTAACCGCTAACCCCGGACTATCTCATATCCGCTAAACCAATCATAAACCCAACCCCATCTCCATCTCCCCCCGCCATTACAATAGAGTCTTTTGGATAAGGAGGCAAATAAATTGTTGTCAAATTTGAAAAATATTGAAAAAATGCCTTATATTGTTAAGCCATCAAATTAAGCCACCAAAGAATAATTAAAAAATAAAAGGAGAAATGGTGGATCCCCCACAAATCATATGATTGAATAGCAAGGATTATTCGCTCGGATAAAAGCAACTACAGTATGAGATGAGAGCTTTCATCGACTTGGGGTTCATTATCCCTTAAATATATTTTTGCAATAGTTAAGAAAAAAAGAGAGATTAATCCGTATTTGGAACGTAATTCCGGTGGAAGGTGGAGAAGTGAATGATGTTCTCCAACTTTCAAGGGGGGTTTAAATGCTGCTAAAAATTCATATTTTAATAAACCTATCATTAAACCCAATAGAGAAATACATAGAGATCTTTTAGTGTATGGTCCGCGCTGATAAGGGCCCTGTCGAACCGAGAGATCCACATTGCTGTTTTCTTTCTTTTTGATATGCCACCAAGTGCATGTGTATGTTTCAGCCTCACTGCAGCCTCAATCCCCCACGACCCCACATTTACCGCTAACGCAGGTGCCAAAACTTGTATAATTACAAAAGATAGAAAAAGAAACTTCATTTCCATTGTTGTTGAACAAATTTTGGAATTAGCCCATAAACTTCTATTAAATATGTAAATTATTTAACTCATCTAATAATTTATCATTCAATATCCGAGCCGATCGATGAAATATCGGATTTATGCCATCTCTAATTGATCTAAATTCTTGTAAAAAATTAACATTTACATGAATTGCTTGAGTTAATTGTTTTAATTTCTCACTGGTTGTTGTTGAACTTATTGTCTTATTAATTTTTGATTCACTAAATAACCCATCATCATCGTCCATCATATCTTCATCTTCATCAACTTCATCGTCTCCTTTTAGGAATTGATTCATATCATTCTCGTTCTCGGTAGATTGATTTTTGTTGTTGTTATGGTTGTTGTTGTCGGGGAGATCGGATGTGTCGGAGAATATGGACGAGTAGTGACAATCCATAGATAATTGGAATTGATTAACTTCTTCGGACGCAGGCTTGACAATAATACCTGGGGGGATTTTTGTGTTTAGGTTTGATTTCCAATATTCTTTGTCATTGATTGAATCAATACTATATAAAATCATGATTGAGATCATTAAATTAATAAAGACTTTCGCTTCTTCATTATTTGATTTCTGAAAGGCATAAATCTCTTGTAATAAATGGTTTATGGTTATATCGGGTTGATGGGTGATATAATTGTGTACGAATTGAGCATCTAAATCAGTAATTTGTTTACTAATGATTTGTGATTTAATAGTTTCATTCACATTCATGTCTTTCTCAAATGCAGAAGTTGTAGGGATTATGTTATCCTTCTTTAATGAATTATTTATAATTTGAATTATTTCTGATGCAGTTTGATTAATTGACCATTCTTTAAATTTCTTTAATGTGGTGATAATTTTCTCACCAGTAATATTGAGAACAATCTTAAAGATTAACGTGGAAATATCTTGAGAATCACCTGAAGTATTTGACTTTATAATTTCTGCAAGAACTTTAAGTTGTAAATTATCAACATCTAACCGAGTTAATAATTTAATTTCTCGTAATAACCAATTAATCAAACTTATAGTAGATGGAATTAAAAACACTTGTGACAAATAATCTAATCCATTATTTAAAATATTAAAATCAATTTTGTTAAAATTGGCCGCTATTATAGCTTGTTGATATACAATTGGAATCAATTTATAAATCTGTTTAATATTGATTGATTTTATCAACTCATCAGATAACCCTTCATTATTATCATCAAATAAAGCATTTATCCATTCAGTTAATAGATTATTATAATTCACGGCAATAATAGTCCCTTCTTCATCATTGTTTGCTGGAGTCTGAGTGGTTAAATTATCACATAATCTCCAATAGAAATTATTAATATAATCAATTACAAAAGAATTTTGAATTGATATTTTCGATAAATCAATTTCAAAAGTTTCCACAATTAAAATAATACTTAAGATAGCAACTCCACAATATGAATAAACATCTTGGAAATTTTCATCATCATCATCAATATTAAATTGTTCAGAATCAACAAAATCAATTATTTTATACAAGATTGCAAATGGAGTATTTTTGGTATTAAACACAATAATTCTTAAAATATTAACATCATTCAGTAGACATAATAATAATCGATTTAATTTTTCATGATCTTTAGCAATTAATAAATCATCAATAATTTCCAAGATTATAGTACTTAAATCTTGTTGTCTCTTATACAGAATTTCCAAAGATATTTGTAAACTATTTATAAATTGTATTAATCCTGATTCTTCAAGTGAAGTAAATTCTGTATTTATATTCAATAATTTTTCATTAAATTTTTGTCGTAAATTCAATTCTTGAGTATGAGATTGTAATTCATGCATGATTGATTGTTGATTAAGATCAGAAAATTTGGGTAAACTTTGAGTGGTTATACATTTATGAAATATAAGACTTTTAACAAATTGATGTTTTAAATCATGATTTGCATTAGGATAAGCTTCAAAAAGATCAAGAACAACTTTTTCAACATTTTCTTCTTCATTTAATTTTAAATTGGATAATAAGATTGGAACTCTAGTAATGATAAAATTATGTAAATTAAACTTCACAAAGCTTTCATTTTGTGATTGAAGTAAATCCCAAACTATAAACAAACTTTTGATAAATTCATAAGCAACAAAATACATATTCTTTTGTTTTGATAATGGCATTAAATTAATTATAAATGAATTTAATAAATCCAATCTATCAAATTGAAATTCTCTCATAAGTTTCAAAAACCAAAAACATCTCTTTGTTATAAAATAAGTTTCTTGTTTCTCTTCGGCAAGATTATTAATTGATAATGAAAGTAAATATGATGAAGTACATAATTCTGCTTCTCCTTCCCCTCCATCTTCAATCTTAAGTGGCAGAGTTGGGGTCCCTTCTCCAAATGAATGATGAAAATTAAATGAATCCTTTTCATGTTTTATAATTTTACTATGAATCAAATGATCAATTTGTCCCAGGGTTAAAATACTTTTTGTTTTTAATAATAAAAATGATAATAATCTACCTAATTTCAAATTCTTTAAAATTGTAATTAATTTAATTACAAAATTTTGAAATGGATTATCTTCCTTTAGGATTAAGAATTTATTAAAACTATCAATTATTGAACCAACAAAGAATATAATTTGATTAACTACCAATTTTTGACATTCTATTAAAGTTCTTTCATGTAATTTATTTAAATAATCCAAACAATATTGAATGAATTGTTGATTAATTAATGTCCTGATAATTTCTCGATCATATTTCTTATATTGATGTAATAATTTCTTATTAACTTTTGATAAATAAATGATTTGCATTGAATCTGATAATTTTCCTAAACATCTCCAAAATTGTTGACAATGTAATAATGAACTCAATGAAAGTTCAAGGATTAAATTGATTTTATATTCATTAAATCTTTGATGTTTAACAGTGGTATTTATTTTATTTAATTCAAGTAATTCAGAAACATATTGTTGGTCATCAATCTTGTTATTAGTTTGCTTTGATTGGAATTGATCAATTAAAGATATAAATGATCTTGGCGATACTTTCTGATTGGTTGATTTTGTTATTAGTTTGGTTAATGATATTTGATCTGTCATTACACCTTCTAGCTTACCCCCTTACTTGATAAGATCTAAAAGTGGTTGTAAAAAACTTTTTCAAAGAGATCAACAGAAAAATAAATCTTATGGTAGCACCACATCAAACACTATCGCAGTAAAATTCCCTAATAAAAGAGTAAACAGTAAGTTACTGCTAAATGTAACTTAAAAGAACTCAAATAAAAGTAAAACAACGACTGCCCCTTTCAATCTCACTCTCTTACTCTCTCTCTTAATTAAATAATCAATTAATTAAATAATATATATAAAAACAATGTATCAGTACAACCACTTAAAAAATAGATAAATAAAAAAATTATATAAACAAAGTATATATAGAACACACACAAACTCTCACTCTTACACTCTCACATACTCACATGGGGATATGACGAAGCCAAGATAAATGATAATAATAATTAAACAATAAAACACAATTTGGAACCAATAATAATAATAATAATAAACTATTAAACAAAATACCGTTTTTTCATAAAACAAACAAAAACTAACAAAAAAACACAAAGCGTCAGATAAGACTCCTACCATAAACCAGACAGACCAAATCCTGATAAAATATTACTTCCATTCTTATTAGAACCACCACCATTTGGATTATTACTCCCCCCACCAGTAGTCAAAGTAGATTTAAGCATACTATTACTCTGACCCCAAATAGATCCACCAGTACTAGGACCCCAAGTCGAACCACCACCAGTACTACCACTACCAGCATTGGTTAAAATTGAAGGGGAATTAAGAAAATTAGTCGTTGCGGTAGCAGTTGGAGTAATTGTCGACCCTAATAATGGAGAACCCGTCTTATTAACATTCACACCCGACAAAAATAAATTCGTCCCTGGTGGTGAAGTTTTACTAGCAGTAGTACCACCAGTTGAATTGGTCGTGATTCCACTATTTGCATTTGGTGGTAATAAAATTGGAGATTCATTAGTTGGACTAGTGGCACCCACATTCTCAAAGATTTTCGAATGAAGTGATGGAGGGATTGTAGTTGACGAAGACGCAGAAGAAGTAGATGATTGTTTCTGTTGTTGAGGGATATATTGTCCATTTGGAGAAGGAATTGAATGCGATGATCCATTATTATATAACATGAAATTATTATTTTGTAAATCAATACCACCGGTTGTATTTCCTGATAATGGAGTTTCGGGGGAAATAACAGTACTTGAATTCATAATTGAATATGGCAGTTGCTGTTGTTGCTGCTGCTGTTGTTGTTGAGGGGGGATCTGTTGTTGATATTGATTTTCACCTAAAATAGATGAAACAGGCATATCTGCAAATATTTGTGGAACTTGATGATGTTGCTGTTGTTGATGGTGAGTAGCAAAGATTTGTGGAGAATTGGTTTGTTGATTCTGATACTGTTGGTTGTAGCCTTGCTGTTGCTGTTGATAGGACCCTGGATAAAATTTTTGTTGCTGTTGTTGTTTGACTTGTCTTTGGTTTTGAGCTTGTTGTTGAGCTTGTTGTTGAAGTAAATAACTTTGTTGTTGTTGATGTTGAACAGCAGCGGCAGCTGCAACTGCAGCTAATGCATATTTATTATTTTGTTGTTGGTTCTGATTGTGTTGCTGCGCATGGTGCTGTTGTTGATGTTGATGATGGTTATTATGATGATACCTTGAAGAACCATAATTTTGATGAGATTGATGTTTTGAATTATTGGCAATAACTTTATCAATAAATTCAACTTGATTATTAAATGGAATTAAATCCAATTTTCTTTTTGAATATTTTAATGGTTCAGACATTATAAAGTTGTTATGATGAATGCATATATATGTTTCTCGTTCTTAGTGAATAAAATGATAAATAATTAAACTGAATAGACCCAAACAAATGTAATAGATCTCTCTCTTGTGAGTCTTTGAGGATAATGTTGTAATGAAATTAAAACCAACTGAAATAGATATATAAAAACCAGAATACAAGAATTAAAAAATGGAACCGTTTCCTCTTTAACTGTAATTAAAAAACCCTTAAATAAAAAACCGTGGAAAATAAATAAAATAAAAACACCAGATGATATCTCTCTCTTTCTCTCTATATACTATACCTTTTACCTTTTTAGCTTTTATAGTAAAAATGCAATCAATCAATCAATCAAATTATATAAAAATTGTTAATTAAACGAATGAACGATGAAATAAATCAAATAAATAATAAAAAAAAAAAATCTTCGACAGGAATTCTTTTTTTTTTTTTGGAACTTGGTTTAAGAGAAAAAGGTATGAAGTTTGTCTCTTTCTTTCTCTGTAGTTGTTTCAATAGAATAGGTTTAGTTGGGATGATGATAAGCCTATTCAATAAAAGGGTAAGTTAAGTGTTTTGTCTTTTATGAGATTGTTACTTCTAATAAAGTATGAATGAAATAAATATAAATTTTAAAATAAATAATTGCAAGACCTTTTAAATAAAAAAATTCAGATTTTTTTTTCTTTTTGAAAGTCACTCTCTCACTCTCTCTGTTTCTTAGAGAGAGAGAAAATCAGAAACAAATTTAAAGTCATTTACTTTTCTATTTCTCAATTTAAAAAANATTCAGATTTTTTTTTCTTTTTGAAAGTCACTCTCTCACTCTCTCTGTTTCTTAGAGAGAGAGAAAATCAGAAACAAATTTAAAGTCATTTACTTTTCTATTTCTCAATTTAAAAAATTCAAAAATAAAATTTGATTTGTTAAAATACGAGACATACTGCATATAATACATATATGGCTTTTACATTCACACTCACTCACTCACTCATTCGCTACCACATTACACATCTAGTACTCACAAGTGTAGATGGTCCTAGTGACCACCAATAATATGGCCATTGCGGTCTAGGGGGTTTTAGTGGGTATGGCCATCTGGAGGAGTATCCGTATAGCGAGATACTAGTCAGATGGAGGAGTCCCACACTGTTAAGTCGTGCGTAAAGTGCATTTCCTCCTTAGTGATACTAGAAAAAAAAAAAAAAAAAGATGGACTATTTGTTTGTCCGTTAGTGGACTCAACACTTTGTTAGATCGCCGTCGGAGTTTCCATATGTATGTGATTGTCTTAATGCAACGGTCCACTTTTAGGTATGCTTCTGGGTTTAATTGTGTTGTCCCTATGATATCTTTTTTTTTACTCATTTCAATTAGGAAAGCTATACAATTTATAAAAACTATAAATAATCAACCAATGACAACCTCCTTTGAGTTTATTTAATGGGAGCAGGTTTTTCTGTATAGTTCTTATAGTTGTATAGCTTTCCTAATTGATATGAGTAAAAAAAGTAGTCACTCAGAGAATCTACCATTATGATACAGCTCATATATACATAGTGGATAACTGAAAATATTATAAATAGATTATGTATTATTAAGAGATATGATATTTATTAAGTATTGTCAACTATACACGACGAAAAATCAATCCTATTGAGGATTGGCAGCACTGTTCAATTGCCATGATGGAACACCAATACTTGCTATTTTATCCTTAATAACTTCTTCACTCTTAGCATCCATACCACCAGTACTATTATTCATTTGCCATGCTGGAATACCTGATCCTACTGTTGGTGATACTGCTGTTGCTACTACTGGAGATGAAGCTTCAGGTGTACCAATCTTCTTTACTGCTTCTTCTTTTTCTTCTCTTTCTTTATCTCTTAATTGCCAAGCTGGAATACCACCAGCTGTTACTCCACCCACTGTAATTGCACCAACTCTATCACTTGATTGGTTAACAGGTTCAACATGTTGTGCTAATGGGGATTGAGATTGTTCTTTTTTCTCAACTATTTCAGGGGTAGATTCTTTTGATGATGATTTATCTTCAACTTTAGATGCTGATGCTGCTTTTGCTCGTTTTAAGATTTCAGAAGCAGATGGAATTGAAGATGCAGGAGCAATCTTTCTTTCAATTCCTCCATTTGATTGATTATTTCCAGTAGAAGTACTACCTCTTGCTTTAATTAAATTCTTTAAAGATTGTAATTCTTGATTAATATCACTTAATTCTTCATTAATATCTTCTTTAGTCAATTTCATATTCTTTTGAATACTATTACTCAAATTATCAATTTCTAATTTCATTAATCTTAAATCATCATCGAATTTTAATTTATCTTTATTATATCTACTCAAAAAATCATTTACATTTTCAATAACAGTATCAATATCTTTTAATTTTATTTCATTTTCATTCTTGATATTTTGTTGATCTTCAGTTAATTGTTCCAAGATTTTATCAATTTTTAAAAATTCCTCATCTATTCTTTCCTTATCTTTCTCAATAGCTGATTGACTAGGTGGAATGATTGTGGGGATAAGATATTTAGTTACAACTTGATGTAATCCATACATAACACCAGCAGTTGCCGTAGCCATAATAAAATAATCCTTCCATGATCTTTCCGGCGGAGGAGGTGGGGCATTATAATAATCTATTGGAGGAAGATTAGGTTGTGAAGGACTGACTACACTAGTAGTAGTAGTAGTAGCAGTAGGACTAGCAGTGGTAGTAGTAGCTACTTGTGAATTCGTACCTTCATTTGCTCTCCTTAAAGCTTCTTCAATTTCACTTTGATTTAATCCCTTTGATTCTAAAAATTCAACTTTCTTAGTTAAGGGGGAACTTGCAACTTGTGGATCCCTTAAGAAGGAAACAGCACTCTTTATTAACTCTTCATCCATAGTTATACCTTGAGCTGATAGATGGCAGTGCAGGAAAAAGAAGAAGAAGAAGAAGAAATAAAGTGAAATCAGAGAAAATTATTTTAATCTCCACATAAATTTCAAAATGTGACAAACTTTTGTGCGGGACAAAAAAATTAATTTAACAAATTCAACAACCACTTTGTCTATCCGAGGTTAAACCAAACTTAAAAAATTAATAGACAGGTTTATATACAGGTACCAAACACCTTTAATAGGATCTCTCTAATTACATCAATAGATATATTTATACAAGATAATATAATACACAGACATATATATACAGTATATCATTGACTAAGTCAATCTTTCTTTCTTTGCAAACAAATTCTGAGAGAAATTACTCTTTAATAATTCTTCATAAATACACCAACTAATTCCCGAACTCATAGCCTTCCTACCTAATCTCAATGACAAACCCCGGAAAAGATTCTTAATCCCACCTTGCTCTTTCACTAAAGTCTTCGTTGCCTTCACAATCGAAGTCTCATTACCTAATTGTAATCGAGTCTTTATAGCATCAAAAGGAGCAGTTATAGTCGTACATGTAGTAGCTGCCAATACAGCCGCACTTGAATTAATTAAACTCCCCTGAGAATCACCAAATGTTGATACGGGGATAATTATTGGGAATAAATCATTCTTAAAGATTTCATAACTCAACACATATAGACCAGCATATGGACAATCTCGAATCAAAGTTGCAACTGATCCTTTAAAAAAATTCCGAATTGTTCCGCCGCTACTGGGGATGGGTTTGCCTGGTTCTTGGCCATAATAAGTTCCTTTAATCCCTTGCGACATCGATGTATAATTATAATGATTAGATTCGAATCGGGTTTTAAGAACGGTGATTGGCATGGTTATATATCCAACCACACCCCTGGCCAAAAATCCCGTGGTTAAATTTTCAAACGGGGTTAATTTGACTAATACTGAAGTCTTAGATACTGTATTTATATTTGTATCATAATTAGTTAATTTAAATTCCGCCCAGGCTGATCTCATTTTTGATAAACTGGTGAAATATAATCCGGCCCCAATTGAGGTACGTAATGTGCTGGGGATAGTACCACGCCAAAAATCAGTAAATTTGGTCAATTTTTTGATTTCTTGAGATATTGATGATTTCATATGTGTTGCCAGCAGAGTATCGTGTTGTTGTAGTCTGGTTTTGAGTAGATCGAATGGTTGTAATGTTACAGCTGAGACTAATCCTGCTAATGCTCCTGATGTTAGATGGGCAATAGCTTCTGGAGATTTGGTTTTTTTGATATCTAATTTGATATTATCAGATTTATTCATTTCTACTACTGGAGGTGTGGTTGTTGCTTGTGCTACCACTGCTACTTCTGACATATTATGTTATATCTATTACTTGGTATCTAAGATTGAAATCTGAAAAGGGAGAACAAGGGGGTGGTATCTATAAATGTGTTTTGTTCTAATTTACAACAGGGGAGAATTCTAAATTGATTTACAGTAGAGTGTAATTAATAATAATTTTTCATTCCCCCCCCCAGAAAATTTTCTTCTCTCTGCTTCAAACAAAGGGATCTCAGAAGATCCCTTATTTTTTTTCTTAGTATGTATTGTTTTCTATCAGATTAGAACAAAGAAGATTCCCTATCTATACAAAGTAGTTTACGAATATTGAATCAGATTCTTAAAAAAATCATACAGATCGTGAGATATCACCAAAATAGGTTGAATCTCATTCAATCCATATTTTTCTCGATTCCATAATGATAAGCTTGCCAATGCCATAAAACTATGCATTGGATCAGGTCTTGCTTCAATATCTCTTGCAAATCCTCCAAATAATTCATTTTGAGTTTGAGTTAATAAATATTCTTCTGCTTTAGCCTGGTTTATCAATTGAATATTTTGTGGGTTCATAATATATAATGCTCCAGTAGCCCACCATGAGTAACAAGTATCACTGAATTTATTATCTCGACCATTGAATCCTCCTATATCTTCTTTTCGATAATATTGATATTCAATGGAGTCGTATAAACTGGCAGGATAATCTGATTGTCGTTTAATTAACCATTCTCGGGTTTGTTCTAACTTTTCAATTGGATAGTTTAATAATTTTAATGCAGAAATTGCACAAAATGTAAAACCTAAATGTGATTCATCAAGGATTTGAGAACTGAATCCTCCATCATGATTCAATCTAGTCAAGATAAACTCTTGTAATGCTTGGGTATCTATATCATTATCCCGGTTGCTACCCTCGTCATACTTTACTAAATGTCGAATAAGTAATGCAATATAACAAAATCTAAGATCTGTTTCTCCAAACTGGGCATACTCCCCATTATGATAAGTAAGCGTAGGAACAAACGCTCCCTTATTTGGTCCTGACTTAATTTGACATCTACTCAACAATTTCATAATCTTATGTTGTGGAATCTTGATAGAATAATTGGATTTAAGAACTAGAAGAATATATAAAGCAAATAAACTAGCAGATAAATTAATCAGATCATATTCTTCACCACAACTCTTAAAATAATTAGTTGTCCTAAATCCAATCATATCTTCAGTTTCAATTAAATAATCTCGATATATAAAATCAATATAATATTGTAATTCTTCATTACTAAAATTGAATTTATTTATTAATTGTAATCCATGAAGACAAAAATAGATAATTGCCAATTTATCAGAATCTTCTGATGATGCTGAGGATGGAAGTCCTATTAGACATCTATTAAAGAATTTCTCATGCTTCGCTAATAATAAGGAATTCATGATGGGGTTCTCAATTGACACCCTTTGAGTGGAGACTCACAATTTTTTTTTTCAGTAATTAATTTTATTAATTTTTCATATTGGAGATTTTGCTTTTGTTATCGCGCGGTTTTCGTTTTGGTGAATAGTGTACTAAATTAAATTTGAAAAAGTCTATTTCGCCGAGTCAACATCCATCCATATCCCCACTTGTTTTAAAAAAGAATCTACATTCCCAAGTAACATTTTACTAAGTTTTATAATTCCATGTACTTGTTACCAAGCAACTTTTTGTTGGCCCACGCTAAAGGACAATTATTCTTAAGGGTTGAAAAAGTGGTGTCGCGTCTCATCCCTTGTGTCGAAAAAACTAACCGTTTCGTAATTCAGAGGCTACAAATCATCGGTTATCTCGTGGCTTCTTTCCATTTTAAAAAAACAAACAATACCCAATGATGATTCTCTTATCTTGATGGCTCGTAGTTTGTGTTCCACTGAACCTTTTTTGAAGGAGGTGTTTTCTTTAGGGATTATAACCTCGTTCGGTTTATTGTTTATTCTCGAGATTAGTTTACACATCTTGCATAATTTTCTTACGTGTGCCGAATTAATTCGTAATATCCCTTGTGCAAGAAAGACAATCTGGTTTTTCTAGATCTTAGGGGTTCATGACCATTGTAAATAATAATAATTGTGTCATTGTTTGTAATCAATTTGTGTATTCAATTAGAACTTTAAAATCGAAACACAATTCAAGAATCACAAGATTCAGATTAGAATTGGAAGTTCGTTATTTATCGCATGATAACCGAGACAAGATCAATTCGCAAGTTGTTCCTAATTTGGATGCATCTTCGCCAAATAGACGCTTAGAATGAATTAAACTACTTTTCGTGATCTGCAACGATCACTAATCGCGTCTTTTCAATTGAACGAACCATATTCTAAAAATATTATTTTAAAGTTATAAACTTTAATCGAAAATTGAACGGCCTTGGAGATATGGGGTTAAGTACAGATTCCTCGTGGGTCATATTTTCTCCAATTTAGGTTGCAAAGAATAATAAAATAAATACCACAACTCTTGTGACAAAACGTGGTTTGACCAAAAAAATATACAATCTTGAATCTGCCTACCTAATCAAGAAAGACAAGCACCTTCAAAGGCGATTCAGCCAAGACTTTCAAAAAGCCAGATGAATTGGTTTCTTGACAGCTGAGAACAAGAAGGTTGCAAAAAAAAATCAAGCGAAAACAAGCCAAGCCACCCCCATTGAAACAAAAACTAAATAGACACTAAGGAAATTCAACGCTTGGAATGAGCTATTTACATTTCAAAACATAGCGTTTCAAAATTTCAAAGGCGGTTACTGTATTACCCCCTTTTCCTCCACACCTTTTTTTGGGTTTTGACCCCGTGCCTAGTACAAGAAGACGACCAAACTGTGGTGTTAGCGTTGCATATTAAGAGTTTTAAAACCTAAATTCCATATTCGTTATTAAAGTTGCAAGGATAATTTTATTTTTAGACCACTTACAAATCTCCACTTATCCAAGAATAGTGCAAGCGCTCTTAATTGAAGTTACATACATTCATACTCGTCTCTACGTTAAGCTTCCCAGATATATTTATGTAAGATATAAATACCACCAAGATCCTCTCCCTTTAAGTGAAATTTCAAAACAGATTTTGATTTCTTTCTGCATAGTTTATTCAACTATTTTGATTTAGTATATTTTAATAAAAACATGAAGGTATCTACATTAACATTAGCCTTAGCTCTTGCAGCTTCCATCAATACTGCCGCTATTGAAAACGTTGACAAGAAGGTCTTGATCAAAAGAGAAGACGAACCAGTTGAGGGGACATCTGCTGATGTAGAAGGACAAACTGCTGAAGCCGAGGGAGAAGCTGAAGGAGAAGCTGAAGGAGAAGCTGAAGGTGAAGCTGAGGGTGAAGCTGAAGGAGAAGCTGAAGGTGAAGCTGAGGGTGAAGCTGAAGGAGAAGCTGAAGGTGAAGCTGAGGGTGAAGCTGAAGGAGAAGCTGAAGGAGAAGCTGAAGGAGAAGCTGAGGGTGAAGCTGAAGGAGAAGCTGAAGGAGAAGCAGAAGGTGAAGCTGAGGGTGAGGCAGAAGGTGAAGCAGAAGGTGAAGCTGAAGGTGAAACAGAAGGAGAAGCTGAAGGAGAAACTGAAGGAGAAGCTGAAGGAGAAGCAGAACCTGAAGCAGAACCTGAAGCCGAACCTGAAGCTGAACCTGAAGCTGAACCTGAAGCAGAAGAAGAAGCTGAAGTTGAACCAATTCCAGAAGAACTTGTAAATGGCGGAAATTCACTCCACTTTGGAATGGCTGCTGCTGCAGTAGCTGTCGGTGCTTTCTTGATTTAAGTTCTTCCGATTCATTTGATTTAGATCTAGTTCTTTCCTTTCGTCTATAGTAATACCTTAGCTCAATTAGCTTAGCTATAATAATTATTCAATTTTATTAAATGTACTTATTTAATATGTTTTCAAAATTCAATTCAAAACTACGAATTAATTCAATCTCGTTTTGATTTATAAATGTAATTATTACTGGTAATTCCTCCTCTTGTCGATTCTCCAATATGGAACAGTGACAATTGAAAACCAGCTTATTTGATAAGTTCTCTATAAATTTATTTCTCTTGTCTAATAAATTGTCAATATTAAGTTGTATATCTCTAAACCAATCTAATGAATATTCGGATACCATACCTCTCGGTATTGATTCATTACAATGCTGGTCCTGCTTCTCACTGAACTCTTGTTTCACGTTGAAATAAAAATCTGCCAATTCCACGTTTAACCCCGAACCTATCAATTTAGTAAATGCTTCCTTTAAGGTCCAAAAATGATTAAATTCAAAATATCTTCTTTCAACATCTTCAATCGTATCAAAATAGGATAACTCTACAGGATGGAATATTGATCGAAATTCTTCAATGCAATTTTCCTTCGATATTGCTGGCTGTCTGGCATGAGATAAGTCTATACCTATTGGATTAGCCGTGTCTGAAAATTCAATAATTATACTAATGATATCATTTGAACTACTGGAATTAAATTGGAAATTCTGATTTAATAATTGTGGTTTTCCATAATCATTATAAGTGAACTTGATATTCTCAAATAAATCTTTCTCTAGTAGTGAATTGAATACAGCTCGTGTAAATAAGGATGCTATCAATTGTTTAAATCGTAGTGACTCATCTTTTATAGATTGGATACGTAGTTGTTCCTTTAAGTTGTTCAATAATCTTAATGAGAGTTCAAAGTTGAAATCATCTTGTAAAAACTCAGTAAGCTTTGAGGTGATGCGCGTGGTGAATAGTATTACATTAGACTTGCCTGATTTAGGAGCTTGCGTAATTAGTTCTAAACCATCAAACAAGTTGCTTGATGTCATCCTACTAACTACTACTACCAATTAATTAAGAGATTTACAAGAAGGTTTTTTTTCTCGCTTACTGTTGTTCATCAAATCTATAAACCATAAAATTATACAAGTATGTATACAACCTACCTAATATTTATGAATAGAGCCACCTTCAAATGGATGTTCTCTGGCATATTGAATTGCTTCCAAAACAACTTTCTTTGATTTTTGGAAACTTTCTTCCGAGATTTGATAATGAAACACAATTCTACCATAATAAATATTAACATCATGTTTCTTTGCAATTTCAACAAATTTTTCAGGATCAATCTTGTTAGCATTAAGGTCAACAAATACCATATTAGTTTCAACTGGATGTTCTAAAATGATTCCATTATCCTCACAAAACTTACCTAATTCTTTTGCTCTTTCATGAGTTTGTTTTAATTTTGGTAAATTTTCATCAATGGCAGTTATAGCCATACTGGTTAAAATTCCACTTTGTCTAATACCACCTCCATTTTGTTTCTTGAAATGGTTAGCCTTTTGAATAAATTTTTTATCGGCAACTAAAACAGTCCCAATTGGAGCTCCTAAAGTTTTTGAAAGACAAAGAGAAACACTATCAAAATATTGACAATATTCAGCCAATGGGATTCCTGTAGCTACATGAGCATTCCATAATCTGGCTCCATCTAAATGTAAACGAACATCATTCTTTTTACAAAATTCCGATATTTTCTTAATTTCTTCAATTGGGAAAATCATTCCATGATTGGTATTTTCCAAACAGATTAATTTCGTAGGAGCAACATGAATTTCTCCATCATCAGGAATAAAATTTGGTAAAATATCATCTTCCAAGGTTAAATAAATACCATTCTTAGGTATGATAGGTTGTGGCATAGCTTGACATAAAGTTGCCATTCCTGCTGCCTCATCAATATAAACATGTGACCTATAATCACACAAGATACTATATGGAGGTTGCATTAAATTAACTCTCATAGCGATTTGATTGGAAAGGGTTCCACTGACGCAGAATAACCCAGCTGGTTTCCCAGTCATCTTGGCTACCTTCTCTTCTAACTCAATGGTAGTTTTGTCTTCGTTATAGACTGAATCACCCAAAGTGGCTTTGGCGAGTGATTGAATCATGGATAAGGTAGGGGTAGTGAATGTGTCACTACGAAATTCATTGTGTGCTGGACTTTGGTTGGTAAAGTTGGAGAAATCCATTTTTATGGGGAGAGTTGCAGATTTTGATAATTTATAGATGGACTTTCAAGAAGGAAAGTAGTTGTTATCTCAGACTTTAAAATAGAAACTGGGTGTCATTTGCTTTGTACGGCCCTGAAAAATTCAGTTTTTTTTGGTGGGTAATCTGGGGAGGCTTATCTTAATCCCTTGGGTGTAGTACAAAATTAAGGAGGATTTTGGTCCCACAATTTTTTTTGCATCCGTTATCTTACATCATCATCAAATTTTACAACTTGTATATAAGCCTTGTAGAATCATATACATCTGCTATGGGTCTAACTAATTGAGAAACAGCTTCTTTAAAGAGAAACTGCCTACCCTTACATTCATTCCCGATAAGAAATGTAGGTCCGAAGGGTCCATATTACTTGGCATTAACGGAACCAATTGTCAGTTTGTTTGCTTAAAAGACCGCAAGCAACTAATGCCTTTAAGACGTTCAAAAAAAGAACTGGTGTTAGTTCTACCAAGGGTGACAAGTTTCAAATTAGTAAATACATTATTTGGGAATAAGAACACTATGATGGAAAATTATCATAGAACATAACCGTTGCTGAAAATTTGTCAACGACAAACGTCCATTGAACGTAAATTTATAAATAAACTAAGCTTAATTTTAGTAAGTTTCGGAATCTTTGGAAAGTACATCAGTATTGCAAAATAATATTCCAATGACATTCTCATGTCTTTTGAGAGAATACAATTCGCTAATGAAGATTTTAATCAACCAAATTGATGAACGAATGCTGTTTTTGCTAAACACCGAATGTGAGCTTTCGTGAACACCCACCCGGAAACATCCAGAAATCCCGTTGTCACTCATCGGAGCTCTTGATATTGTAACAGTAACAAAATGGTTCAACGCTGGATGATTAATTAAATAAGAACGCAACAATCCCAATCGATTACGCAATTTATTATCCCAAATAGGAAAGTGTTTCCGGAATGTTGGAAAAATAACAAATTATACTTTCAACTGAGGAGCATTCCTGACTTAAGCAAATCCTGGAATTAGCAATCGGTGATAGAGATAAGTTTATGATGTTGGTATGATGTATAGAAGCTTTAATGAGTGAACTGTCTGAGAAAGAAGAACCCGAAGAGTCCAAATGGCGATCAAATTCGGTGGAGTTTAGAGATGCGCTTTTTGATTTTTTTTTTTTCAAGGTGTGTTTTTTTTCCTTTCGCAATATTTACCCCTGCCCCACCAAAAAATTAGATTGAGAATAATAATTCCGCTTCTTCAATTACTATATAAATCCATTGATAAATCCCCAACTTTTTAACTTTATTCTTGTTCTTCTTCTCTTCTTCTTCTTCTTTTCTTTGTAAAGAATCTTAACTAGATATCAATCAAAGTTAAAACTATCCTATCACAAACATGTCCCTCCCATTAGAATACTCAGTCACTTTACCAGATGGTCAAACCTACAACCAACCATCAGGTTTATTCATCAACAATGAATTCGTAAAGTCCAAGTCTGGAGAAATTATTGAATCCTATAATCCATCCACCAGTGAAGTCAACGGTAGGGTATACGCCGCCGGTCCAGAAGATGTCGATCTTGCAGTCAGTGCCGCCCGTAAAGCATTCAAATCATGGAAAAAAGTCAAAGGTGATGAACGTGGAAGACTCTTATATAGATTCGCCGATGCCATGGAAAAACAAGCAGAATTGATCACGGCAATTGAAGCTTGGGATTCTGGGAAACCAAAAGTTAACAATGCAGCTTATGATATTCAAGGTTCAATTGATATTTTTAGATATTATGCTGGTTGGGCTGATAAAGTTCAAGGTAGAGTTATTCAAAATGATAGTTCAAGATTAGGATATACTATACATGAACCATTTGGTGTTTGTGGACAAATCATTCCATGGAATTATCCTATTGCTATGGCTACTTGGAAGATTGCTCCTGCTTTAGCTGCTGGTAATGTAGTTGTGTTGAAGACAAGTGAACTTACTCCCCTTTCTTTATTATTTTTAGCACAATTATTTAGAGATGTTGGATTCCCACCAGGTGTTGTTAATATCATTTCTGGTTATGGTCCTGTTGCTGGTTCCGCATTGGCTTCCCATTTAGATGTTGATAAGATTGCATTCACTGGTTCTACTGCCACTGGTGCTGCGATTCAAAAGGCAGCTTCAGCAAATATGAAGGCTGTTACTTTGGAGTTAGGTGGAAAATCTCCTATGATTATCAGAGCTGATGCTGATTTAGAACAAGCCGCTAAATGGGCTGCTCTTGGTATTATGTCGAATCAAGGACAAATCTGTTCTGCCAATTCAAGACTTTATGTTCATGAATCAGTTTATGAAAAATTCCTTGAAATCTTTGCCCAAGTTGTTGAAAGAGATTACAAACAAGGTGATATGTTTGATTCAGAAGCTGTTGTTGGACCACAAGTTTCAAAATTACAACATGATAAAGTGTTGAAATATATTGAAATTGGTAAACAAGAAGGTGCAAGAGTTATAACTGGAGGTGAAAAGAATACTACTGGTGATTTAGCCAAGGGTTATTATGTCAAGCCTACCATTTTTGCTGATGTTGATTCTAGTATGAGAATTGTTCAAGAAGAAATCTTTGGACCTGTTGTTGTGGTTGGAAAATTCTCAACTGATGAAGAAGTAATTAAAACTGCCAATAATTCCCAATATGGTTTAGCCGCTATGATTTTCACTAAAGATCTTAGTGTTGCTCATACAATGGCTGCTGATTTGGAAGCAGGTATGGTTTGGATTAATGAAAGTAATTCTGCTGATGGTCGTATGCCATTTGGTGGGGTTAAAATGAGTGGTATTGGTAGAGAGTTAGGTGAATATGGTTTGAACATGTATACCCAAGCTAAGGCTGTCCATGTCAACCTTACCAATAAGTTATAATTTTGTTTTAGATTACTTTTTGATATAGTTAGTGTATATTCTGTATAGTGAATTTTGAAAAATTTAAAATTAGGATCAAAGCCTATTTAGTAATACCCGCCGATAGTTCGAGTATTTCTCCAAGCGCAAAAGACCAGAAAAAAAAAAACAAAAAAACAAAAAAAAAAATGATTTCGCTGGAAACAGTAGGTACTCCATTTGATGCTTCACCGCCGGAGAATCGGTCTCGGGCTAACGGACAGGGGTCCCTTGGGGCTCCTCAAGTCGGCACGAATGCTGCTGCATCCGCTGTCAACGCTAATTTAACCACCAAAACTTCAAATTTGCCTCCCCATGAAAACTTTTCTTTCGAAAAAAATTCTGAAAAAAATGTCGTTAATGAAAATGGCGAGACAATGTCGTCTCACGTCTATGAGGAGCCTGATATGGCTACGGTTTTACGTAACTTTCAAGCTCCTGTTGGAAAATTTGCCTTAGCTAAAGAACAATTACCTTATGAACGTAATGATGCTCCGGATGATTTAATTAAAATTGTTTCAGAACACAATTCGTTGGTAAGGGCCGATGATAGGCTTATTATTCCTATGCATGAATTAATGAAAAAATTTGACGGACCTACCATCGTTCGTAGCATGTTTGAAAAATTCACCATTGAAAAACAAGCTTTAAAAGAAACCTTCAGTATGGTCGAAGAAAACTTAGAATTACTTGAAAATTATGCTTGGGGAAACACGAAGAAAATTAGAGAAGATTTAGCCAAGTTTTATGATGATAATAAAGAAGCTCTCTGCATTTATCGTTGCGTGGGTTATGCTATGCCCTTTTTCTCAGGTAGTCATATTATCATGTCACCCTTCGATCAAGACATCACGGAATCACCAAGATTCCAAGAAGTCAGGTCTAGTTTTATCAAATTCGTTGAAAGCCTTGAATTTAGAATTAATGACACGACCTTCAATGTCAAGTTTGAAAAAAAAAACGTTCCTTATTCCTTGTTTTCTTTCAAAGTGGATATTTATAAGGCCCCAGCTATTAAAAGGATTTTCCAAGGATATTTAACAGCTGTTGATGAAATTATTGCCCATCATATCCCTTCCGGTCGAGCAGTTCATAAAATGGAAATGTCAAATGACAATTTCGTGTTAGCGTATTTTGTCGTAAAGCTTGGTTCCGACGTGGCCCCACCACCCACCAAGGCCGGATTGACGTTTAGTGGGACCTCCACCCGTGCTTTGTCCAATTTGCCTCATTGCTCTTTCCGTCATTCATTGACTCACGTGAGGGAAGAGAAACCAGGGCCATGTAAAAAATAAATGAACAAAAAATGGGGCAAGTGCTCATAGTAAATGTAACGTTACATTTTAAATATCGGCAGAAAAATTAAATTAAATTTTTATATGATCTTTGTATGATGTAGATATGAAACTGTCTTTTTGCCCAGTAGATCTATTCTAAATATTTAAACAAAATGGAACACCACCCATAATCCATATTCATATGTTATTTTCTAGAAAGCAATCTTCTGAGTCATATACGCATTCCACATTACCTCATCATTATCTCTATCATTATCATCACCTGAATCAAAAAGAAATTTACTATTTAAATTGAAAAATAAAAGTTGTGCAAAAAGCAAATTTATTAATTATTTATTACTCCTATTTTTCGTTGATGTTCAAGAATTTTATATTAAATTAATATTGTCAACTCCACAAAAAGTCCTCTTTTTTAAAACTAAAGTAATCTTCTTTAGATTTAAGGAATAACCCAACAATAGACCGCCCGTTCCACTTGATATATACAAATTATTACAATAAAGGGGTATCTTAATATATAAGACAAACAAATCTAATATTCCCCCTTTTTTTCCGAAGAAGCAAAAAAAAAAAGATGGTAAATCCGGAACCTGGACCAAGTATGGTCACCATTCCACCAGGCAATATTTATGGCACATATTCATCGCCTCATATACTGCTCAAGGGTAATGTCCCACAACACCAACAAATTCAACAACCTTCCAATTCATTAGTCAGTAGACTTCATCCGCATATTCTCAATGAAATATGCCAATATGTTGATCAATTTGATTTGGTCAATTTACTGAGAACATGTACTGCATTATATCCTTTAGCTATAAAGCGACTTTATAAACGAGTAACGGTGGTAATAGATTCAGAACTCCCAATAAAGTATGGAGGAGATCATAGAAAGTTTATATCAGATAATGGTATCAAGTATATGGATAGTTCTTTAGTCATTTCACTTGCAAATTTATATAAATTCATTAATTCGGTATATTCAAATCAATCATTATGTCAATTCATTAAGTTCTTTGTATTCGATAAATGTTATCAACAAGAAGAAGATGATTCTATCAAAACCATTCAAAAAGATTTATTAAATTATTTTGCTAATTATTCTCAAGATTTGAATTTCTTTCATATATCATTCATGGAATATTTTACTGGTATTCAACAATTGACGGAGTTTTTAGCCCATGATAATGTTAGACATAAAATGTTTAAATTAGTAGTTACGANGAATATTTTACTGGTATTCAACAATTGACGGAGTTTTTAGCCCATGATAATGTTAGACATAAAATGTTTAAATTAGTAGTTACGAAATTACATGAATTATATCAACCTAGTATCCCTCCATGTTTAACTAATTTATTTTTGATGCTTAATGAATTGGATTTACAAGAATTCGATTTGTCAGTATATCCTTGGAATGTATTCAATTCATTATTCACATTAACTTGTTCAACTTCTAAACAATTAGGATTAGAAATCATAAATTCAATTAAATTACGTTCACCTAATATGAAATTGAAATTAAAAGGATTAACATTATTCCATCGTCATAAAGAAGCTGTATCTCTGAGAAATGAAATGCTGATGTTTGAAGATGAAGATGAAGAAATTGAAATAAATGAAGAATTAGATGCTAAATTACATTCAATAAATAAGAAATTACGATTTAGTATTATTGAAACCAAGATTGATTTATTATATTTGACTCATTTATATCTTAAAGTTGATTGTAATGAACATCGTGATAATCAATGTAATTGTTATGAAAAATTCTTTCATGATTTTGCCCAATATTCAATCGAAAATGATGGTTTACCCAAACTTGTCAATTTTGAAGTTGAATCATTTCCAAATCTTGATTGGTTAAGACCTCACCAACAACTAGAGAATATTTTATCCCCCTTGGGTGGATTTGTTAAAACCTTATGTAACCTATCCAGACTAACTATTGATTTTTCAACTCCAGGATTTAAAATGTTTGATAGTAATTTGGGATTATCAACTATATTACTCAACAAATTAAATGAACATCTCATGGAAGCATTCTTTTTATGTTTTTTCACAAAATCAACAATTAGAGGTAAATCCCCCCTTCTTACCAATTTACGGACATTACAATTACCTGATTTCTTCACGTCCTTCATTTATTATAAACCAGATTTTATGGAATCTTTACTACATACATGTAAATGTTGGGGTTGTGAATTAGTCTTAATCAAACTTCAAGAAATGTTCTATACTGAATCTAGTACCGAATTAGACTTGGAAAGTACTTATTATATGTTAATAGGATATATTCTTGGTAAACTTCAAGCTGATAGAGAAGTATGCATACCTATAATGGAAAGAACTTTCCATTATAGTAAATATCCAATCCATAGAGGACAACCACATACCCTCCACCTGGGATTCCATATGGGTGGTATTGATTGTGATTGTAATGTTCAAAAGGATCCAAAGGGAATTGATAAATTAAATATAGATAATTTGGTAACTACTTATATCATTCATCAATTACAGCCAATAATTGAATATTTGAAGGTTATGTTTATGAATTTGGATAATTTGATGATACATGGAATTTATTATGAACGAACTAAGAATGGAGATTTGATATGTATATTCGATGATGAAGATTATCCGATTGAATTCTTGCAGACAAAGAAAGATGAGATCGAGAGAGGTGTTACTCCTGCTGGTCCATTTGGAAATTTTAGAAGTAAGTAAGTAGATATATATATATACATATAGGAGGATGTGGATAATGATTTGAAATGATGATTTTGCATAAGTAATATAATGAAATTTTTGCTTTTTGACTTAAATCTTTAATAGATTTGACATTGATGCCAGTAGCATCTTCGCAAAGCGGAAGAAGCAAGCCATTACTGTTATACCGAGAGCTTAAATAGATCGAGATTGTAATACTGAGCTCCTTGAGATGAAAGTAGAGTCACAAACTCTTGATTTTACAATGCTTAATTATATAGAAATACATAAATGACAAAGAAACATGTGGCACCGAGTTAGTCTTGAAAGTTGGAGAGTCAACACGGTGAAATGGGTCAGAGGGCTGGACCTAAAATTAGTACCGGGGAAAATTTCTTGTCCGTAGTAAAGCTGAACGAATGAACCGTAAAAAAGTGCTACGAGAATCAAGAGATTACCCGGCTATTAATTTTTTCTCCCCACACTACTACCGTATGAGGAATTGAAATACAAATTTATTTGAAAGAGACTTTATTTACTCTTTCGCCTATATTGACGAAGAAGAACCAATATATAGAAGATATTTACCTTATTTTTATGGAGTAGTGAAAGATTGTAAAATTACAAAAGAGACCTTAGAATATGAGGACTTTGGTAATTGTATAGACTATGGGATCTTAGCCAGTCATAAATTTGCTAAATATCTATTAGAAGAACATGACTATAAAAATATGTGTACTAAGTTTTCATATTTAAATAAAGGGGTTTATGATAGTAGATTGGGATACCCTAGTTGGGTTTTCTATGACTTAAAGAATGTTGACAATTTAATGAAATATGATCAATTAAAGAATATGTTAAGTTATTATTTTACTATCAATAAAGATAAACAAAGATTTAAAATGCTTAAATTGGATAAGAGATATGCTAAAACACAATATTTAATAGATGAGTTAAACTATGACGATTATCACGATAAAAACATTGTTGACATTGTGTATGATGAATTTTATTATATTGATGAGTTCTATAAGGATAAGACTCCAAGCCCTATATATCCTGCAGACCTTAAATATCCTTCTACATTCCCTAGTAACCATAATTATGAGCTTGGTTTCTAATATCTATATGAAGATCCATTTATGTGTGACTATTTTAATTTGAAGAACTTTTTGGAAGGTAGAACTTATTACAGTACTACGCCAGATGAAGATTTTGAACCAAATGATATATTAATGAATACTAATCTAGCCATATATTGTTTTAAGAACAATTTATATATGGACCATTGTATCACCAGGTTTATAATGGTGTGCCCCGAGGAATCCATTTATTTGTATAAACGTTATAAACCATTCCTAAGATGCAATCATGTGGAATTCCTGCAAGATATTTGTGAGCGATATACTAAATTAGATAAGAATTTGTATCACCTATTTGCCTACTATAAGCTAATTAGCACTTTTGATTTAGATTATTTTCGAATTAAATATTCTGAAGATGATTGCATAGAGTACAATATTTATAAGTTTTGCAAAGAACGAAAGTTATATACTAACTACATAGAAAGGAAGAAAATTGTTCATATTTTTGATCCTGAAAATCATAAGTTCTTATCTTAAAAGTAGTCGTGAGTGGAAGATCCCTCAGGTAGTAGATAGCAATATGTTGATATAAGGTTCTTTTGCTGGCTTTGGCTTATTGGAGCCCAGAATATTCATTCTTTGTATTTTCATTTATTCTAGGATTCAATGAGTTCTTGTACATGGTAGTTCAATTTACATATAAATAGCCTAATTTGTCTTGTCCTCAATTTAATTGATATAGTGGAGAATATTAGCATATATACATCTCAACTTGTTACAGAAGTTCACTTCGGTAGCAACAATGCGCAATCCTCCTCCCCGTCTTCCTTGATATTGAGAAATCATGGAAATAGGTTAAAGAGATAATTAAGAAAAATGGGAAATATTCCGAGTGATTTCTTTTTTTTCTGGGGAATCGCTTCTCGCTTAAATCATCCGCGTCTTTTTGTTTTCGCAGCCAAATTTTAACAATAGGAAATTCAACAAATTATGGGGAGTGGGTGGGGGACATATCAAAATAATCAATTTCGGCATTAGGCACTGGAATTGGGTAAAGAAATCTTAGAAAATCACTCGGATATTACTAAAGAATGCATCCGGATTGTATTTTTGAATTAGGAATATACATTGTTTGAAGAAATGATTAGTTAGTAATAAATATAAATATGTAGACAAATCCCCAACTTCAATTCTCAATTCTTCAGTTTTCCCTTTTCAATAAAAACCTCAAATCAAACCCCAATTCTCATAGCTATCATGACAAAATCAAAAGTATTATTAGTTCTTTACCAAGGTGATCAACACGCCAAAGATCAACCTAAATTATTAGGTACCATTGAGAATGAACTTGGTCTTCGTAAGTTTATCGAATCTCATGGATACGAACTTGTAACCACTACCGAAAAGGATCCAGAACCTTCATCCAGATTTGACACCGAATTGGCCGATGCAGAAATTGTTATCACCACTCCATTTTTCCCTGCATATTTGACTCGCTCAAGAATTGCCAAAGCCAAGAATTTGAAGATTGCCATTACTGCTGGTGTCGGATCTGATCATGTTGATTTAGATGCAGCCAATGAACGTGGCATTTCTGTTTTGGAAGTTACCGGATCCAATGTCCAATCAGTTGCAGAACACGCGATGATGACTATTTTGGCCTTGGTTAGAAACTTTGTTCCTGCCCATGAAATGTCTATGCAAGGTAAATGGGATATTGCTGGTGTTGCCAGAGACGAATACGATTTGGAAGGGAAAGTTGTTGCCACTGTTGGTGCTGGTAGAATTGGATATCGTATTTTGGAAAGAATGATTGCTTTCAACCCAAAGAAATTGTTGTATTTTGATTATCAAGATTTACCACCACAAGCTGTTCAGAAACTTAATGATGCTTCTAAATTATTCAATGGTGTTGACAATATTGTCGAAAGAGTTGAAAATTTAGAAGATATGGTTGCCCAAGCTGATATCGTTACCATTAATTGTCCATTGCATGAATCCTCAAGAGGATTGTTCAATAAGGAACTTATTTCAAAAATGAAGCCCGGGGCTTACTTAGTCAATACAGCAAGAGGTGCCATTTGTGTTGAAGAAGATGTTGCTGATGCTGTCAATTCGGGCCATTTAGGAGGCTATGGGGGTGATGTCTGGTATCCCCAACCTCCACCAAAGAATCATCCTTGGGTTACTATGAGAAATCCAAATGGTGGTGGTAATGCTATGACTCCTCATGTTTCAGGAACTTCGTTGGATGCTCAAGAAAGATATGCCAAGGGAGTTGAGAATATTTTGCAAGAATATTTCAACAAGACCTATAACTACCGTCCACAAGATATCATTGTTATTGATGGTGACTATGCCACGAAGGCATACGGTCAACGTTAATGCAGGTGTATTCCCTCTAGGATTCATCCTGAAAACTTTCTATTGTTTTTCTATATAAATTCGTAGATTCTTTATATGAAAATACATAGCTAGAACTTTCTGTTGAAATAGTAGTACTTCAATAGCTTCAGCAAAGGCTAATTGGGTGGCTTCCGTAACGTAGCAAAGTATGACAAGAGAATTCGGACAGCACATATAAAAACGAAATATATATTATCTTATAAGCAATAATAGGGAGGTGTCGAGCTTAGATTAATTATCCATCATAATTTATTCCGGCCGCCTCTAGTTTTCAGGTTTTAACATTTCTTGAAAAAACCCACAAATATTTGGCTGATTTTGCAGCAATTCATTTCTCCAATTTTATTCTGAAAAAATTTTACGAAAACACCCCTATATTATTTTTGGAAAATAGATTATCATTTTGCCAAATCATATTGCCAAAAAAGCTAGGTAGTCACATTTCAATATTTCCCTCGAATTCATCTTTGCTAGTATTCTCTTTGGAGATATTTTTTTTCGCAGCCAATCTCACAAAAGTAATTTTAATTCTTTGCAGCAAATTATTCAGACAAATTTTCTAGTAAAAACTGACGAAAGAGAAGGGAACGAATATTACACAGATAGCGTGGTCCAAGTTTTGAAGTTCTAGTATTAATCCTGAGAGTAGTACATCTTGTCCAAAACATTGCTTGAACACGCCTGAGAGCAGAACAGCTGGTCCAAAAATATTGCTTGAACACGCCTGAAAGCAGACCAGCTTGTCCAAAAATATTGCTCGAACATTTATTTCTTTATTTCTCTTCTCAGAAATATAGATAATACCAGCCGCTTTCCAAATTATACCAATTCTTCCCCCAAAACAGATACAAATATGGTTTCGGATATTTGAAACTACATTGGATATCCACACGTGGAGTCGGAATAAAGCTTATGCTGCAAGCAATTAAGCTCTGTCAAGAATAGAGCCACTCCCGATTATTACCCCATACTTCGAGACAAAACCAGCAATATTCTTTTCTTTACGTCTTGACCTTCCAGATAAAAAAAGGGCTTACGTCATTACGCGTTCTTCGGAACAAATTCTAAAACACGAATAACCCGAAATCATTCAAAGACAATTACATTTTTATTAGATTCGCGTCGTGAAAAAAAAGTGTCTGATTTATTTTTTGTCGCAAACCAATTATTTTTTTCCCCAAACTAAGATTTATTTTTTTCCCCAGATGTCAAAAGCCATCGGCGTATTGTTCAACTAAAATATCATATTGTTCCGATCTCATAGTGTATGTCGGAACAATAAAATACAAGTTGTTTAATTAAGAGAAGGTCAACGCGGTTTCAGTTTTCATGATACAAAATGTGGAACAACCTTCAAACAGCAAAATTGAGGCTTTACTCAATTGTAGCAAAGCCTACAACCTGTTTTGGTTTGAAAATGTATGTAAAGTTCACTTGACTTTGCAAAATATTTTACTTTACGCCTTGAGCTGATATATTTTGTCGGATGTGGGAGTAGAAGAGTTGATTCCAGAATAATAACATCTTGGATAAGCCTTTTTCATTAATACGAGATTCGGATATTAATAATCGTATATTCAAACAAGCCAACACTTTAGCTACCAAGCCTATTAATGTTCGAATATTTTACACTTGTTGGGTATTGTCGGAAGTATGAACACGTAAAGTTTAGAAGCCGACGCATATGTACAACTTTAGGCTTGGGCGGAACGCTGTAATAGGTCCATGCAAACAAGAACTGGGGTAAACTCTCATGATCAAGCTTTGTGATTGCTTCTAACTCTATCCTTTTCCCAACATCTGTTTCATTGTACGCTTAACATTGCACGCTTAAGACAGTTGTACCTTTTTACCTTGACCAAAAAAATATGTCAAAAGTAGAGCTTGTTTCATTTCTCAGAGTCACATCTATATGGGGGAATGCTCAAATTGAAAACCGATAAACTATGCGAGGGGTCAACATAATTTCTCGGATCTGGTACCTTGCGTGGCTTAAAAAATATCTCAATTTTGTTATTTTTTAAAGTGTTGCGATTTTGTTTTTGTTTTTGAGAATAATGCAACAAATCTAATAATGGAAATCACTTACAAAGGTATACTTTACACTGCACCGGATGTACTAATAATTACAAAACACATTTCAGCAAGTGAAGGCAACTGAATCCTGTTATGTGGGGAATCTAAGCCTGTTGTCTTTGTCTTTTATTCACATTCTAACACTGGATTTCCCCATTCTAGACCGGTTGTCGCAAATTGTTACAGATCCTATGTTTTCCGTCAATCGGTCGAAATTTAACAATCAACAAACCATTGAACACATCTGAGGAGAATACAATCCAGACTCGAGCTTCACTCTGATTGTTTCTTTGGAATCTGATGCTTGCTCCGAGTCTGGAACTTGCCATTCCGACCCAAATCAATCTCTTTTCAGTATGGAAGAATATGGAGACCCGCCCCAACTTTTCAAGTATATAAATCCCGCCAGACATCCTTTTAATTTCAATTAATTTTTATATTTTTCATCAGTCAAGTATCTTCAAAGATTTTCTTCTAAGATGTTGCCAATTCAATTATTAGTTTCCCTTGCATTCGTGCTTTTCGGTACCAATGCTCTTACTCCACCAGCTTCCCCAGATTATAACACTGAAGCAAACCCTCAATTACCATCCGTGTTATTTCAATTAGATAATTACACCTTCCCAGACTGTAAGAATGGTCCATTAAAGGACAACTTGGTTTGTAATGAAAGGGCTAGTCCAAATGAAAGAGCTAGAGCTCTTATTGAAAAGTTCACCACTGAAGATTTAATTGCCAACACTGGTAATACTTCCCCAGGTGTTCCTTCTTTAGGTCTTCCACCTTATCAATGGTGGCAAGAAGCTCTTCACGGTATTGACAGAGCTAACTTTACTGCCAGTGGTGAATTCCAACATGCTACCTCTTTCCCACAACCAATTTTAATGGGTGGTGCTTTCAACGATCCTTTGTATAAGCAAGTCGGTGATGTTATCTCCACCGAAGCTAGAGCTTTCAACAATGCTGGTAGATACGGTTTAGATGGTTGGGCTCCAAACATTAACCCATTCAGAGACTCTAGATGGGGTCGTGGTCAAGAAGTTGCTTCTGAAGCTCCAGTTCAAGTCGGTAGATACGCTTACAACTTAGTTCAAGGTATCCAAGGTGGTTTAGATAATGACAACACCGATAAACTTAAGATGGCTGCCACTTGTAAGCATTTTGCTGGTTATGATATGGAAGGTTGGGATGGTCACTCCAGATTAGGTTACAATGCTATCATTAGTGAACAAGATCTTTCTGATTATTATACTCCATCATTCCAACACTGTGTCCGTGATGGTAGAGCTGCTTCTGTTATGTGTTCTTATAATGCTGTTAACGGTGTTCCAGCCTGTGCAAATGAGTACTTATTGAAGGATATCTTAAGAGACTCTTACGATTGGCAAGATGGTCTTATTGTCTCTGATTGTGATGCTATCTACAACGTTTGGAATCCACACATGTATGCTGAAGACATGACCGGTGCTTCCGCTGATGCTCTTAAAGCTACCGTTGATGTTAACTGTGGTACCACTTACCCAGAAAACTTAGGTTATGCTCTTGGGAACAACACCATTAACGTAGGCCAACTTAAGGCTGCTTTAACTCGTCAATATGCTACATTGATTAGATTAGGTTACTTCGATGATCCAGAAAACCAACCATACAGAAAGTTAGGTTGGAATGATGTTGCTACTCCAGAAGCTCAACAAATTGCTTACCAAGCTGCTGTTGAAGGTCTTGCTTTATTGAAGAATGATGGTACTTTACCATTCGACCGCAAGATTAAGAATGTTGCTGTTATTGGTCCATGGGCTAATGCTACTACCCAAATGCAAGGTGATTACGCTGGTGTCGCTCCATACTTGATCTCTCCATTACAAGGTGCTCAAGGCGATTACCATGTCACTTATGCTCTTGGTACTCAAATCAACACTACTTCCACTGCTGGTTTCAGTGAAGCTCTTAATGCTGCTAAGCATGCCGATGCTATTGTTTACTTAGGTGGTATTGATAACAGTATTGAAAACGAAGCCTTAGATCGTGAATCCATTACCTGGCCAGGTAACCAATTAGAATTAGTTAAACAATTATCTGAATTAAAGAAACCATTAGCTGTCGTTCAATTCGGTGCTGGTCAAATTGATGATACTGAACTTAAGAATAACAAGCATGTTAACTCCATTCTTTATGCTGGTTACCCAGGTCAAAGTGGTGGTAAAGCTATTTTTGATGTCATTTCTGGTAAGTATGCTCCAGCTGGTCGTTTGACTACTACTCAATACCCAGCTTCATATGCTGATGAAGTTCCAATGACTGATATGTCTCTTAGACCAAGCGGAAGCTTCCCAGGTAGAACTTTCATGTGGTACAACAAAGAACCAGTTTATGAATACGGTCACGGTTTACACTACACCACCTTCAAGGCTTCTCCAGTTGGATCTGACAAGAAATCCGTTAACATTCAACAAGCTATTGCTTCTGTTCACAATACTTATGTTGATCAAGGTGTTGTTGCTACCTTCACTGCTGCCATCAAGAACACTGGTAAGGTTACTTCTGATTTTGCTGCTTTGTTATACGGAAAGACTACTGCTGGTCCAGGTCCACATGCTAACAAGGTTTTGGTTGACTACACCAAATTACATCAAATCGCTCCAAAGAAATCTCAAAATGCTGAATTTACTGTTACTTTAGGTTCAATTGCTCAAGCTGATACTCAAGGTAACAAATGGGTCTACCCAGGTACTTACACCTTATTCGTTGATAACGACAAGTTAACTAGTTTCACTGTTACCCTTACTGGTAAGGCTGCTATTGTCCAACAATTCCCTCAATCTAAGTAAATGGTTACGGCTTGAATAGTTGATTGACAGTGATTGGAGTTTTTTTTGGTTCATATACCTAACTCTTTAGATAAAAGTTTAGATGTTTTGTTCGTTTTTTTATCCTCGTTGTTTTTCATTTAGCGTTGTTTAGCTTATATAGTTTTAAAAATTTGATATTGTTTTCGTATTTTATATAACATTTACTTGTAAAATTGAATTTTACTTAATCTTCATAATTTGAAAGATTTGTAGTTTTAGAGTAAAGGAGATTTGTTAATTAGATTGACAAACTTTGAGTACTAGTGAGAATGTCAGATGGTCCCGTTTCGACCTCTAAAGCATCATATGGTGGCCATTGAAGTTGTTGCAAAATGCTTGTGCCAATGTTTTGGTTAACGGAAAAAGGACTTGTGCTAAAATTTCAATTCATCCAATTTTTTCCTTCTGTTCCTAAAATCTCCGGCGTTGTTCCTATTGGCTGAAATTTCCAGCAACAACAGTAGTAACTAGGGGTACAAAAATAATGTAAAAGAAACTCAGGAGAATGGGGAAAGTTCTAGAAAACCGGGAACATCAATATTTTGTTAACCAAAGTCCAACAATCTTCTCCAACATTAAAAATGCAGAGGTGCCAATGTTGTAGTCTCGGACTTGGTCTCTTCCCCCGGAAATCATCGCTTGCTTTGATCCATTTCCGTGAAAATATTTTTCGAGGAAAATAATCTTCCCCCCAGACATCAATTTGCTCATGACAGGTTTAGCATGAGCGACTAGATGCCATAGCTAGCGTAAATATATTAACTTGACTATTCGTCCTGGAGCAGACAATTAAAAGTATCCATTAAAACTGCATCCCTTTTAAATATAGGAAAATATGCTTTACAAAAAAAATTCTGGAGAATGATATCACGTGATGCGTAAAATAGCATTATTCACTGTTTTTTCCAGCCAATAATCAATCAGTAATTTGTAAAACACTACCCTTTTTTCTTTTCTTTTCTTCCCACCTCCCCCCAACGTCCCGGAGAATTTTCGGTCAGTTTTCTCTATACAGAAACAAAACACATCCTCCCCAAAAAAAATTCTGCTTATAAACTTTTTCTTTCTTTCTTCATTGAAGTTATACTCCCTACAGTCATTCCCATAATCTTAATTAATAATGTTTAAGTCAATCATTCGTCAAAATAACCAATTCAAATTTGGATTAAGAAGTTTAGCCACTGCTGCTGGAGAAAATGCTCCAAGAATAAAGAAATTTCAAATTTACAGATGGAATCCAGACACTCCAGATATTCAACCAAAGATGCAAACTTTTGAAGTTGATTTAAACAAGTGTGGTCCTATGGTTTTGGATGCGCTTTTAAAGATCAAGAATGAACAAGATCCTACTTTAAGTTTCAGAAGATCTTGCCGTGAAGGTATTTGTGGTTCATGTGCTATGAATATTGGTGGTTATAACACTTTAGCTTGTTTATGTCGTATAGATACTAATACTGCTAAGAATTCCAAGATTTATCCATTACCACATATGTATGTTGTCAAAGATTTAGTTCCTGATTTAACTCTTTTCTTCCAACAATATAAATCCATTCAACCATATTTACAAAGAGATACTAAACCAGCTGATGGTAGAGAAAACTTGCAAAGTATTGAAGATAGAGCCAAATTAGATGGTTTGTATGAATGTATTTTATGTGCTTGTTGTTCTGCTGGTTGTCCATCTTACTGGTGGAATCAACAACAATACTTGGGTCCAGCAGTTTTGTTGCAAGCCTACAGATGGTTGATTGATTCTAGAGATGAATATACTAAGGACAGAAAGCTTATGTTACAAAACTCAATGTCCTTGTATAGATGTCACACTATTATGAACTGTACTAAGACTTGTCCAAAGTTTTTGAATCCAGGTAGGGCTATTGCTGAAATTAAAAAGATGTTAGCTTTTGATTAGATTATCTAACAACTGTGTTGTTTAGAAGAACTTCAAAAAAAAAAGAATAAGAATAATTTTAATACATGAGAAGAAGCTTTTGGAGTAAGGTCCTATCAAAAAAGTGATATTTATTCAAAGAAAAGGAACTTTCAAGAAGAAAGGAGCATTGGTAGTGTCAGAGAGCAATCCGTGTTTTTACTGAGACCCATTTTTTATTAGTTAGTAATTTTCTCTTATTTTGTTTATATTTATTTCATAATTTATTTATATATTTACAAGCTAAAGTGGCTGCCTAAAAGGCGGCCCACCGCTCACTGTTGACTGAAAGGGTTGAGTGAAAGAAAAAATTTAATAAGAACAAATGAATTAATACACAATAAATAACTAATATAACAATAAACACTAACAAAAATGACAACAAACAGTAACAAATATCTAAGGTGAGAATATTTCAAGTGGGTATTACGTTGCGTAAGCCATCGCTTTTCAAGTGGGTATTACGTTGCGTAAGTTATTCATATATGCGTATAAGAATAACTTACGCAACGTAATACCCACTTGAAAAGCGATGGCTTCCTGAAAACAATATTTCCATTCTTCATCGTTATCAGCCAAGCCTCTTGCCACAGCAACATCCTTAAAAGTGTCATACAATACGTTTTCAAACGTTTTCAAATCCAGAAAACCCGTAGCTCCTGGAACCCTTGTGAGTAGATAACGTAACCACCACTTTTCCAGTTGATGAGCTTTATTACACGAAGGAATCCTTCCGATTGCAGGTTTGCTATTTGTTCTTCTTTTCCACTGAGGTTTGGCAAAACTATAATAGAAAGGAAATTGATCATATGTTAACGTGAGAGCATGACGGTATTCATCAATTTTCGCGGCGTCAATAATTTCTTCATTTGGATTTCTGCTTTCAAGCTTCTCAATTTCCAATTTAGCATTCTCATTATAAACAAATCACGCCTCCAACATAGATTTCTTCCGGTTTCTCAACATTTTTTCCATTTGTTCTCTTGTCATGTTTTCATCAAACATAATGGATTGTTCACCAAGTAAGTGTAAACCTAACCTCGAAACTGAAGGAGAGTTACCGTGTGTTTTTTGCTTCATAATGCGGTTAAGAGCTTCATGAGGGCCAAGGAACCTGGTGTTCAAGTATGATTTAACTTCATCCATGTTTTGTGAATCGTTGTCACTTACTGCAACAGTTACAGAATCTGTACCCTTATGCATATATTTATAAAGATACTTGATAGCGGTAGTGTTGTTGCAAATTTCAACATTAACATGAGCATTCAATAATAAAGTCAAGGCAGGGCTATACGGAACTACCCAATTTGCACCAACAGTCATAGGAAGACGATTAACAATGACAGTTGTAGTAGGAGATGATCGTGTTCTTTTGTATACGGGGTAACCATGTTCATTAATGATAGTCCTTTCTTGATATTCTTTTGGAAAATGATGTCAACACAGGCGTGTCCCATTAGAAAATCTCATACAGCTCGCATTAGTATTATGGTCACCACATGGAGAATGAATAAGAGAAGATGCAACAATGTCAAACAACTCTTGAACAAAAACCGACACATCAGGTAATTCGGCTTTAATGACTTGATCTAAAAACATCGGGATCATTCAAATTACAACCATTATAAAATACATACATTTTTAATTTTCCAAAATTCTCCTCTATTCGACATAAATTGGTAATTTAAACATTCTATGACCTTAAGAGAGATACATTAATCACTTTATTTGATTGATTGAGCTTAATTTGAGCTTAATTGGATGTATTTGTTGATGAAAACAAGAAAAGAAAGTGGTAAATAAAAATCAAAGCATTTGTTTTTTTTCGACGATCCTAAAAGTTCAAAAAATGAACATTTCAGAACCTGTGTGTAAATTGTATCACGCACTAAAAGAACGGAAATATAATCAAAATTACGGAAATGGTCTCACCATAAAAAAAAACTGTAAAAATGTAAAAGTCAACTTAAAAAATAATTTCAAGCCAGTTCTCAATTTAACTTTTCGCGTTTAATTTGTGATTAATTTAAAGTGGTAACCAAAGCTGCCTCGAGATGTCGAGAAAATCCCTCGGAAATATTGTTTGGCATGGATGACTATGACTTCTGAGGTAAGCCATCCTCGTTAATGTTAACATTACATGTGGTTCGAACCATCCATCATTAAGCTCTTATTTAAGCCTATCTAACGCAGATCTCTCACCAAAAAAATTCCTATACCAAATCAGAAAAAATTGTGGAAAAATAGTTTTCCATCATCCATTTCTCCAGCTTCCACACTGTAATCAAACACCATGTCATCAACAGCAACAAAGATCAGACCAGCCAAGAGACTAATTGAAACATCTGCTAAATGTTCTCAACAGGGAATGACATATGGTAATTGTGTTTTGAATAATTATGCCACAATGAGTAAAGATAAATGTGGTCAAGAATTTAATGAATTTAAGAATTGTATTTCTAAACAATTAAAAGGAAAGAAGTGGTAGATGGATTCTTCATAAGCCTGAATATAATTGCTTGATCTAGTGTGAAATGATTGATTCGAGGCTCGCATATTGGGATTTTGTGGTCAGCTCGCTCATCAAGGAGAGGACTGTACTTTCTTTGGAAAAAGGTTGTGAGATGGGCAACATTAAAATATGAAGCTCAAGTTGGACATGGACGGCCAAATCACAAGGCAGATGAATGGGTGAAGAGACGACATGCTTACGGAGTTTGCCTTGATCTTTGAAGTTTAAACTGGACTCATCCATAAGTACTGTCCGTTGAAATCATAAAATCCTTTATAGATTGATATGAACGAGATGGTCGTATAGATGACTTGGTTTCAATAAATATTGTTCGATTAAATCGTAATTCAATAATTCAATACAAGTAATGGTGTTCAATTAAATAGAAGTGTAGACTTCTTCATTCAGGGCACTTCAGAAAATGTGATCCTCTGGGAAAATAATACAAAACATTAGCTCTTATTGCACCTCTATACGAAGACGTATTTCTGTACAGCTATTACTGTAGTAATGTTAAGATGGGTATCATTCGACGATTCAATGTTAAACCTTGTTTACTAGATGAATTGCTTCCAATTCTAGAAAGATGCATTAACTCCTTAGATGCAGGTGTGTTGATACAAGATGACGATTTCCCCAGCTTTGACCAACCGACAATGATTTTATTTGAAGTGATTTCTCTCACATTGCAGACTATTAACTAATTTAACAATTTTTTTGCAACAATTCTACAGAAAGCGAACACAATAAATTTCTTATATCACATTTCTAAGACTGTTATAATACAACCTATACCAAGTATACCCTGACATGTTCAATGGTTGACATCTCCGCAATGGTTGGTATATCCTGTAAAGATACTTATTTATGAGTCAGTTGTGAGCGACTCTCTGAATAAGTAATCATCATGGATGATTCAGCATGATTCTTTTTTCGCAGTGGTGCGAATCATAGTCGCATGAGTCAACAATTATCAAGGCTAATACCATTAATTACTTCAAAAATTTGTATACAACAACCACAAAGTTGTCATACAAAATATTGTCCATATATCACATATAACGAATTAAGGGTAGTTTAGGAATTGTTGAGATAAATTTTTGAAATAGGTCATATGTCAAGCCTAATGACTGGAAAGGGCCTTTATCAAGGTTTTGCCGCGAGTCATTTTTGGTTCNGGTAGTTTAGGAATTGTTGAGATAAATTTTTGAAATAGGTCATATGTCAAGCCTAATGACTGGAAAGGGCCTTTATCAAGGTTTTGCCGCGAGTCATTTTTGGTTCGCACCGACTGGCCACGCCCGTGTCACGACAATATCACCAAAAAAAATCATATGAAGTTGTAAGAAAATCATATGCATTTGAAATTTATGATGACCGGTAGTTTTGTGGATTGGATCTTATACCGATTGAAATTTCGAAGGAATTATGGTTGGAATAGCTGATTGAAGATATGGAATCATCTAGGAAGATACTGGCTAGCTTTAGAAGAGAAGCATTTTGTAGCAGTTATCTCCTTAGTAAATTGATTCGGTATGAATATTATAGTCCGAAGGAAAAATGCAACCGTTTATTTTTTTTTTGTTTGTTTTATTGCTCGCATAAATTCACCCCTCTGTCTTTCTCCACAAAATGTCATTTCGAAAAACTTTTTCTTCTTTTATTCTTTTCCTTTTCCGTACTTCATTACTCCTGATTGTAGTTTATAAAGAAGAAAGTATCCCCCTCGTCAAATATTGATCTTGAATTTCTGATTTCTTCTTTTCTTCTTTACAATCTGATTTTTACATACTAACCAACATTTACCCAAATAATATAGACCACATCATCAAGTTCCGTATTCTCCAGACAAAATCCTTCAGAAATGATAAATATTTCTCGATTAGCTGGATATAATAAACAAGATGTTAAAAATATCATTTTATTACTTCATGAATTTGTAACCACATTCAAAAAGAATCGGCTTACGATCAATTTCCAATCCAGACCCGTTATATTATTCTTGGGGACATTAATTAGTACGGTTGGATTTGGAGCATATTTCACCATTCGAAATATTATATCTCGATATAATGAACGACAAATTAATAAGAAATTATTACGTCCAAGTTTAATTCGACAATCTTCAACAATTTTAAAAAATGGATCTCGAGAGATTTTTATCCCCAAAGGGAAGGGGAAATTTACCAGGATCATTATCCCAAAACCGAATAATGATACTTATGCTGCTGATAAATATTTATATATCAATTTTCGGAAGAATCAACAAATATTAACATTACAACAAAAAGGGGTTTTGTTTAATTCGAAATTTTTAAATCAATTGATTATTATTTGGAGAATCCTTATACCTAAATTTTCATGTAAAAATACTGCGTTGTTATTAGCTCAATGTTTCTTTTTGATTTTTAGAACTTGGTTATCATTAATTATTGCAAAATTGGATGGTCAATTAGTTAAGAATTTAATTTCTGCTAATGGAAGGAAATTCCTGCGTGATTTGGTTTATTGGTTACTTATTGCTTTTCCTGCTTCATATACTAATGCTGCTATAAAATATTTGGATAGTAGATTATCATTGGGGTTTAGAACAAATTTAACAAGATATATTCATGATATGTATTTAGATAAAACAATGGCATATTATAAAGTTGGAGTTAATAATCAAGAAATCACCAATATTGATCAATATATCACTGACGATATTACTAATTTCTGTTCTTCATTATGTTCATTATTTTCATCAATGGGTAAACCTTTTATTGATTTAGTATTCTTTTCGGTTTATTTAAGAGATAATTTAGGTACTGGTGCAATTATTGGTATTGCCGTGAATTATTTTGCCACGGCAATGTTATTGAAAAGAGCTACTCCATCATTTGGGAAATTATCAGCCCAAAAGGCTCATTTAGAAGGAGTTTATTTTAATCAACACCTTAATCTTATGACAAATTGTGAAGAAATTGGATTTTATAAAGGATCATTAATTGAAAAATTTAAATTATATGAAGAATTTGAAAAATTGATGAAACATTTACATAAAGAAAATAATATTGGTTTTTGGTATGGAGTTTTAGAAGATTATGTATTGAAATATACTTGGTCTGCTTGGGGATATATATTTTCAGGATTACCAGTTATATTTGACGAACTTTGGAAGATTATTGGTAGTGGTGATAATAATGAAGAAAAACCAGTTGATAATGTAAATGAAAGAAGAAATATGAGACAATTTATTATTAACAAAAGATTATTATTATCCCTTGCAGATGCTGGTTCTAGATTGATGTATTCTATTAAAGATGTTAATACATTAACTGGATATACTGATCGTGTCTTCAATTTATTGACTCAATTGCATAATGCTCATTCACCTAGATTTGATTATGGAGCTAAGAATGGTATTAAAGATATTAATGGTACAATTCAATCGAATTATTTACAAGGATTACGATTTGAACATATTCCAATTATAATTCCAAGTTCTAAAGGAGTTGAAAATCCACCATTAATTGAAGATTTAAATTTCACTTTATCGAATCATAAGAATTTATTAATTTTGGGAGCAAATGGATGTGGCAAAACTAGTATTGCAAGAGTTATTGCTGGATTATGGCCATTATATCGTGGATTATTATCAAAACCAAATGATGATGATATTTTCTATTTACCTCAAAAGACCTATTTTACTACTGGTAATTTACGTGATCAAATTATTTATCCATATACTGATACTGATATGTTAGAAATGGGATATAATGATGATTATTTATATCATATATTACGTGAAGTTAAATTAGAATATCTTTTAACCCGTGAAGGTAATTTTAATGTTATAAAGGATTGGAAAGATGTTTTAAGTGGAGGTGAAAAACAAAGAATGAGTATTGCAAGAGTATTATTTATGAATCCTAAATTAGTTATATTAGATGAAAGTACCAATGCTGTTAGTACCGATGTTGAAGATTATTTATTTGAATTATTAAAATTGAAAAAAATTCCATTTATAACTTTAAGTCATCGTCCATTATTAATGAAATATCATGATTTTGTATTGGAAATTTTACAACATGGTAAATGGGAATTACATGATTTAACCAGTGAAGAAAATTTAATTAGTATTGATAATGAAATTAAACAAATTGAAGATAAATTATCTCAAGCTGAAAAATGGCAAGAAAGAAAAGAAAAGATTGAATTATATCTTGATGGTAGAGTAAATGAAGATGATTTAGAATTGAATGGTCTGGCTATACTACCAGTAGAACAACCAAAGATTACAGCTATTTAAGTCAGCCTAGGTAGACTTTCTAGTAGTTCTTGCTTTTGATTTTATTTAGAAATATATATATATTTGTTTAATGTATCGGAATTTGCATATTTACAGGAGTAACACTATTACTTAGTAGTAGTGTATTGATTACCAAATTGGTTGTTAAAAAGCCAGTGATAGATAAGAAGTGATACGTAGTTTGATTTGTTAGTTTAAATATTTTGCAACCAAATTCTCCCCTATTATGTCTTTTTTTTTTCTATTATGGAATGAGAGACAGAGAGAGTAAATCCCGGAGATTGAAATTCAAATCGTTTAATCGTTTAAATTATGGTAACAAGATACACGACCTTTCACACTTAATTTAATTTCTTTTTTTTTTGTGGTGATTTTTAAGAAAAGACACGCTCTCTTGGGTGTACAAAAATATTTAACACACATCATAATAATTTTATAGGAAATTAAATTAAACAGATGGGCTCTCAAGAATTCAGATTTTTTTTTTTCAATTGAATTTCTCTTTTTATTAATTCTTTTTGGCTTTACATACAAAATCAATCAATCTTCAAATATAGTAATGTCTGAACCAATCAAGAAGAAGAACGGTGATATCTCCAAGGCACCAACTCCTCAAAATACTCCATCTTCTGTAGGTACTTCATATTTACGTTCTCAACCACCAACTGTATCAACTATTGAAGAAATTAATGAAGAAAATGTTGGACAATTAGCTAATAATCCTGCTTTATTAAGTATGATTCAAGGTAAATTAGGCGATTTAGTTGGTAAATCTTCTGGTTATGTTGAAACTTTACCTAAAAAAGTTAAGAATAGAGTTTATGGTTTAAAATCTATTCAAGCAAATCAAATGAAATTAGAAGCGGAATTTCAAAAAGAATTATTAGAATTAGAAAAGAAATTCTTTAAATTATATGAACCTTTGTATGAACAAAGAAAAAAGATAATTGTAGGTGATTTAGAACCAACTACTGAAGAAATTGAAGAAGGTAAGGCTTTAGAAGAAGAAGAACATGATCATTCAGAATGTGAAGGTGATCACGAACATGAACACGAAGAAGAGGAAGAAGAAGAAGAAGAAGAAGAAGAAGACGATACTAAAGGTATCCCAGGATTCTGGCTTACTGCTTTAGAAAACTTAACTACTGTTTCCGAAACAATTACTGAAAGAGATTCAGAAGTATTACAATATTTAAGAGATATTCGTATGGAATATTTACCTACTCCTGGATTCGAATTAATCTTTGAATTTGGAGATAATGAATTCTTCTCCAACCAAATCTTAACCAAGACTTATCATTACCAAGCTGAATTAGGATATAGTGGTGATTTTGTTTATGATCATGCTGATGGTTGTGAAATTAATTGGAAATCGAAGGAAAATAACGTCACTATAAATATTGAAAGAAGAAAACAAAGAAATAAAACTACTAAACAAACAAGAACTATTGAAAAATTGACTCCTTGTGAATCATTCTTTAATTTCTTTGATCCTCCAAAACCACCAAAGATTAATAAGGAAGAATCTGAAGAAGATGAAGAAGAAAGTGAAGAAGAAGAAATTGAAGATGAAGATGAAGATTTAGAAGCAAGATTAGAATTGGATTACCAATTAGGTGAAGAAATTAAAGATAGATTGATTCCACGTGCTATTGATTGGTTTTCAGGTGATGCTGTTGATTTCGCATACCCTGAAGAATTCGGAGAAGGTGAAGAATTCACCGACGAAGAAGAAGGTGATTCTGATAGTGATGACGATGACGAGGATGATGGACAGCCTAAACAACCAGCACCTGAATGTAAACAGCAATAATTGATTGGGTGCTTTTCTCTGTAAATTTTATTATTTTGTCGTTTTCTTTTATTGTCAACCTTTTTAGTTTTAGGTAGTTTTTTATAGATATGAAAGTAAAGATAAATATATTATCCGTTCCTGAATGTGATCAATATCGTACGATGATCAACCCAAGCAAGGGGCTTGGATCAACACAGTTGAAGAGCTATAAAGCATGAACACAATAATTTGTGTGTAACAGCAGAGAAACTATAAAGTTTGAACACAATCATTTATGCGAAAGAGGGGAGAAGTAAACTCTAGTGTAAATCCAGTGAAGCAACGCCGCATAAGTTATATACTTCTAGGAAGATCCTTATCGGTTAGAGACGGAGATCAAAAGAATGGTTTATTTAAAGTTGTGGTCACTGTCTCAGCTTTAAGCTATAAAGCCAAACCATCATCTAAAATAATCCTAAACTTCGAAATTTCCCTAACTAATTTCCTTCTAAAGACAAATATGTCACTAATTACATTTCTTATGGATTGGAAATGGACCGGGCGATTCTGGAACTAGACACCCAACCAACAGTTCTCAATCCAAATCTCGAATTCCCCGAAATGGGGCATCCAAAGACATGTTCCCCAAATGAGGATCCGGGGAAGGTAAGCGAACGACTGACTGATCTAGTACATTTTTTTTCAGAAATGTAACAAGTTTCACACCGGAACTCGTCCCCGTTCTTACTGTAAAGACCGGCGAAAATCGATAACGTCCGCGATTATTGTGTAAATAAGGAGATGTAACCGTTCTTTTACAAAAATGTAACCTTTCTAGATATGGTGTAAAAAATTTCCCCTCTCTCGGAATTAAACCCGGAGGGCCCTAGTTTATACTTTCACCACAGATTGATTAAACAAACTTTGAACTCCTCATCAGATGTTTAATTTTTCTATTATTAGATTCCTTCATTCTGTGGGTTTGAGTGTTGTCTAAAAATAAATAACACCACGTGAACCTACTTCTAGTCTGCGTCAAAAGTGAATTTAATTTTCTGGGAGGGGGGAGTTATGAAGGAATTTATTTTTTTTGGGGGTTTGGTTGGTGGTGGTTTTGTAGCCGTCAGATCGAAACTTCAGATCAGTGTGTACTACTGACCACATAATGTTGCATGAGAGTGCAAAAAGAGTGTCACCAATGTTTTATGGTGGTAATGGCTTGATGTTAGTGTTTTATGAATGATTTTGAAAGTGGGACAAAACCAAGTTACTAAAATGTGTCCATTTAGTTAAGCTTTGTTTGCAGCAATACAAACTGTAATTATGAATAGATTCACACCCACTTACAGTGTAATTGGTTGAAAATTTTTTTTTTCTTGGTGATTAGGCTAAAAATAAAACAAACGTTTCTTTTACATTAGCGAAAATCACAAACAAAGCATAATGCAAAAAATATTTTTTATCTAAGAATATTTTTTCTAAAGTCTGCTTGTTTTTACCGCTTTTGTAATTAATCATCACAAAAGCCAACCTTTTTTTTCTTCAAATTTATTCTAATTACTTTTTTTTTTAAACGGGGTAAATAATGCCAGGCTTCCGACTATATATAGTACCTGAGAATTTCTCCAAAATCCTTGAAAAAAAATTCCTACCTTTCTTCTTTTTCCTCTCTCCAGATCAAGTTCAACCAACCCCCCCTCTAATACAAATCAAACATAATATAATGAAGCTCGCCTCCGTATCCACTCTCGCATTAGCATCCACCGCCCTTGCATCCCAAATCAAAATCAAAAGAGATGAAGCCGCTTGTGATACAAGTTGTGTAATGTTACAAGAAATTCAACTCAGAATGTGTGGGGCCGAAATTGCCGGTGGTGACTCCGTGGAAATAATTCAATGTACTTGTGAAATAGATGAACAATTTTGGTTATTAATGAGTGATTGTGCCCTTAATTGTCCAGCACAATCTTTTGATGCTCCTGATAAAGACCCTGTTGGTATTAAGAGTCATTATTGTAATGCTATTAATGCATATATTGAACCTTCTGGTGTTGAAGAAGATGATGTTGTGGTTTCAACCAGTGCTGGTACTGTTGATGCTGCTACTACTGAGGATGCCTCAGGTAGTGCCACTACCTCCAGTGTTGCTGGTACTTCTGATGATGCTGATGCAAGCACTACTTCTGGTGAAGTCGCTAGTTCAACCGCTGAAGAAACTTCTACTGGTGCTGCCGATATACTTGTCATCGGTACCGTGGGACATTTGATTGCCGTTGCTATTGCTTTATTGTAAGATAATACAATATTTTTTTAATACTCTTTTAGATATTTAAATCTATACAGAACGCTATTTATGTTTAATCGGATAATTAATAATTGATTCTAGATTTCTAACCACTTGTAGCAAATAAAGGAGCGCTGAGTCTATGATAACATCTCCAGAATGGTGTGAATGTAGACAATCAGGATTTTGCAACTCACTCCTCTTACTACTACGCCCTCTCTCTCTTTAATCGTAAAGCCCTCTTCACATAATGAATTGAAATTCGCCTCCTGCCTCCAAGAGTATCTAATATACTAGGGGCTAGCTTAACTCATCCTAAACTATTGTTTTCTTTAAGGTGTAATGTTCCATCGAGATAATGTAATTGAATACTGGTATATGCGTTGTGAGTTATTGGCTATCCACAGATGCGCGTTTATTCATTTGTTGAAGTTGTCCATACGTCCATTGGGTGAATTAGTTTGTGAAAGAAAGAAAGCAGAAGTTTCTTCTAAATTGTAGGGTGTAAACTTAATCTACGAACTGATTCTGGTCTTGGACGACGTGGATCAATTCACATGAAATGCCAAATCTGTTCTCATGCCTGAGAATTAAGACAAAGGTAGAATATTCCTTGAAATGGTAAATCCATATCGACAACCGGGAATATTGGTAAACTTCCCGAGGAATATTTTGGCAATACACAATGCCACAAGGGTACACTCTTGCATTCGTTTTGACGTCATGAGTTGTTTAAATCCGTATCCTCGGTATTGATCAATGTCGTCCACAGCTCACATCAATCACGTTACAAGCCATATCAGGAGTCGCCAATAGTGGACATTTCAGAGACTCATCGCAAGTATGGAACTTTGCAACGCCGTATGCAATTGCACAAAAGCAGAAAAGCATGTCAAGTGAAATTTAGTGTAACACCGCGGAAGAAAGAAGTTGTTCCATATATGTAACATAAATCAAGCCCCCAGAAAAAAAAGAGGCTCCGAGACTCGGCGGTTTTCGGATTTCAAAAAAAGTCTTGGGAATGAACAAATAAAAATGTCATCAGCGGATCATTTGCAGCTGCTACAGAACAAATGAAAGTGATGTAGAATATAAGCCTCTTAAAAGGGACAGGTCAGTGTATTATATTGTGAAAGTACTGAAAATCTTAAAATAAAATCACCGATGACGCGGTGATCTTGTGAAGTTTTTTCAGAAATAAAGCCTAGAAATGGGCGATGCGTTTTCCTTGTTTGTAATTACGAAGACAATGGAGAGAATAAAAATCGATCGAATATTATATTCTGCTGATGATTAAAATTGTCATCGGGAATGAGTTTTGTGATTAAAAATTGAATGTCTATAATTTCATAGATGTGGTTGCAGCCAAAATTCTTGGTAGCATGTGAAAAAAAAAGTGACGTTCGCTTATAACGTCACTTGCAACCTTACTTGGGAATAGCATATTAGCTGTGACCTATCTTACGTTTTGCCAGTGATAATACGATTGAGTAGGTATTCTTGCATCATTGGCATGATCTTCTGGGATTGTTGTTGTCAAGAACGTAAAGAGGTAACGAGGTTGGAAAATAAAATATTTTCCGCCTTCCTAACCATTTATGGATTGGAACTTTGTATAACAAGAAAATCCTCCGTTTTATTTTTTAAGAAAATACCGTTTTTGTTTCTTTCTTTTAGAAAACAAGAGATCCTAAATTGTTCAATTATGAACTAAATATTCTTGGGAGGGGAGTGAAATTGATTAAGTTCTTTCAGATAAACAATCACCCACGGATCAATTTACCGTCAGAAACGTTAGCAAATGCTTTGAGCAAATGCCATCTGCCTGCCGTGTTAACCTTGCTTGTTTGGGTCCTCGTGCACACTTTAACGGGTAAGGATTACGGAATGAAAACGTAATTCGGAGCTTAAATTTTCTTAGCTACGATGAAAGGCTTGGAAGATGAATTCCGCCCATAATTATTTGACGGCAGACAAGATGACGAGATTACAACATTTGTCATTCTCAGTTTGTTTGTTATTATCACTATTCCACCTGTTATTTCTGATTGCAAAATGCGCGTTTGTAAGCCAGGGTCTGGATTTGTCAATGGGAGATATCGGAATGTCTAAACAATGTGATCTAATTATTCTTATTATTGTTGTATTGTCTTAAAAGTGGTAAAATTGGGAAAAGTAAAGGGCTTTAGTATTTTTGCACATGGGTATTGTTAAATAGTTTAAAACCCTTAAAAAATAAAACTACAATTGCATTTAAAATATTTTAGAATGTGACGTTTTAAGAATTTTACCGTATGAATATTGTTGTTGCATTTTTCTTAAGAAGAAACTTACATATTTAATCAAACTGAAGGGATATCAGTAATGGAAGGCTATGGATCAATTTGATATACTAGTTGCTGATCTTTTATCCTTTGCTAGCAACAGATACGGAGACGTGGGTCTTTCCCAAATTAAGCAATCATAAAACACCGGGTACTAAAAAAATAAGGTTAGACAATGGGGCCTAAGTTTAATGAAATAAAAATAAAAATCATAAAAAAAAAAAATAATATGAATTGTTAAATATTTTTCACATGCATAATTTTAAATTTTTAAGCTTTGTCTGTTTAGCTTTTGTGGTTAAAGGGGGCCATGAGATTCATTTTGTTAAAACATTCCACAATTCTTCAATAATGAATTAGTTAATCTAACTATATTATTTTTTTTCTTTATTTCATAAAATTTCTTTGTGGTTGTTTGAGTTTCTCTCTCTTTCTATTAATTATTCATCCCCATGTGATTTAATTAAATTTATTAAACTTAATATTTGTGTGTGTGTGTTAAATTAAATTTTCATAATATAAATTAATATCATAATCCTCTTATTTTTTAAATCTCTTGATACTTCTTCTTTTCTCTTTCTACTATAGATAATCAATATATACAAATACATACAAATATGTCAGACCAAAAGCAGACAAAACAATTCGACTCTAAGTTATTAAATCATATTAGTGAATATTCACTTGTTAAATATTTCCAACAATTGATAATTTCAGTATCAATAATTAATCTTATTCATCAACAATATATTTTACCATTACTTGCATTTGTTAATGCTCAAATATTAACTAAATCTCCAATTTATGAAACTGTTAACTTTGTTGATGTTCAAGCTGACCTGACTTTATCGACTTTTGATAAATATTTCCTTGAAATTCCAAAGACTACTGTTAATTCATTCTCAAAGACTTATTTAGATATTGCTAATAAGAAATTAATAGAAGCTAATAACAAGTTCTTAACTCCAATTGAAAAGAGTGACTCTGTTGTCGATACTGTTAAGAATGTTGCTGTCAATGTTAAGAATACTGCATTCAATAAGTCAACTGAAATTCAAAAGAACTTGGTTGATACCTATAACCATGAATTATCAAGTGCAAAGAAACAAAATGTCATTGGTAAGAATATTGAAGCTTCTTATAATACTGCACAAAAGACTATCAAGACATTAAATGAAGAAATTATTACTCCATTAAAGAATCAAACTCAAGATTATGTTGATCAAATTACAACTCAAACTAAGAATAAGGCTGATGAATTGATTAAGACTAAAGTTAGTCCAAAGATTGAAGAAATCAAGAAGAAGAAGGATGGATTCTTAAATGGTAATGCTGCCCCAGTTCCTGTATCTGGTTAAGCACCGTTTGACGTTTCGTCACCTGTTTGACAAGTGATTATATCAATAAGACGAGCTAGGTGTGTGTGTTTATACATGAAACAAATTGCTTCATTATATTGCTTACACTTCTATTTATTTTTATTTTTATTCTGTTTTGTTCTTTCTTTCTATTAATTTTTACAAATACGTGTACACTTACCCCCCTAGCCCCCTTATTGTATTCTATTAAACCTTTTTATATATTAGTAATTTTAAATAGATATAGGTCAATATACAAAGATATCCTTAAACGTTGCTGTTATCTTCTGAACTTAGGCTTTATTTCTTGTATGTTTTCGGTTGAAGTTGATAAGATAAGGTTTGCAATTCTAGATTTCCCCCCTTATTTACACAAAGACGAAAAAGGAACAGTTTACGAACCAGAAAAAAGTTTGGTCGCAAAATATTTTTCAAAGCCACAGTCCAAGAAAAGTAGCAATCAATCAATCAATCGATCACTCGTGGGACAAAGTCGGTTGAATCAATCGGACATGTGTTTACTTTGCAAGGTTATAGGTAATACTAATTCACTATATTAAACTATTGAAACGTTTTTATATAATCAAGACCTCCCACGCACTCAGGCACAGTCAACCCTTCCCCACCTAAAATATCATGTATTTCCATCCCAACATCCACAGTTCTCTCTATCGCATCATGCTCCAATATCAACCCCTTTCCTCCATTCTTTTCTTTAAATTTCCGAACATCATGATATATATCACCTTCATTTCGATTATTAGAACTATCCAACATCTTCCAATCAAAAGTATCAAAATCCCATAAAACAGCTTGCATGCCAAATTGTCTCAAAATTGCTCGAATTCGATTATCAATTCCTCCATAGGGGGGTCTAAACCATTTAGGTAAATGGCCAGCAGTTGCATTCATGGCCCAAATACTCCATTGAATTTGTGCTATAATTTCTGGATTAGATAATGACGGTAAGAATTTATGACTCCAAGTATGTGAACCCATAATATGACCTCTATAATGAGATTCACGATAAATTTCCGGAAATCGAACAATATTAACCCCCAATGTAAACAAGGTAGTCTTGGTTGAACCAAATTTATCCAATAATTTCAACGTACTGGGCAGTGGCCCATCATCAAAAGTTTGTGATAATTGAGGACAAGTATAAACATCATCAAATTCAACACAATTGTAACAATCAAATGAACAACTCAAGGGAGAACGTAACATTGGTGCTTGACATTCGGCTTGATCATGTAGTGGAATATCAGGAATATCATAAAAATTTATAAAATCTAACGGAATATATGGTGGATCAACTCCTGGCCATTCATATAATCCAGTAAATTCAGACAACCATTCAGGAAAGGGTAATGGTTCATAATAGTAATTTACTTTACTTGTAGAACCTGGTTTTTTCGGTCCTGGTTGTTGCCCCGGTTGGGAAGCTTGTGGATTTTTAGGAACTTTTTGACGTTGTTGAGGAGCAGGTTGAATCTTTTGACCTGGTTTTGTAGCCGGTGGTGGAGCTTTTGCACCTTTTGATGGAGCTGCAGTTGGTGGTGTCTTTTGTCGACCTGGTAGATTTATTGGAGATCTTTGACGTCTAGGTGTCGCTTGTGGGGTCTTCAGGGGATGTAATTCATTAGGCGGTTTTCCATGAACTTGAGAACCATCACGGTTTTGGAATAACGGTGACTTAAATGGAACTAGTTTAGATGTGATTCTTTTGCTTGGTGGGGCCGGTGTGGAAAATGTTATGGCGACTGCGAGAAGAAAAAGAATCAACCTTGAAAGCATATTTTTGTGGGTTGTTGTGGTTGTTGTAGTTATGATTGAATTATTAGTAAACAGGGAACAAAATGAAAGTGTGTATATATGTTATTAGGTACAATTAATTGATCCCCAAGTAGTTGTAGAAAGTGTGCTGATCGAAGCTCAAAGACTAATAACCACAAAAGATAATTGCTGCAAAATCTATGATATTTATTATTTTTTTTCACAAGAGAGTCGTGGAAATACCAATCTTGCCTACCAAAATACCAAAATGCTTGGACTAATAAACCCTCTTTGTACTAACAAGTCAATTAATTCGAAATGCAGAATTGGCTTTGGATTTCTTGCTTGGAATAACGTTATCCTAGTTGCTTTTTGAATTGTCTTTTGTGGCTGACTGCAAACCGGCGGTTGTTGGAAAATGACAAACAAACTCTAATAATCAGGCAATGTCTATGAGATCTCCGGCTCCTTAAATAGTCAAACTTTCTCAACCCTTGTAATGACTAGACTGAGAAAGAATTATATATTTGTCCTTCCTAATAATCAAAGTAAAGCTAAGTTGTCTTCAAAGTGGGAAACTCGTGAAGAAATCCGAAAAAATACAGGCCTTCTTAATTTAGTAAATAACAACACACATTTAACTTGGAAATTGTTTAAATAGCCAGGTATCTAGTTAGGAATAATAATCTATGCAGTTTGTAAGCTTGCAAAAGAAGTACATCATCCCTGTTCTACTTAAGACAGTTTTAATTCGACTTGTAGTCAGCTTAAAGTCTAAGACAAAATCCTTTCGTAAACTCAACTCTACGCGCTTGAACTCCAGGAACTGGTATTTGAATGTATCAGTACGTGCAAGCTTTGGTCAGCCTAAAGTTCAGTATTTGACTGTGTGAATGCATGCACAGGTAAAGGCAAGAACACAAAAGGAGACAAATGTTGCAGTCGAAAATGTCGCACAGTGATCGAAATTTGCAGCCACGAATTGTTGCTACTACTCGGTTGAACTTGCACTTCCTCAAATTTAGAATTATGTATCGGACATTTCTGTATTCTGTTTCGATTAATGAGAGGAATGTATCTTCTTATGACATGGAATATGATATGATTAGCTAACAATTTGGCATTACCGTAAACAATCCAGCTTTCGAACTACTACGAGAATGTGTTGTTCTTTTTTAGATACGAAGAGAAGAATATAGTTCCAAAAAGCATGAAAAATCTTCTGATAGGAAAGCGGAATACTTAGGAGCCATTGATAGGATACATACTTGTTAGGGTTTTATTTCTCTTAGTTTTTCACCTGATCACTGAGAATCAACTAGTTGTTAAGATAGTTGAAACTTCCATAACCAAGATCAAGTACAAAATTTCTTATCTGAAACTCCATGATAGGAAAATATACTAGTATAATGAATCTCTGACAAATCCTAAATCTGAAGAATATAGCGTGCGATACAAAATTATTCGGAAGATCTGGACAACACGAGGAAGGCGCAACACTATGACCAGAGAACTCGCTCGTATACCCTACACAAAAATGTGAACGAGAATTACTAAGTACTACCTTATAGCACATGTCAACAGAAGACTGTATTTATTTTCTAGAGAATTATAGATTAAAACAATGCAGTTGGAAATTAAGAAAGCGTGCATGTAGATCCAATTAACAACCAATTTGAAATATGCTGCAAAAAGACAGAAAAAATCTGTATGGCGTGATGCATAATTGGACCCCAATTCCATCTAGGGCAGGTTTGACGCCGTTGCCGGGCCAAAAAGAGTTTATAACAAACCCTTAAATATAGAAATGTGTTTGTTACTCTTGTTTATTTTTTTAATCTCTATAGCAGACTCATAATAATACGAAAAATTAAACTCTACAATAATAACTATATTTATATATATGAAACATTTTTAACCTTTGTTAACCCAGACAACTCTTAAATTATTTTGTTGATATTCTCCCAATATATAACACAATTTGAATCCCAAAATGATTTCAACCAAAATAATACATCTTATATAATAATAACATGCAAATAAATAAAATAAAATGTAATCAATTTATCAATAAATTGTAAAAAATGAAAATAGCCAACTTAGCTATTTTGATATATTAGATGTATTTTCCCCATTCCTTCTAATTAATATCTTCTTCTACATCGTCATCATCATCCAGTAGTTTTTGTTGTTTTTCAATTTTCAATTGCTCAATTTCTGATTGTAATTTCTTCAATTGTCGTTTTAGATTTCTATTTTCATCTAAAATTTCTTCATATCTTCCATTTAGACTTGCTCTTCTTTGTATTGGATGGACCTCTCCCTTATACTTTTTAATTATATCTTCTTGTATTTGCAGTATATTGTTAGAATTGCTATTTTGTTGGGCAGTACCTGAAGTGAATGAATAGTTACCAAACATAGGATTGACACTTCTCTTAGATGTACTTGAAGTTGAAGAACTTCGACTTCCACTAGTAGACAACGAACTTGAACGACGAATCGATGGCGTAGCGTTATGATTAGGTAATTGAATACCAGGATTATTCATCTTTAATATTTTATTCTCCAGTTTCAAAAATTCAATTTCTCTCATCAATTTCAATACAATTGCATCTTGTTCTCGTTCCATCAAATCAATAATCTGTTCATTTGAAAATTCAGAAAATGATGCTCGATTTGGTGAAGGCATTGAATTGGTCGTGTAATTACTGCTACTAACACTTAAAGAGCGATTGTGGCGCGCCGCGGCATTGGTTGCTGTAATACTATTTCTTGGAGACACCAGAGAAGGTGAAAGTGTCCCCAATATTGGAGGCGATAAAGCAGACATGGCTGAGCCTATAGTGCTTGTAGTTGGCAACCTTGGTGATGTTTGTGACAATGTTGACAATGTAGGTGCTGAGGATGTGACCATATGATGATGATTATGTGGAGTACTTGGTGTAGATGGGTTGGGGGCAGTTGATGACACAGATGCAGAAGTAGTGGTAGACGATGATGCAGTTGCAGTCGAAGCGGTTGATGGATGTGTAGTTCTTGGAGTAACCATTTGATCTAGATAAAAGCTGAATAAAAATACAGGGAATAGATTTAAGTGAAAGAATAAAAAAAAAAAGGACACAAGAAGAAATTAAGAAATTATAAAGATTATTTATAATTAAAATTTAAGATAATTATTACAGTTTTTTGTTTTCATTTTTATTTTCTTTAAGAAATTTTCTTCTCCGCTTTTTTGGGTTTCAATTTGTGTATTATCTTTTTTTTTTTTTTTGCATTCATATAAATTGATTACGTAAAGCTTAATTATTACAGTTATACATAAAGACGTAAAAGCTTATTTTTTACAGGTTTGAAAATTTCAATAAAACTTACTTACTCCTGTTCGTTTAAAAAAAAAGACAATTCAATACCATTGTCCTACTCTCTTCTAGAGAGAAAAATTATTAAACATTTTTCCGCCCCCTACGATACCCCTAATTGAAGTATGACTACCCGACACCGACAACCCATAGTATATGGTTGACCCATAAACGTTGATAGATGGGTTTGTTATCTGTCAATTTAGATTTTAGATAATCTTTTTTTTTTCTCTTAATAATAATTTGACGGGCAATGCAACATCATCTGACAACTTGGCGCATACCCACGCACAAAAGATTATTTATCAAGGAGATGGAAATACACTCAGCCATGGTCGCATTTACACAAAATAAATAAGCTATTGACTCATCCGATCTAAATTCCCAACAATTACAAAGTCTAAAAGATTAACACCGTTGGGGTTCCCATCAAGTTCATTTGTCATCACCATCGGTTCAGAGCCCGTAGAATCTGGTATATTATTTTTGATCATAACGACTCCCAGTCATAAGCTCCTTCCCCCCTTTCCCCACCCGTACTCCCTAAAAGTCAGCGAGTCGTTTCTTTTGTTAGGCTTTAGTTCCAGTTTAGTAAGATTTCTATGACAATCAAAAAATAAAGGCTGAGATAGGCATGTACGGATGCTTCCAGGATTTCCTTACATAAACGTGATACGTATTTCAACATGATGGCGCAATTTATAATTTATTCTGGAATCACCGTGGGATTTGTTGACGAATCTACTTCAAGGGTGCTTTCCCCTATTTGGAGTGCGACTAAATGCCTCAAAAAGAATGGCCCTGACATCATTATCGAATGATTTGGAAAAAAAATACCTTCTGGGGATTAAATTCCGCATTCATCGGATATCATCGTCATAGTACATACGACGGGACTTACCAACAAATTCATTCGGAAATGTTGGCATTTCTTCGACCTAATTGGCACCCAAAGTTGACTTCAAAAAGGCGGTCCCCAACCAGCCGAAGGAAAAAAGTATGAAGTCCTTGCCGACTATGGAGTCTGCAATTTCGTGCACTTAATTGAAGAAAAGGGAGTAAATACGTGTTCGTCCAGATTGGCCACCTTTTCGAAAAACGTGCTTCTATCCTTCGCAGAATGTCAAGTAGATATCAATAGACAACTACAATGCGAGTAACGGAACATTGTGCATTTCATGAGATGCAACCAAGGGCTCAAATTGTTTCTCTAAATTTAATAATGGGAAAGCCAACTTGGAGAACTTTGGTTGAAGAATGGGATTGTCAGGAAAGCGGAGGTTGTAACAATGGGTGTAACTAATAGGGAACCCTAGCCCCACGAATCTACTTTTCGCTGTAGCAAATGTTACCCGGATTTTCCGCACTATTTAAACTGAAAAATTTTTCAACTCGACTGAAATTCTCCTTCTTCTTTCATCGCCCACCGATTTATTTATCAAAAGAAAATGCTATATGTGAAGATTATTATGGTTACAACGGGTTAAAAGTCAGAAATCTCAATACTACTATGGTGTTCTATTCGAACATTGACATGAAATTTTTGACTTCTAATCTGTTGCGGCCATTGATGGTCAATATATAACTGGTGTCCGCTGGCTCTGTTTTTACAACGCATTTAGAAGTCAGGTATCTCAACAATAATAATGTGTTCTATTTTGAACATTCACAGAAATATTTGACTTCTAATCTGTTGTGGTTTGGTTTTTGCTTTATGTTTTACATGATGGCAGATACCAAAGAATATGGGTTCAAAATATATCCAAATGTCAGGAGATGATTCCAATAATCGCAAGCTGCAAAATTCGATTGAGGTGTTTGATGATAGAAGAATTGACCCAGTTGGATTAGAATTCAAAGACCTGGTATGCTTGTAAGTGTTCTGCTGTCATTAGCCTACTTACAGTTTATAAGATTTTTGATTCTAATCTGATTTGGTGGATTCTTTTGTCCAAGGTTTATTCGATCTCAACTACAGTGTTTGAAAATGGAGGAATTGACCCCGCCAGATTAGAATCCAAATACCCGGTACGCTTGTAGGTGTTCTGCTTCCTGTTAGACTACTTACAATTTATTAGATATTTGACTTTTAATCTGGTTTGGTCGACTCTTTTGTTCAAGAAGTTTCGAACTCAACGACAGTGTATGCCAATGGAAGAATTGACCCCGTTAGGTTAGAATCCAAATACCTAGTTTGCTTGCAGGTGTTCTTCAGTGTCAGATTACTTGCAATTTATAAGATATTTGACTTCTAATCTAATGGAAGGTAGGTTCTTTTGTTCAAGACATTTTCGAATTCAGCAACAGTTACTGTATACTGCATAAACATTTACAGCACACTCGCTGTTGTGTTTGTACTTAGTCTTTCTATAACCAGGTTGCAATTGTGATCATTTCCCTGAATAAGTGCTGATCCTTGTATTGCAGTGCCCTTTGTTCTTCAGAATCATTTTCCTTTGAAGATTGTTGTTGTTGGGTTTCCAGATATTGCAAAGTAACTGGCTTTGATTAGTCTATTTGTTTGCGATTCCATTCTATGATGTACTAATAATGCAGTTCTAGATTCCCAGTAGAGATAAAAGAAGAAATTACATCCTAGAGAACAATTCCATTCTATCCTTTTCCGTTATGATAGAAAATGGCTAGTTTGGATCGTCCTCTAATTGTAATTAAGCATTTGGATTCGTTGAACCATTTTATTCTCCTGTGCGAAAATAATGGTTGCAAAAAAAATGAAAGTAGATGAAGAGTGTTCACAACAAGTAGATCTAATACGACAATAATTCAAAAGAGATGGGTCTCATTAAGTTAATGTATGTATAACTATGATTGAAATGAGAATAAAGAGCATCAAATCCCCATGTTGTGGCATCAGTTAAGAATTTCCCACTAACACAATTATCTTTAGCAAAATAATATTATCAATCCCGATCATTTTGCTTAAACTACTTCTCAAGTTGTTAAAAATATTAAAAAAGCTCCTAATTAAGCTTATAAAGAAGATATTGTGAGGAAGGATAGATTCAATAAAACTACGATCTTTTTTAAGTTATCTCCCTCAACTTGTTCGATAAGATCATTGATCTACTCAGGTATTCATTGCCCAGGGAGTATAGCCAGGAGAGGAATGTTAAATTATTCCATTACATTACCACAAAAGTGTCTTGGGTATTATAACATCTACTCAGTAAAATGCTAAATATTCTGGGGTCTTCAATCTTAACAGTTCACAGCCATATTCCACTCGAAAAAGAGTGTTGCAAAAAATATAAAATTGTAACTAGGAAGATATCTACAACCAATTAATACATCCTATCATTTTGTAGTGCCTTAGTTATATTAGCCGCTTTGTATAATATATCACTGTTGTTGTCCAACAATTATCATTAATCAAAAAAGAAATTGAAAAGAATGGGTCTTCTAAAACTAATGTATGTACAATTTAGATTGGACCAAGTTTTGAAGCGGAAGTAATGTCAAGAAGCTATACTAACCTTAAGTCCAATAGTAAGATAATCCTCTCGATACCTATCCTTATAATCAAGCTAATTATCAAATTAATTATCAAGTTGTTATTCATTTTGAAGAAACTCCTAATCAAGCTTATCAAGAAGATATTGTAGGCAACCAGAAATGCAGTACATGAGAATTGTTCAGGTTTAAGGTTTCTTTAATCATTTAATTCGTGTATATAATCATTTGAACATATCTTTAAATGGGGTCTTATATAATTTTGAGTATTAGCTAGTCTTTATAATAAATTATTCTTTGAATGTCAGGGCTTCTTCTTGCAAGATTATTCGCATCTATTGTTCCAACGACTATAAATTGGCGCGATTTCGAAAAATAAAATTCCTGATTGCAAAACATCTTTGTCTTCACAACCATTTAACATCACTATTAGATTTTAAAGAACATCAGAATAAAATATGGATATTGCAATCTCAACAAGTATCTGGCGCAACATCTTTACTGTTATGTACGTATTTAATTAAAATTTCTTGTGGATAAATTTGAAAACTATAAAAATTCATCGAATAACCGCTAACATTTTACTTTCTTTAGTTATCTTGCCTTTTCAACAGCACTTTCAATTCCTTTAAAAATTGGGACAGCAGCTTTTTCAGCAACTGTAGACCTAGGTCTTATGTTTATGAAGCTCTTCGTTTGAAGAGTTTTACTTGCTTTCTAAAATGATTTATACAAACTATATTGAAATGAAGTAATACAGACGAAGAAAGAGAGTATGATCAGGAGAAGAGTTTACAGATATATCCCAATCCAATATATTAAAAATTTTATTTGCTATTTGCAGTCATCTATTAATTGATAATGATACCCGCTGACTGCTTTGTTGTAACGGTCGGTCCCCCTAGAACGCTGAGAAAAAGTTGGTTGCAAAAAAAAAAGATCCAGAATTGAAGAATTTCACAACCAACACTCTTTTTAATCAAAGAATAAATCAAGAGATAATGGGTGGTCCTAAAGATTGGCCTGTGATTGTTGTCCATAAGGGTATTATTAAGAATATCCTCAAGTTAATGTATGTACAATACCAATTGGTGTGTAAACGTGAAGAACTCTTACTAATATTAGATTCTATAGAGAGTTTTTGATTGCTTTACCATTTATTTTACTCAAACTACTTATCAAGTTGTTAGTCATTTTGATAAAGCTTCTTAAAAAGCTTCTAAAGCTGTTATGGTGATGGTTGCTCCCACATTTGAAACTTGGTTATGATTTCTTCTTTCTTTTCACCAATCCTGTTAAATCATTGGTTTTTCGTTTCACGGTTAAGGTATTCACAACAGGTTCTTGTTTTCTGGATTGAGCAGCATGTTTGGCCATTTTCCCCACTACGTTGATATAATTAAATGGAAGTTTATTCAACTCGAAAAAACTGGGGATTTTTGTTTCAACTAATGACTTAATATCAACTTCAACATTATAATTTTCCAGCTTGATCAAATTTATGAATTGTTTATATTGATGTATGGATAATTTTTGTATTGAATAGTTTTCCTTTTCCTGTTGATTTGAACTAATTGGCACGTCGTCAATTTCACACCCAATCAATCCTACCAAATCTCCTAATCTGAATTCTTGTCTATATCCCAATTCCTCATAAAATTGCTCCACATTCACATTTGAATATCGATTTTCAACAATTAGATGCTCTAGAAATCTTCCCTTTGGATCATCAGGAAATAATGCAATACTGTAAACTGCCGGTCCTTTCGTACCAAATATGTGTCCAATTGACCAATTAGGGAAGTTTTGAATAAATTTGGAGGTTGAAAGTTTATCTGAACCTGGAATCATTAATCTATGTATTGGCCATTTAGATGTACACTTGTTGATAACAGGGATCCACCATTTAAGTAATTGTTGTCCATTTATGACATGTTTATGTTGATTCTTTGCCGAATTTGGGAATATATATTGTGGGGCTGCTTTCGTGAATAATGAAACTTTAATATTTTGTTTGGATGGGAGTTGTCTCAATAAATTTGGTTTGACTGGGACTGTTGATTTAACTGTATTGGTTTGGTAATATGGAATGGATGAGAAATATTTGGGATCAGATGCAAGTTTCTTAATTAATTCATTTAAAAGATAAGTAGTTTGCGTTTGCCGATCATTGCTAACTAATGGGATATCTTCTTTCTCTTGTTCATCATATTTTTCTTTTCTTGGTTTTATTTTATAGTTTGTTAAATCATAATTAATTAAATATTGAATAAATTCTTCAATTATAACCCCGATTTTAAATTCAATCTTATGAAACCCAACTGTGTCACATTTGGAAACAAATATAAATTGGTCAATATAATCAGGATATATTTGCAAATATACAAATATCTCAATTCCTAAAACTATTATATCTGAAGATGAAATTATAGTGAAGAAATGACGGATCTTTACCGTATCTGGTTTGTTAACAACCGATTTGGAAATGTTGATGGGTGATTTGACATAGACAGGCTTGGATTGGATATATAAGATTCTGAACTTCTCATTAGCCGGTAGATAATTGGATATCTTGTCGAGTAAGTTCGTAGTCATATTTTAGATGGGATTAAATTATGCGGTAGGATGGCTTGACCAGTTAGAGAAATGATGATGAAAATTCATGAGTGAAATACAAATGGAAATCAAAATTTCGCGTGTTTACGCGACGCGATATTTGCATGCAGTCTTCGAATCTTAACATACCCCAGATAATGTTTTCTCCAAACGCCTATTGATATTTCCGTTTTGCAGTCCATTATTGGTGATCTGACACACCCCATGCTGAACAATACCTGGAAATTGATTAATTTTCAAAAGGAAACAAGAAGTAACGAGTCTTTGCGAATGATATCTGGGAGGGACCCGTGGATCAATGAATAGTCTACATGAACCCTGCGATAGCTCATTGTGGACCTTAGGGTTGATTTCATATTTCGGCTGCAGTAGGAATATTTGCCACACCTGAATGGTGGTTTAACTTTTGCAACGATATGACATGTTGAGGAGTCAGGGAAAATCGAACACATATATTCTCAACAGAGTAGTATACCCCTATTTCTGATGTAATCAATGGAATAGTCGTGCAAGAAACATCTATGCTATCTTCCTCAGTTTCAATAGTATAATGGTGAGCCAATTGGGCAAACGTATGAAGCCCCGATTCGGCATGTTGGATATAGTTACTCACGAGCATTGTTTAATGTGGTATCTACGGTGGTTTCTCAAATAGGAACTAAGCTTTCTTGTTTTGTCCATTTTCATATACTGGTACCTGGTTGAATTAGATATTTGCCAGCAACTCCGGTCGTTACAATTGACACATCTAATTTTGAACGGATTTATTATCCTCCCCATTCTGACTAGGACAAAATTGGTATTGTTTGCTAACTCCTTGTCCGAGACTTTGATGGATATTATAATCGTCGAAGGCTCAAACGAGTTTTGATTCCCGTTGTTGGCTGCTAAAACAAAGCAGTTATGCAAAGAAGTCCCTTTTTGCAGGTTTTTAGGGAAATAAGATAGTTTTTTACATGTTTTTGTGGAAATAAGATTTCCGTTTACAGTTTTCTGCGGGTTTAATTGTTAAAATAAGACATTTTTACATGTTAGATACCCGGCTAGTAAAAAATAAAATTCTTGGAGGGATCAAGACGGTTGGATCAAGTAAATGACGTAAATCACTCTCTTAAGAAAAGACTGCTGTGGCGGGGCAAGATTGGACGTTGTGTGTACGTGCTTGTCAATGCGGTATCAAGCTTGGAACATTTAATGATGTTTTCTTATCTAATATGAAACTAGCAAACCCAGGAGAACGTGTGCTGTAAAATTATTCTCTGTTAATTTGGTTTCCGTTGTGGAAAATCGGACTCCAATCGACAATAGATTCACAATAGGGTGCTCGTTTCTTAAATGAATTTGACGGTGAGTTGACAATGCAGGTACCCTGACGATATCATTGTTTTTTTTTTGGTAATATGCATTATCGATTAGCTGTGTGTTGATATATGTCAAGAAAAGTTTTCCTAATTGGTCTGAGATGAAGATTCAAAGAGAGGGGGGGAAGAGTTTATTGAAAGAGGTCACTATCAAATAAAAAACGACCCATTTCTTAAAATTTAAATTGGATAAATTTAAGTCCGCAAGAAGATGCAAGATTCGGAGTATAATCTTAAGCGGATTTTGATTATTTTTTTAGTAAAAGCCAGTTTTGGCCCCCAGATTTTAAGTTTCCTAAATACGTGGGAAATAATTTATAACCGCCGCCATAGAAAAAAAAAATATAAAGTAAGGGTCACGGCAAAACAATGCAATCCAATACAATGTAACACATCGGAGTAATAAATACAAAGAGGACTAGTCGAGAATATTCCAGTAGTGCTCGACAATGATTAAGGGGAAAATGTATGGACGAAGGTCTTGGCGGGGTCACCAAGGAGGGGCTGCAAATTAATAGGATTTAATGAGGAAGAAGAAAAAAAATGAGTGAGATTGAGCGAAAATGGTTCCATTCTTTTGTTATTTTTTTTTCTCTTAACAATTGAAGAAAACTGGTATAACAATGACTCCTTTATACAAGGCACAAAAATTAATTACTTCTTAGAGTTAAAAGATTTAATTTTGTCACTCTATTTCAACTTTACTTAGATTGTAGTCATTTATTAATTTTATATAACGAAACTTTAAATGTTCTTTATGAATAAAAAATGACTTGATGAGTTGCATTGCCAATGCTGATTCAATTTTTTAACTTTAAGGCAAAAAAAAAATAATAAAAAATTATTTATTAAATCCTTCTTTTTTTTTTCTCTCCTTCATTTCATTTTAATTTCATTTACTGTTTATAAATATAAATATATCACATGAAAATTTTAATAATTTATCACTTCACTTATTTTATTTTATTTAAACAGTTAAATAGATAGTAGAGATATAAAAATATAAATATAAAATAATTTTCTTCTATTAATTTAAAGATACATCAAGATTTTATATTTAGATCCATCAAATGAATGGTGATGCAAAAGTAAATACCCACTTCAATAATAATAACAACGACAACATCACTACAACATCATCTATCTATAATACTAATAATAATATCAACAACAAAAGTAACTATCGACAACAACAACAACCAAGTTTGCAACTACAACTGAATTTTCAACAATCTCACCATAATCGATACTCAAACAATATGGCTTCAACTGTTAGTTCACAACCTAATAACCAACATCCACCTACTGATGGTGTATCCTTTTTGGACTTACTTTCTTCAGATATGGATTTTGAGCAAGCTTATTCAATGTATAATGACTTACAAACAAAGAATGTTATTGGATCATTTGAACAATTACAGAAGGTACAAATGCTTAATCAACAATACGTACCCAGCTTACCTCCTACAACCCATGACTATCACTACCAACAACAAGCGGCCATCTCTCGAACAAGAGAGGACGACGAATTTGCTTATGGAAGAGCTCAGATCTTGGCTAATGGTGATGCATATATGAACCAATTTAAACATTATGCTTTTGATAATGACTTATCTAAACTAAACAAGCCCAAACCCCCATACCAACAACCGATGCAACACCAGCAAATACAGCAACCTCAAAATCAACCTCAACCTCAACCTGAACCTCAACTTCAAGCCCAGCCACATCCTCAACCTCACTCCCAGCTGCTGCAACAACAACAACTACCACGCACCCAACAACCTGAAGAAGACTTTGATCAGTTTTTCTCCACAACTGAATCCGATGCTTTAGAAAAGTTTCTAGATAATTTGGCGAACCCAGATGCTGTAGGAGACCCATTACAATTTTATCAAGGAGTTAAAAATATGAGCCCGGCTGCTTCAAATAATGGGACAATACCTTCATCAAATCCAATAACGCAAGATGACATATTCAACCCTTTATATGAGTTACATACAATGAAAATACCGGGCTTGAATCAAACAAATACAAAGAAAGATACTATTCCTTCACAAACGACCGCAGTTACTTCAACAAGATATCCTTTACCTACTCCTATGCAAAATGCGGCAAATTCAAGTTTTATGTTGGATGATTTTAAAAGGAAAGCGAGTAATATCCAAGCCATGTTAATAAGTCCACCTAATTCAGGTGATGAGATCAAAAAAGATGAGAATCAATTAAATTATGACGAAGATGGTATGACGAAACCTGCCAAAAAGAAGAGAAGAACTTCACATAAACCTTTATTAAGTCTTGAACAAAAGCGTCTTAATCATTCCAATTCTGAACAAAAACGACGCCAATTATGTAAGATTGCTTATAATCGTTGTTTAGAATTGATTATCGATTTAGATGCATTTAATAAATTGCCAGAATTATCTGAAGAACAACGGAAATCAAAGAGAGCAAGAGTGAATAAAGAAGGATTACCTAATTTATCTAAACATGGGGCTTTAGTAAGGATAAGTAATGAGATTATTGAGATTAAAAGTTTAAATGATAAATTAAAGAAGTTATTAGGAGATGTGAATATGTAAGATTGTGAGAAATGAAGATGATGATATGTATGATGATAAATGATGGTATTATTAGTATTATAGATTAAAAACTAACACTAGACGTGTACAACTACCGCCTGCAGCCCTCCCTTGAAAGTTTTTCAATTCATTTTATTTTGTTAGTGATAAGAGTTTTTATAAGTTTGTTTTTACTTTAAAATCTATTTTTAGTTTATATAGTTTTTAATTACAAATTTAATTGGAAAGAGTCAATTTTTAATTGTCTCTTTGGGTAAATAAGAAAGTGTAGCCACTCATCCCTAAAGGCTATCTTTGATATCCAGTAGAGCATTAAGAAGGATAACCTATCTAATCATCTACTACCAGGTATCTCACTATTTGGCCAATTTTTGATCTTAATTACACGACTCTGTTAGATTTTCTCACAACGCGTTGCGTTTGTTCTATTTTTTCAACTCGCACAAAAGCTTCTACAATCATTTTGGAATTTTTCAAAAACATCTCAAACTTTCATGATATTTTTTTTTATAGCTTTAATTCCATCTTTGATCCTTTTCCACTTCTAATTTCACAACAATGGTTGCCAAAGGAAGTTTCGCTACTCCTGCAGCGAATGAATCACATCCGGCTCATTCTCTAAATGTAGGTACTGATGATCAAATACAATCATTATTGAAACTTACTCCAATTATTTTACCTAATCATCAAGAATATCAAACTGAAGATATTGTTAGATTAAGACAGTCTTATAAATATTTATATGTTATTAATTGGTTATATAATTTTAGAGGGTTTATCAAATTACAATCAGAATTATTTGATGTTGATTTATTTGAATTGGAATTATTAAATTATTTTCCTGATCATTATGGTAATTATGAACTGAATTCTCAACAACAACAACAACAAGTGTTGTTTATACATAAATTAAAAATTAATTTGATATCAACACTACAAAATTCAAAATTATCTTCAATGAATAACTTTGAAAAAATTTTTAGATTGTGGTTTGGAAATGAAACTCCTTTAGGTGGGAAACAAGAAAATGAGGAAGACGACGAAGAAGAAGAAGTTGGGGAAGTACACTACGTAGATAATGATGATGGGAATGAACCTAAATTTGATGAATTAAGAATTGCAGACAAATTTGAAATTTTATATATAATTATTTCTTATATTTCAAACTATTCAAAGTTTAGAGATTGGATGGACAAAACAGGATTAACGGTTGAACAAATGAGAGTGAATTCTGCATTCCAAGTACCAGCCAAAAGAGCAGCGAATGCTCATTCCCAAGATGAATATTTCTTATTATTTGATGATAATAGACTTTATAAGCGTACAATCCACTATAACTCATTAATAATTCCTAAAAAAAGAAAATTGGCTCCTGAATATCCAGAAGATCGTTTCCCACCCGAATCATTTGATATTAAAGAAAATGTTGAATTTGAATTGATATATAAAAATATTTATGAATGCAATGACTATTTTAACTCGATAAAGAAGTTGAAAAGTTTAAAACCATTATATACCAAAGTTTTAAAATCCACAGATAATTTATTAAATCATGAAATCAGAAAACGGAAATTTATACAATCCAAGAGAAGAGAAATCCAATTAGTTAGTTTATTAGCTACAAGAAAGAGATCATCTCGTTTGGAAGCAAAGGAAAAACAACGTCAAGAAGAATTAGAAAAACAAAAAGAACAAGAAGAACTCGAATTGAAGCTCGCAGCTGAAAAACGAATGGAAAGAAGAAGACGATTAAAGGAACAACAACAACAATTAAACCAAGGGATTTCAAATGGGTTAAGTCGAGAAGATCGAGCAAGGTTGAGAGCATTGGAAAGAACTCCAAATTTTACTCCAACTCCTGAAGTCATCACCGTTGAAAATTCCGATGTTGAAAATGAGCATCATGCCAATAATAATGAAGTTGTGGATTTGACAGAGTCTCCGGAAGCTCATAAGGAGTCGGTAATTGTTACTTTGCATCCCTCTCAAGATCAACCATCTGAAAAGGAACACAATATAGAAGGCTTTTCAAATTCTGTGGAGCAGCCAGCCGCCTCAATTACAGTACCAGAGCAAACCGTCCAATCGGAAACTAACTCAATAGATGCAACTTCACAAAGCAATCAAGCTGCGACCGTACCTGACACAGCCTCACATCAGTTGTCAGGAGAGGTTGAATCAGCAACTAAAGATCAGACAATAGTTTCCCAATCAGAAACACAGCCACAAGAAGCTTCCACACAAACACCCGTTATAGAAATTGTGGACCTGACTACCGGATTGTCCGATGATCATCAAAATAAATAAAAAACGTTTATGTTGTATATTTTTAATGAATATTGTATTATACAATGGCTATTTGTTTATATCTTGAATTCTCTTGTATGATTTCACATTTGTTTCACATGTTGTAGATAAAGTACTTGCGCTTTTGCAAGCTGGGCAAAAATAATATTTTATTTTCTGTTCCCCGACCCAATTATTTCTGGCGAATTGGTCATATCAATATGGAAGTGTAGACGCGTATTTATACCACTTAGTTCCCACAATCACGCCCAATCCTTAGCTTCTAATACAATATTCCAGTAGAATGTCACAAGCAGTACAGACTCCAAAGCCTCCATATTACGCGGTCACATTCTCATCGGATTTAAGTTCCGAAGTCGACGATGAATCCTACGGCACTATAGCTGATAGAATGGTCGAATTGGCAAAGAATCAACCAGGATTTTTGGGAGTTCAGAGTGTGCGCGATCCAATTACCAAGTTTGGTCTTACGATCAGTTATTGGAAAGAGTTAGAGAATATTAAGAATTGGAAAGCAAATTCTGAACATTTGGTTGCACAACGTCAAGGAAGGGCAGATTTTTATACCCATTTTGAAACTAGAATATGTAAAGTAGAAAGAGACTATACATTTGATAAACGTAAATAGGATTATTAGTAACTAATAAATATACGCGTAATTATATAAAAATGTGTATTAATAAACTGAATTAAATTTGCACGTAAAATTATAAAAAAATCATAAACTAAAGCTATAACTATACCCTTACCAGTAAAAATCAAAGTAAAACCCAATAAATATATACGAATGACTAAAAAACAAAAGTAAAACAAACCTACCTACAAATTCATTTCATTCAAGACTTGACTGGCCAAAGTCTTATAATTCCAAGTATTCCCATACAATTTCTTAAATTGAACCCCATACAATCCAACCAAAGGAACTTTAACAATATGAATCTCAAACTTCAATGGCGATCTCACCTTAGCACCAGCACCAGCAGCAGAAGGTCCACCACCTTGGCTGGAAATACTTGTAGATCTATTATGTCTTGCCCGTTGTTCAATCTTCGATGAGACTAACATATCACTACCGCCAATATATCCATTCAAAGAATCAGCAGAATCATCATATTGGAATGCATCTGAGATTTCAAACTCTTCATCATCTCCAACATGATCAGCATCATCGTCATACATTCCTCGTAATACCTTTGCCGCGGCTGGTGTATTGGGTGGCATATTGACTTGTGATCCATTCCTCTTACGATATGTTCCCAAAAAGGTATTACCAATGGAGAATTTCCTTCTGTGACCATGTGCACTTCCAATGGAGTTTGATGAACGATGGGATCTCACCGTAGATGGAGCTGGGGACATTCCTTGGGTTTGGATATGGATTGATGGTTTTCGACTTGGGGTTTTGGTAGTGTCTGGACTAGTTGTTGTGTCGGGAGTCTTTTCTCCATTCTCTTCAAATGATGATGATGATTTAAATGCATCTCCGTATAATTTCTTTTCTTCGGGATTCATATCTTCTTCTTGTTGTTGTTGGAGTTGTGGTTGGGTAGGTGATTCTTCATCAACATAATGATCCAAAATTGTACTATGACCAGAACCACTATCTTCGGCCTTAGTCTTAACTGAGGGAGTATGAAGACAAACAAACCCTCCTTTCACTTCTTGAAACCTAACTCCTAATTTACTCAATGTACTAATTATATTATATCTAATCACAGGCAAAGGTTTTGCTGAAGTTGTTTGAACACTGAAAAATCCTTTCAAGAATAATGTCTTACAATGTTCAATAGATGGCATACTATTTGGTTTGGCATTATTATATTCAGCCATGACTTGTTCTTCTGTAAGTTGAGGAACTTCTTTAAATTCAACATCTTCCAATTTAATATCACCAAAGAACCCATCAGTATCGTCTTTTTGTTCCAATTCTTCACTATTTTGACTAGGTAATTGTGGCAAATGTTGTTGTTGTTGATGTAATTTGGCACGAGTATTAACGTATAAATCTTTTCCAACTTGTCCACCAACCGATTTTGCTCTAGCCGTAGGATGCATTTTACGAGCACCTGGAACTTGTAATGTTGTTGTCTTTTCAGATTGAGGTGTTGCGGTTGTTGTCATTGCGGCTGTTGCGGTTGATTTGTCAGGAATGATTGTATTTGTATTAGCATCAATATTAGGTAATGGTGGTAAATATTCCACTGGGATAAATCCATGAGGCTTACTAGTTGGACTAATTGTTGGCTTTCTGGTTTCTGGCTTACGTACATCGGAAACTTTATTCATTGCTGGACGTTCACTAGCTGATCTTTCCTTAGCAGTAACCTTCATACTCACACCACGACGTACTAATGGATCACGTTTAATTGAGGATTGTGGAGATACAGTAGATTGTTTATTGTCTTCAAATGTAATAACGACAGGTGGAGAAGTTGTTCTCTTTGGACTAGATATCTTGGATTTCTTGGATGATAATCTACGGAATAATGAATTAAGTCCACCTGAACTTGTTGGCGAGTTGGTTGATTTGGAAATCTCCATATGATCCAGTTGTAAACTTTCTCTTGGACTTTGATGTTGTTGCTCAGGAATCATAGATTGGTCAATTGTGACAGTTTCAATGGGTTGAGCACGCGATGGTTTATTAAATGTTGATAATGTATGTGCTTGTTCTGGAACTGATAATTGAGTTGGTTGTTGTTGTTGCTTTTGTGTTGATGATGCTGGGTCTAAAGTAGGTGCAGGTGGTTGTTCAGATATAGGGGAGAATGTTTCAACTAATCTTGGTGTAGGTGTATTTGGTTCTCCTCTTCCGGGTGCTATCTGTGCTAGTACTGCCACTTGAGTAGCAATTTCAGCACCTGAAAAATCATCAATTCTTTGATTTGGAGTAGATGGTTCTCTTCCTTTATGCGTGAGTGCTGCAGAAACAGCTTGCAGTGGTTGTTGCAGTTGTTGTTGTTGGGGTACAGGAACTTGACGTGGAGTTTGGAACATTTGTTGTTGTTGGGAAGGCACTGGAGGTAATGGTGCTTGTTGCGTTTGCATTAATTGTTGTTGCTGCTGCTGTTGTTGTTGTTGCACCTGTTGTTGTTGCATAAGTTGTTGTCTAATAGCTTCTTCCTTTGCCTTTTTACGTTTCCTCATTTCATCCGCTAAATAATATACAGAAACCAAAGGATGGAACCCACCAGTCGGATCAGGTAAGATATGACTATTACTAGCAGAAGCATATTCACGACCTTGTTCGGTTATTTTATACCAATTTTCACAACTCATTTGATATTCCACACTTGTTAATACTGAAGTTAATTCTTCGGTTATATTCTCCACTGTACCTAAATCAAATGCAGCTATTGTCTTTATAATATCTGGATCAAGGGGTAGTTTTAAAGGTACTCTCTTGGGGACATAACTTGCAACTTTGTATTCATAACCTTTATACATCCAAGGATGCAGACAAACTTCAAATAAGGTCGCCCGTTTTAATGGATCAACCACTAACATTCTTGAAAGTAATGAAACACATTCACGAGAAAGGAAATTTGGATATTCTACATTCCCACGTTTAATTTTTTCATGAAGTACAGATACCGATTGATCATCAAATGGAACTTTTCCGCAAACTAGTACATACAAAACAACACCAAATGACCATACATCTACTTCAGGACCAGTATAAGGTTTTGCACTTAAAAGTTCAGGTGCAGCAAAATATAAAGATCCACAATACGTCTTTAATAAACTCTTTGGAGAATATAAATTAGATAAACCAAAATCAATAATTTTGATATCACCTTTTTCATTTATCATAATATTTTCAATTTTTAAATCACGATGAACAACATTATTTTTATGACAATAATCTAATGCAGAAGCAATTCCTCTAGCAAATTTACGTGCATGCCTTTCTTTTAAAGATCCATGAGCAACAATATAATCCAACATTTGTCCACCTTCAATGTGTTCAAATAACATATAATAATGATTCGTCATGGGTACCATTTCATAAAGTCTACAAATATAGGGATGAAATAATAATCTTCCTAATGCTCCTTCACGAATAGTTCTTCTATCTCTTGCAATTTCCTTTTCAAACTCTTTATGTCTTTGAGCTGCCTCTTGAGTAGTCTGTGGTGGAGGATCATTAGCATGAGCTCGTTGATATAATTTTGCAGCACGCGGAATAATTTTCACAGCACAAATTTCTTTAGTTTTATTATGTTGAGCAAGTTTAACTTTCCCCATTGAACCTGCACCTATTGTCTTTATAAAGTCCCAATCACCAATGGATTTTCTATGAAATTGTTGTTGTGGTAAATGTGCATTACCATGATTATGATGACCATGATGATGAGAGGAGCGTTGATCTTGAGGTTGTGTCGAATGTCCTTGTTGTTGTTGTTGCGGTGGTGGTGGTGGTTGTTGCTGTTGCTGAGATGAGTGAGACTGTGATGTTTTCCCAGATGGATCCATCCCTGCTGGAGTTGGTGCTGGCTGAATTGGCATATTAGATGATTGTTTTACTTCAGGGGACGGAATTGATGCAGGCGGTAACAATTCTCCTTGACGTTGGGCTACTGGTGCTTGAACCTTATGATGTCTTGATGATTTATTATGAGAATTGGATGAATTGGAACCACTATTGTAATCTATTTCATTTTGGTGATAACTTGGTTGACTTTTGTGTGAAGTATTACCACTCGTACTCATAACATAATCCATCTGCTGAGGATCTTGTTGATATTGCTGTTGAGGCATAGGGTTTATAGGAGTCAATTCTGATTTAGATTTGACTGATCCACTTACACTTCTTAACATTCTTGGAGTTGCAGGACGACCAGAAGCATTGGTTGTAGTCGCACTTGGAGGTACTATTGGCGGTTGAACTGAAGGAGGAGGACCTGCAGCTCTTCGTGATTGATACTGCAACTCATAATCGTGCGCATCCATTATTTAACTTTTGATGAGTTGTATGTATATATGAATTGTGCAAATATATAGATTAAGATTATGATGATGTTGCTAAAAAGGGAGATTTGTTTTTTAGAAAGGAAGTCTGAGAGAAAATGAAATTGAAGTTTTGATAAAAAATGACAAAAAAAAAAACATTTTTTTTTTAGTCGAGTGATTTTTCTTTGCTTTTTTTGTGTATTAATTATTACGTATTTAATTTTTAATTGTTAAGTGTTAGAGAGATAGAAGGGAATTGGTTGTCTAATTGGTTGCACAAATTGATAGAAGTCAATTGATTGTACTAATAAACTGCAATTGAAAAAAGTAAAAATAACAGAAACTGCGTTGTTTACTTTTAATTAAAAATTGATCTTGTATCAAAAAATGACGAAATTTGATTTCAATTTTTTGCTTCTATGAAAATCTATTTAAAAGTTGAAATTTATTGAATCGTTTATGTTGAAATAACCTACAAGTAGTAGAGAATATTGGTAGTAGAAATTCATAATTTAAATTATGAATTTATGTTACATTTTTTAGCAAGCAAGCCATTGATATTTACAATGTCTTTAAACTGGCTGAATTAATTTTCTTGTCTTTGTCCTCTCTTTCCCCCCTCCCCCGTCTTTGTTAAAATCAATTGAACAAAAGAATAATAGAATGGTTCTTTATAATCAATGTCACCTCAGACTGAATGGTACCTGGGTAACCTAGATAAAGAGTTATATGCACTCGCTCAATTCAATTCTGTCAAAGAAGTAACTTTATGAGCTTAATTCATCTTCGTACCTTAAAAATGTCAAAAAGGGTCTTTTCTCTCACCTAAATCTTATCAGATGAGGACCTATCAAAAAGTCCATTACAAAAATTAAACAATAACCACACACATGTACAATACAAGCCCATCTCGTCTATTCATTCCTTTCCCATTGTACACGCTCTACCTCTACTGAAGTTTAAAAGTGAAATGTGGTCTATCGCACGCAGATTTAGAGATAAACATTAATACGTAAATGCTGCCATTCAATATTTCTCATTCTTTTATTCTTTGACTACTCACAAATTCAGTCTTGTAAAGAGCTACAAGCTAGTTAAGTTAAACCTCATGTATATTCATGTTTTCTATACAAATTAGTTGGAATTGTTATTTAAAACACCCTCCAATCAAAATATAAATAACCAAAATGACTTTAATAATTTAGTAAATGGAATCCAGCTGTATGCTTTAATGCTTGTGATGTTTCAAGTGAGATTGGTATTCCCAAGTGTAACCAACAACGACAATTAAAATAGCCAAATGGATCAATGGCTTACCAGAGGCATTGTCACCTTCAAAATAAGCAGCATAATACTTACCCCATGGAGTGGTTGGAGCCTTTGGCTTTGGTGCTGGTCCTTGTGGTAATTTCTTATAGAAAGAAACAACTTCAGCCATCTTCTTAGCGTTTGGATTAGATCCAAGACTCTATAAGCTTTAGGTTAGTATTTTTCATGACTTCATTATTGGACGCATTGGCGAATTGGACATTGATGGATTAGGTTATATAACAACGTGACTGATATCAAGTGAGAATTACCGATATTCAGATCTCTCTTTTATTCCTTGTATCTGTACTTTCTCCTGTGTTTCTCAATTTTATGATTTAGATGCACTGCATTTATGACTGTAATCTCACATCTCAATTATTCGCTTTAAGTATAAATCAAGACAACAGGCATTACATTAGTAAACTAAGGAGCATCATAAGCGTCTCGTGTATCTTACTTCTAAATCACAATCCTTTCTATTTCCACTTCAATGTATACCCGTGATTCGCAATTCAAATCCTTCTTCAACATCTTATATTTCAATGCGATTTGCAAAATTCACATACCTTAACAGAGGCAATCTTTGGTGGGATTAAAGTAGATAACTGTCTTCTAATGATAAATGACATCTTTAATTATCTGTACTATACTAATATCAAAACAATTTATCAACTATCAACGCTTCTTCCGTTTTTCAAATTTTTCGCTTTCTGAGAGTTTCTTTGGTCAAAGCAATATTTGTACTAAAGTACACGACCAAATACTTTTTCGGGTTTTTCATTCAATCAACAAATTTGATTCGTTAAATTTTCACAACAAAAAAAATTATTATGGGATCACGTGCATATGGTCATGTGACAAGAAGAATAAGATTACGTAATCGGAATTTCTCTATTAATACAATTTAATTATTACTATACATACACATTTAACTAAGCTTCGCTAATATACAACACTAGAATTCATATTAAGTTAGTAAATTGAACTTACTTAGTCACATTTGGAAAGCTTGTCTAATTGAAATCTCTGTAGTTTGATGTATTTCAAAATATAGAGAGAAACAGCTGGTTGGCAAACTTACTGGAAGACAACTTTCTTCTAAAATACATACCATTATTCCCTCTAATAAACACATCTCCATATGATTTTGTCACTTGTCCATTAATTGATTCCTTTCCATCATCTAATACAACATTCATAAACCCATCTATACTTTGCAAATTACCAAGATATTCAACACCATTATGAAGTTTTACAACTACTGAACTTCCAATTATATCACTTAAAAACTTAGATGGATCTGTTTTGTTAAATTCGGACATGATTTGATTATAAATTATGATATTCCTGAGGTTGCACTATTGAATATCTTATATTGCTGGATCTGTGTGTCCCCTTAACAGAGAGAAAAAATTTCACTGATAGAGTATGGTCGTGCACTTTGGATAACTTCAACAAATTTCTACAAACCTCCAAAATATGCAACCTTTTTTTGCATCAATTACAAACTTTTATTAACTAATAATATACATCTATACTCTCTTTTTATTGTCTTTCAGCGTTTACAAGTGAATCAATCAAAGTTATTAATTTTACCGACTCCTTTAACTCATACAATGGTAAACTATCGTCCTTATAAATTCCTTGTTCTATTTGTTTATTCTCAATCAAAAGTTCACGCTTCATAACTCCAACAATTAACCGATCAAAATTCTTCATCAATTCTTTAGCTTGTATAATCCCAGGTTTATAATTTGGACCCATTGCTAATAATACCGTACTTACTAATTGGAAAATTGGAATCAAAAATTCAAAATAAGAAATTGTATTTTCATTTCTAATATTTTTAATATCCATTAAATCAGTTAATGAAAGTGGTGTATCCAACAAAACATTGATTTTAATATTCTTATAATCTTGATATTCATCAATTTGTAAATTTAATCCTAAATCAGGATCAATACTTAAGAAATTTGATTGTTTTAATAATGAAAATAATTCACTTTGGATTAATTGTAATGCACCATTCTTTGCTTGTGAAACTCGGATTAAAAGATATAAGGTAGCTCTAAATGCAGTCAATTCAAATATTAAATTATCTAATGTAATCTTGGAATTCTTTTCAGTACATAACTTGATAATTTGATCGGTTCTTTTAATGGATCTAACTAATAACAACAACGAATTATTCTTAACTAATGCTTCCAAAATGAAATTAACTTTTGCTAATGAACCTAAATGGATCAATGACTCCAATAATAAAGTAGATGTGATTCTTGAAGGACCTTCTGAATAGATAGCATCATTACAGATAACCTTCACAAATTTCTTATCGATTGATTTTATAATCCTGATCATTTCTTGTAAGAACGAATCATTACTGAACACCTTCATCAAAAACTTGTTGGAAAGAACATACAAATCAGACCTTAAATGAGGAGTTGAATTTGAATTCAAAATACCAGCAACACATGTTTGGAATAATGGAATTAATCTTTCCATTCCAAGGGCGAAATCTTCCCCTGTAGTTACACTTAAAAACTGTTTATCATAAAGATCAAATAACAATACACATAACGAAATCATCTCTTCGGAAAATAACATATCTGATTCCAAATAATCATTAGTTCTTGGAAGGATAACATTCAAAACTTCCAAAATAAAATCGGGTGATTTTAATCCAGAATCAGTAATCAAAATTTCAATCAATTGACACCAAGAATGTAAACATTTCAATTGAACTTCTTTTAAAGCATCGGAAACTAAATATTTGGTGACAAATTCACTTATTCTATTTCCTTCAACCATAATTTCATTCGAGAATGATTGTTTAGCTTCAGGAGTGGCCAAACTTGAACCTTGACACATTATTCTGAAAACACTATCTAATGTAGATAAATCCAATTCTTCACTTTTTGACTTCTTTACTTCTTCCAATATAAGCGCCATATTAAATTTCTTATCCAAAGATTCATATTTATGAATTTCAAAATTCTTGAATGAATAGTTTAAAACGTCCAAGAAACTTAATATCTTAAGTGCACGATTCAAAAAATCTCTATTCTTAATCAACAACTCAATATAGTATTCCTTTTTGGTAATTGATTTAATGTGATGAAACTCTAATGATAAATATTGCAATATTAAACTTCTTTGATTTATAAATGCAAAGAAAGCTTGAGTACTCAAAGATGATTCAATAAACGAATTGGATACTTCAGTTTGTAAATCTCCATTAAATTGATTGCCACACCAGATAGTACTTAAATCAAGTTTTGGTTGATAATTGATTAATGTTTCAAAAAAGTTGTCATAGTCACGTAGTAATTTCAATGTAATCAATGAAGAAATAGGATCACGACATAATTTGATTAAAATTTCCAATATTAATGAAGAAAGTTTTGCAGGACCAACATCAACAACATGATTTATACCATTCGAATAATCAATTTCTGTAATCAAATCAAGACTTGCAATCAAGGTATTTAACAAAGTTCTCAAAAGAACATTGCGTTTGTTTTCGTCATCAAGATCTAGATTATCACCTCTAACTTCATATCCTAGCAAAAAATGTGCCACTGTTGCTACTTTTCCATTTGATTGATTCAAATTAGCCATCAAAAATCTTAAAATCTTATATTTGATAATTAAATCATCTTCAAATGCTTCAAATTTATCAATGAAAGCGTGCTTTATCTTTAATGATTCATCTATACTTTCAAATGTAGTCAACAACCTATTATTTTGCAACAATGGATCAATAGAATGGGCAACTTGACGTGAACGGAAAAATTTCGACCCATCAATCTTTTGTAAAATGTCAACAGCAATATTGGCAATCCCATTAGTACTTCCAACATATAATGCAAAATGTGCCACTGTTGATAAATGGAACAATAACACTTCATAGAAATCACTGACCCCGTGGGACCCAATATTTGTAGGTAAATATATTGAATCAAATATATTTCTTGGAGCAGTCAAAATAAGACTCATGCTGGTATTTATTCCCAATGTATTTCTTTGAGGTTGAGGTTCAACTGTATGTTTATTTTTCAAAATAGGTAATAATCTTTTTAAGAATGTTTCTTGGATTTCCAATAATTTATCAATGACATTCAAGGTTGAAGCAAGTAATTCAGCACATAAATCTGATGCATTGACAGCATCAACACCAATGTTTACCACTTTGAACAAAGCATTAAACGCCTTATTTTCAAATAAATAATTCAATACCGCTAAAGAGTGGTGTGATTTGACAAAACTATTATAATCCATTTGAATTCCAGTAAGCGAATCAAAAATCGAGTCAAAATTCTTCATTTCACGAAGAAGATTCGGTGCAACGTCGTTCAAAAATTTCCAATCAATTTCTCCAATTGAATTACTTGCTAGTTGCATAATTGTTAATTGCAAGACTTCTCTATCTCTTGCGTTAACAATGTCGTTGGACTTGGCAAAAACTTCCAACATTAAAAACTCAATATATGGCCAAATCCCAATTTGATTATTGAATCTATATCCAAATCCTAAATCACATGGATACAAAAGTGAATACTTCGTAAAAGCTTGATTTGCATTGTGGAATGGCGTTAATAATCTCTTGACTAATACAGTAAAGTTGGCAATCTGACTCAAGTGAGTCAAATTTGTTGTAAATGCTTGATTTATTCTAACATTTCGTTTGCTGATATATTTCTTTCTTGGTGTGATTTGTCTTCCAAATGGATCATTTCCTTGATTTGAGATAGGTGAATTTTCAGGTAAATCGTGCAAGCCATGATAAACCCAACGATCCAATAATCTCCAGATTTCATACCTTATATATGGATCATCGTCGTTGTTGACGAAATCTCCCAACAAATTCAAAATTAGGTTTGTTAATGTAATACGAGATTCGTCACTTACAAATATATTTGGGAGATCGACAAACTTAGCATTATTGGCATTTTGAAAGTTAACATCAACTGATAAGATCTTTCCACCATTTATCAAATTATCAAATTTCAAGAACCCTCTAATTATTGGCGAAAATCTATTATACGCAATTTGCTTAATTTCTTTACATCTATCATTGCTTGCGGATAAGTTTTTCACGATGGCCGAAATTAATTGGATAAATCCAGAAACGAAAACTACTGAATCTTCGGCTAACGCAATTACAACTCTGTTATTACTTGGATCTTCTGAATCTTGCTTTGTTGGATTACTAGTAAACAAGAATTCATGCTTCTTTTGGACTAACTTCAATTGCTCATTCAAATCTTGCTCAAAGCTCTCATTTAAGGAATCAATATAATAGTTCAAAGAATCAACCAAGGAATCAACAGAAATTTTAGAATAATCATTCTTCTTCATCGTTGTATAGTTGTTACTGACAAGGATTTCCCAAATTCTGGCAGCTGCATCACTTCCTCCAGATGCCAATGATCCTAAAAACAAACAAAATGTGGCTGTTATCAAAGGAGATGTGTTGTTTGCCAAACCCCAAGAAATGAATCCAACGACATCATTGGTAAATGCGTCATCACTCCAGAAGAGAGAGCACAATTCTGGACGATTGTTGCAAGTGTATGCAAACGCTAAATAAAATCTTTCTAAATCTGCTCTTTGGGCAACTTCATCTAAATTTAATCCAATTTGCTTATCAGATTTCCTAGGAGATTCGTTACCATTGTCTTCTTTTTCATTATCTTCTTCTTCTTTTCTATTAATTGACGACAATACAAAATCTTCTTCGGAATCTCTTAACAGAGTTAAAATAATGGCAGCATTGGATATAAACATACTAAAGAACCGTTGAAAAAATGGGGAGATTAATGTTTCGTTTAAATCTTTGTTTAACTTCAAGAATGTGACATCTACTAGTCTTGGGACATTTTCAAATCCAGGTTTCATGTTAGATGCATATAATAATTCTTGACCTCCTGGATACTGGAACTTAGATGCAACAAGTTTAGGGAAGTTCTTTTGTAACAATGCTCTAAAATCATAAATATTTGACCATTCGAACAATTTTTGAGTTTCTATATGACTTGTTTCCGCACAATAACATAAAATTCTTTCCATTGCTCCATAACTAATCAACCACTCCATATATTTTAAAATGTTTTCTTTGAAATCATATTTCGCCGTTCTATTGCCCAGTTCTTTACACCAATAAATAAACTGAGTGAGGAAAACTAAACTGGTGACCACTTCAAATCCACTAATCTTGGACTTGGATAAGTCAATGGTCTCAGCTTCATTGGAAATCACGGAATAATCTGTTGATATTGTGGAAACTATGTGCTTATGGAATTGGTCTACTATTTGGTCATTTCCTACGGCTTCCATAAGTTTGGTGAATAATTGCAAGACCCCTGGTAAGAAGTGTACAACTAAGATGTCGTCATCGTTAACATTATTCAGTATAAGAGAAATTATTCTCTTGTAATTCTCCAATTTGCCAAACTTTTCGAAATAATTATCCATTAATCCGAACAAAAGCAGTCCCAATAATTCATGACTTGAAAATAATTGGCTTCTGGAAAAGTTAATTGAACTTATAAATGCAAGACTGTTTATATTGCTAGTTACTTTCTGTTTATCAATCATATTATTAAGATTAAGGATCAATTTATAAACTTTTTCAAAACTCTTTACAATATTGTCAAACAATTTGTTATAGTCTGCTTCACTTGTACAAATTGAATCTAGACGTTTATGTGATATCAAGTGTCCCAATATATTCAAAATATATTCCTGTCTAGCATAATAAGCTAATCTTGCACTATCTCCAAGTGAAGTTCCTCTCTTGTAACTAACGTCATTCGAATGGTATAACAATTCTGCTGAATTCAATTCATCTAATTCTAATTCGTTCGCAAGAATTACGCTTACTTCAATAAATGCTTGGTTCAACTTAACTTCTGTACCATTGGGAAATGTAATAGGTTTAGATTCGTTGGTCAATGTATTGAGGGATTTGTCCAGCGGAGTGGGTGTTGTGAGGACATGTATAAGATCGTTTGTTATTGGTTTTGTGACGGTCGTAGTGGCATCAATATCGTTTTGAAATTTGATGGAATTGTAAATGTCTGCAAAAGCATCAGATGACCAATTTAGGAAATCACTCATGTTTCTTTTCTTAAACTGGTTACTACTTGTGATAGTGATTGAATGATTGGCAATGCTGACACTTTAACAAGTTGATTCTTCTCTATACTTAACCTTAAATTGTGTCTCTTTCTTTGAAAGTTGGTTGTAAAAAAAACAACATCTCAATTTTTATTGTTGTTTTCAAATTATTATTGAAGATTGGATGTTTGTTAATTTTTCAGAAGATGGTCGTGTAGATGACCAAATTGCAAATCAATGAATACTGTGCGTTAACACTGTAGACGGCAAAGAAGAGATGTGTTTACAGAGGACAGGGTTTAGGGTTTTAGTAAATAGCATTAATATTTCAAGTAAACTAGCTAGTTACAAAAGAAACCTAAACTAATACATTTCTATATTGCAACCATCAAAAAGTGAAACAGTCAATTGAGACATTTTCTTTGGAGGATAAGGAGTATTTGGATCCATTGACAAGTTAGCAAATTCCTGTATAATTCTTACAGTCACATACAGAGCTTCGGTTAAAGCGAATTGTTGACCTAAGCAAATTCTTGGACCACCATTAAAAGGTAAATATGCCCAACCCAATTTTCTAGTCTCAGGTTCAAACCATCTTTCGGGCCTGAACTCAAATGAATCCTTACCATAGTACCGTTCCAGCCTGTGGGTGACATAAATCGTATAAAAGACATTTTGGCCCTTTCTTACAAGAATAGGAGATTTACCATCTGGACCACCTCCTGTGGGTAGGGTAGTGTCTCTAGTTGCGACTCTAAAATTCTGAGGCACTGATGGATATAATCTTAATGCTTCGTTAATACATGCTTTCAAATATTCACACTTCTTTAATGATTCAAAAGTGATTTGATCAATTTGTGCATCCTCTCCTGATCCAAATTTATCATATATTTCTTCCTTAAGTTTGGAGAAAATGTCTGGATTTCTGGCCAATTCAAAGAATAAGAATGATAATAAAGCAGCGGTGGTGTCTCTACCAGCAAGCAAGATGTTCAACAATTGATCCTGTAAGACTTGTGGATCTCTAGTCTGTTTAACTAATTCATTCAAAAAGACATACCCTTGTTCTTTTTCTAATTCCTCGGGAGACATATTAAGAGCTCGTTGAACATAATGGCTGGCGAATTTATGTACTTTACTGTAAGCCTTTCTAAAATCCTTTGTATCAATTATCCAGTAGAACTTTTGCATAAGGGCACGGGAAGCCAAATATTGTTGAGATAAATTGAAGTTTTCTGCGAATTCTGCTTTCCCATCAACATTGGTTGCGTCTTGTGCCATACCGACTGATTCATCTCTTAGTGACTGCACAGATTCGCCAAATAAAAACTCAGTTGATGTATCAACAGTTAATCTAAAAAAGAGTTCTTGAATATCAAAGGTTTTACCCTTAGAATTTCTAATATGTTTGAAAAGCACTTGCAAATGAGGCTCCAACGATTTGACATGACCAACTTGTTCCCTAGCAAATTGAGGTCTAAGTAATGCACGAGAATGCTTCCAAGCTAAATTGTCCTGGGTAAAGATTCCATCCCCCAAAACTGGTAACATAACCTCATGTCTAAAACCTAATGAAAAATCATTGAATTGAGTCGATAAGATAGCTTTGATGTTTTCAGGTTCCTTGGTAGCAATGATTGGGATTCCAAGAATCCTGAATAAGAAAGTATAAACTTCAGGATTGGGAGTTGTGTCGTATCTTTCAACGGAAAAATCGAGTAATACTCCTTCATCCTTTGCTTTTAATAATTGTCTCCATACGGTAAACCCGTACCAACCATCACTTTCTACATTGGTAGGAAACTTGGCTCCAAACTTTTTCATTAAGCTTCTGGTGTAAAGTGTCTGATATAAGCAATATGAAACCAATACAAGTGGAAGAACCACATACCATTTGGTGAGGTATGAGAAAGAATCTAATTGTGATAACTCCTTGGTAGTGATCATTATTAGCGTATAAGCTATAGCTCCTGGACCAATTTTAATTTATACAAGTGGGTGTTGGAATATTCCATGACATATTTATATGGGTTCTGTCCCCTGATACTAACTTCTTCATGTGAAGAATCTAAATTTATTTTTGGGTAAATAGAACATCTTAAGCGACAAGAAATTATTTTATAAGTCTGGGGTTGCAGCGCAACAAACATGAAATTTTTTACCAGTTAATTCTCACACTAGAAATAGAAGAGTGATGCTTTGGAATGAACCTATTCGATCCAAACTCTAATAGCAGTTCACACTGCCGTTGACCTTGTCTGCATTCAACTAGGACCGTTGGCATTCTGAGAATGGAAACCTTAATCCTTCATAAATTTAGGTACCGTCGGCGTTGTCTATTTTATTGCGGGGTTAAGAAGTTCCAGATATTTTTCTACACGCACGAACCGGAGATAACATGTCAAGGAATACGGTTGTCAACATCGGAATTCTTACCATTAGAGATAGTCATAAATACACTACATGGAAATGCACAAATTCTCTTTCTCTACGTGTGAGGCGGATATGGAATAGCTTCAATTTTACAGAGGAACCAAGGAAAGTTTAGCCACAACCCGGTCCAACATTCAAATTGTATTGAGCATTCCCCATACTCATCTCAATCATTTTTAGTAGTCTCGCACTGCATCATGCAAGACATCATCTACGGGAAAGCAAATATTCCGCTTCCGACAACAGTTCCATTTTTGTCATATTCATTTCTTGGAACAATAGCATCTTTCACTTTTGTCCATTGTTATTTCCCTACTCATAAGGATATTACCTTGTCTCATCGTAATTATATCTTCTTGCTAACTTCATTTGAAAGAACGCAATTCCCCACCAACTCTTCTCCTTTATGACAATTTTCTTTGCCACCAATTGTTCTTTTCTTAGAATTGCTCCAGCTTATGCAATTGCATGTGAACAAGATGGTTTTGTTGGGCAGTTATTCTCTGTTCTATTCCAGAATATCCGAATTTGAACCTTTGCTTTAACGTACTTTCCAAAGAACATTTGCTAAGATTATTGATGTGAGGAAGTGTATTCCTAAATGACAATGGCATTTCCTTTGCCTCTATTTTTATAAGAGGCATTATTTCCAGTCGTTGAATATATTGCACTCCTATAGAGGTTAGAACCCCCCAGCTAACTTTCGGTCACTAGAGGAACGCACTGTGAATCTTCTTAATCTCATGCTTGATTAATTGGACTAATTTCTTAGAAAATTCGAGTAACTCACAGTGGCTGCGTTGATATGCAATATGACGTTTTTGATCCTTGTGTATGCAATGGAAGTTCCATTTTATGCATCGAAATAAAACCAGTTTCTTGACCAATCCCTTTGGCTCCATTCATTTGGAAAATAATAGAAGACATATTGATACTCTACAATTAGTAAACTATTCAAAAATAACCAATTAATAAAATTTTGATAATATAAATAAATAAATAATAGAACTGTATATACTAAAAAAGAATTTAAACTAAAAACAAGTTGATAATATTCTCACCTTAATTAAGCATCTGGACCAGCAGCTTTAACTTCAGCAGTAGCTTCATCAGAGTAAATCTTGAAGTTTTCGTTAAACTTGGCAGCAAGAGATTTAACTTCAGTGTTGAAAGCATCAGCACCCTTAACCCAAGATCTGGCTGGGTTTAATAATTCAGATGGAACACCAGAAATGGCCTTTGGAACATTCAAGTTGAAAACTGGGAATTTTTCATATTCAGCGTTTTCTAATTCACCAGAGTGGATAGCATCCAAGATAGCTCTAGTGTATTTCAATGGACATCTCTTACCACCATCCTTGAAACCAGCACCGACCCAACCAGTGTTTAATAAGTAAGCATTGGAGTTGTGTTCGGAAATCTTGTCGGATAATTGTTGAGCATACTTCATTGGGTGCAAAACTAAGAATGGTTGACCGAAACATGCAGAGAAAACAGCTTGTGGTTCAGTGACACCAACTTCAGTACCAGCCATCTTGGAGGTGTAACCAGAAATGAAATGGTACATGACTTGAGAATTGTCTAATTTGGAAACTGGAGGTAAGACACCGGAAGCATCACAAGTTAACAAGATAATGTTCTTTGGGTGAGTATCAGCCAAACATGGAATCTTGGCAGATGGAATATATTCAATTGGGTAAGCACATCTAGTGTTTTCAGTTATGCTTGAGTCATCGTAATCAACAACCTTGGTGTATGGATCATAGACAACATTTTCTAAAACAGAACCAAACTTGACAGCATTGAAAATTTCTGGTTCCTTTTCAGCAGACAAGTTGATACATTTAGCATAACAACCACCTTCAATGTTGAAGACACCGTTGTCAGACCAACAATGTTCATCATCACCAATTAATTCTCTCTTTGGATCAGCAGAAAGAGTAGTCTTACCGGTACCGGAAAGACCGAAGAATAAGGAAACATCACCAGTTTCAACACCTTGGTTACAAGAAGAATGTAAAGTTAAAACCTTGTGCTTGATTGGCATCAAGTAGAACATAACTGTGAAAATACCCTTCTTCATTTCACCAGCATATTCGGTACCTAAGATAACCATTTCCATATCTTTGAAGTTAATTTCAACAGAAGTAGAAGAAGTCATACCTTTAGTGTGGACATTAGCTGGGAATTGACCAGCATTGTAGACAGTGAAATCTGGTTCACCGAAGTTCTTTAATTCTTCATCAGTTGGTTTGATCAACATATTGGTCATGAATAAAGCATGGTAAGCTCTAGCACAGATAATTCTGACCTTGATTCTATATCTTGGATCCCAACCAGCATAAGCATCAACAACGAATAATTTTTCTCTAGTTCTTAAGTAATCAAGAGCTCTTGATCTGGAAATTTTCCAAGTTAATTCATCAACTTGTTTGTTAACAGGACCCCACCAAATATTTTGAGAAGAGGTTTCTTCATCGACAATTCTTTTATCTTTCGGAGATCTACCAGTCTTGGAACCGGAATAAGCCATTAAAGCACCAGTAGAAGAAATGGTGGTTCCCTTTTCTAATAAACCATCTTCGTAAAGAGTAGCTGGGGCAGCATTGTGTCTGATAATAGTATCTGGGTTGAGGGATAATTGTTCGACAACTGGGTCTTCAACAGACTTGAGGATTGGATGGTCAGCAAAGTTGATAGCTGATTCAACAGCAGTTGGAGGAGGAGGAGCCATTTTGTATTAAGGTGTATTAGTGTAAGAAAGAATACAATTGATGAGGAGAAAGAAAAAGAATTAGAAGAAATTAAAACTTGAAAGGGGAGGATTTGGCAATGTATTTATACTTGAAAAATTTATGAAAAATTACTACATCTAGGGGGGAATAAGGATTAAGTGAAAAATTATTAATTGAGTTTAATGCCCCGGGCTCTTTTTTGCCTGACCAGAGAGTTAAATTTAAAAAAAATTTGGTCTGGGGTAAAAAAAAAAATACAAAGAAAAAAAAAAATTAAAAATAAGAAACTTAAAAAAAATATTCATACACAGGAAATTTTAGGAAGTTTAACAATGGAAAAAAGACGTTTCCGTAACTTTCCGTTTCTTTTTCTCAGTTAGGCTTTGAAGCATATATGGGTTACACACTACTAAGTATCACGAAGGAATCTCCGGGGTAAAGAAATTAAGAAAGCGTTAACCCGGAAGGAAGGAAGATAAACCTCAGAACACAAAAATACAACACATAGCCCAAAAATACCACCTAAACTCTTTCTGAAAACACGTCGCCCTCCCCCTAGTGCTCGTAACATTCTCTGAACATCAAAGTTTTAATGTATGGGGAAAAGGGGGTGAAGTAAGCTTTTTTGCTTTGCCAGAAAAAAGGAGAAATGGGGTGACAAAATCATTCATTTTTGGTGACAGTGCAGACATCTACATACGTGGAATAAAACAGGATATTCCCTAATTTCAGAATCAGATGTGAACGTGTGTTAATAAGAATAAGGGACGATGAGCTGCGGAAGCAGGCAGTGGACACACTCAAGACGCAGGTGAAGAGTCTCGGCTTGTCTTCCCTCGGAGATCAGGTGGTTTCTTTTTTTTTTCACAAACTTCATTTTTTTTTGTTTGTGTGGCAATTAATGAGAAATGGAAGATCCGCACGATAAAATCAGGCCAACAAAAAATTTCTTGATTAATTAATTACACTGAGGACATTTCTTCTAAGACGTTGAATGATAATTCAATACTTACATACATCAGTAGGTTGTCATCTCGCTGTTATGTTACCATGGTGTAAAATATTTTTCTAATTTTTCATACGATGAGACGAAAAGCTTTCTACCAATGAACTTGCAACTGTTCTTGTCTGCTTACTTACTGGCAATAAAAAAATCAGAAGCAATTCTCCCCCACGTCCGAAAGAATATTTTATTTTTATTCGCTCTTATTGTTTTTTTTTATTTTTTTGGTTCAGTCGCTTCTGTTTTCTCTGCTGGTTATTATGAGATGAAGAACTGCAAAAAATAATTCCAGCAGGAAAAACAAACGGAAAAGAAAATCCTTAACAATCTTTCTTTCGGGGAAATGTTCCGAGGCTAATGGGTGTACTCTGTTAAAATCTATTCCTCCCCATCTTTTCTCTTCCGATTTCTTACGGATCACACAATTTTGAACTGGTAACATCGGACATTCGGTGTACATCCCCATAATATTCATATGGGACATTGTGTATCAGGGAGATTATTTGACTTTAAATTCTATCAAATCTATTTTAAACCTGTCATTGGAAATATTCGGAAGGTGGGGAGGAAGTTTCAGGAAGAAATCTTCTTGTCATACTCAGCTTGACTACAGAATGTGCCAGTTTCTTTTCCGCCCCTCCTCTTTCTAGTTAAATTCTTCCTGTTTTATATTTAACACCGGTCCATTGTTCCGGGGACAACTGTCAACATCGTAAATTTAAACAGACAACGGTTTTGGGGGGGGGGGGCGTCCTTGCCTGGCTTGACATGCATCTCTCTACAATGAAGGAAGAAATCGGGTTGTTCTTCCCGTTAGTAATGATGATGTGCGATTATTCCAGTCTAATGCGCAATTACATTCATTCCGGCACCAATCTCTGGTTTCGCAGCCATTATTAATATTATTCTGCAGATTTTGTTCCAAATTGTCCAAAATCATTTGAACCGAAAACGGCTTCCAAGTAGTTGAAATATACTTAATAACTCTAGCTGTATACGATACTTCTATTCAAACCATTGATCTTATTCATCTTGTATTTTTAACTCAAGAATATCTTTAGACAACGCTTTTCGACCCGGGAGATTTTCATGGAGTCACGTGAACGTCGTGTACTTATCAAAATAACGGACATATCCAACGTCGAAATCAAAACAATATTATTATTTAGTGCCCCATCTCATTTAATTCGGAAGATTCCACAAAGAAGACTACGTCCTATAAAACATTCATGCAATATTACATATTATTACAAACATTAATATAAAAACTAAACTAATTAACTACATCATCCATATTTCTCATGAACTATGACAAAAATACTTTTTCCGGATTTGATTTTTTATCATAATAATCATAATAATATTTCCAAGTATCAAATCCAATTTCTTTAACCCCATTAATTGTCTTATCGTCATTAACATCAAGCATTATGCATTGATTTATTTCAACATCATCTGCAACCGAAGATTTCAAAAATGTAATCCCACTACAAATCAATCCGTATTTGAAAATTTCAGTTAGGTTTGAATACAGTGGGTCTATAACTGGACCAATAATTCCTCCAACCAAGGGAGATTCTTGTTGCTGTTGCTTATCATTGACACATTCATCTATAAACGGATAAAACTTAGAAAATTGGGACTTATTGGTAAAGAATATAATCGATCCAATAACATTTTGATTTGTAGGTTCCAAGGCAATGATTATCTTTACTCCCAATGGGGATTGATTTCGTAAATGTTTCACAGCTTCACCATAAATTGTTTTTATACTATTAATATCATCCTCATTAGTGGAGTGTTGGATAGATCTATCAATTAAATTCATCAATTTCTCTCCGTCGTTACAAATATCAAATCTAACTCCCACAATAGTTAATTCACGGAATATCTTTTTTGGGACTGTCCAATTTTCTAAATCATGCAAAACCATGACATATTTCTTACGATGGGATCTACTGATTTCCCAACCTAAACTATTCATAAATGTCCGAACTCGACTATTGTTGAGATTTGAATTGTCCGGGAACATAACTAATGGGAATGAGCTACCCAAGGAAATGGTAGTACATTTTTGTTCTTTGATCAAATATCTCATTGCTCGGGTGTGAAGATTCTTACCAATACTTTGTAATCTTTTGGATTTGTCTACCAAGATGTATAGTAAATGGCCAGCTTTTTGTTCATCAACCCAGGTTAAAATGACCCCATATAAAATATTCAATGATGAATTCCGAACCACAAAATGCTTTTGATCTTTGTTGGTACTGGCTAATAATCCATATAAACGTTTATAAAACGTTTCATTCTGATAATCGATTTTATTCCGATCATGATAAGAAGGAGCGTCGGCAGTATTATTTTTCCATAATTTGATCAAACTTGCCCAATCTCGTTTCATATCGAATTCATCCACCAACCATCTTCGTTTAGGCGGAGTAGAAGTACGAGGTTTGTTGGATACCGGTGAACCAGGATTCAGTCTACTACTGGTTATACTATCATCAGTTAATCGTCTTTTACGTATTGCGAATTTCTTTTCTCCAGGGATACATCCTTCAGGATCAAAATCTCCCATTAAAACCCCGACTAATTTTTCCAATGCATTATTGGTATAATCATAGCAGCACATATAAACACTTCCGATACTCTTGTTATAAAAGAAATCATATGGGGACAGAGTAGCCACTATAATTAACGGCTTCGTCAACTCCGTGTAGATTGCCTGCCCGGCATTATTAAATGAAGCGGGATTGGCTCCACATAATATAGATACATATTTGACTATTCCAATTTGATACATATTTCTTGAAGCTTCACTAGTGAGGACAATAACAATCTTGGCATTTTCGATCAACGATTCATGCAAAGGTGTCAATCCATTGGCAGTATATGTTGTATGAAGAACATTGTATGATCTGGTATGGCTTATTGGGTGGTTTGCTAGTAGCTCACCAAATTTCTGGAAAACTTCCTCACCAGTGAATAGACGTGGCTTTGGAGTTGGAACATCCGTGTCTGCATCGTCGCCATCCTCTGCATCCTCTTCTATCACGTGTTGGCCGTGTCCATGTATGGATTTGGTCCCATATATAGGATTTAGCAAAGGAGTTAAAATCAATATCGAATCTACCTGATCAGAATCACTAGGCGAGAGAAATTTCGATATTGGTAAAGCACCATTGAAATCACGCACAAGCGTAATTGATTTTTGATAAGCTAATGAAGACAATTTCTGATGCTGGTTCCATAATTCTGGATTTTCGTATTTGAATAAAGTTATCTTATCTTCTTTGGCCGAAGCCTCACCTCTTGGGAAGATTTCTGACCATTTTGGCAATCTTCGTTGTAATCTTTCTATTCTACCAAAAGATGCCATTACTACTTCTTCATCTAGATTACCATTGGCGATTGCCTTTTTCAAGGAGTCAACTGCTTCATTTTGTAGAGCAAGGTCATGACAAACCATAACCAAGTCACATCCAGCCGAAAGTGCCAATATAACACCCTGACCTAATCCAATTGAATGGTATAAAGCTTCCATTTCTAAACATTCGCTAATGACAAATCCATTAAATTTCAATTCTTGTCTTAATAATTGATTAATTACAACTGGCGATAAACATGCGTGAGTTTCGTCAGGACTGATGTTAGGAACACCACACCCAGCAGCACTAATACCATCTAAAACCCCTTCTTCTATCAACTTGGCAAATGGGACAGTATTAAAATGTTTGATTTGTTCTAATGAATCTCCAATCATGGGCAACTCCAATAAGGAATCCACTGTTGCATTACCAATACCAGGGAAATGTTTACCAACAGTGAAAAGCCCACCATCTTGTAAACCTCTTGCGCACATTAACCCATATTTTGTGACATCTTCAACTGTGGTTCCAAAACTTCTAACCCCGACTAATTGATGTGATAATTTGGTAACGACATCTAATACAGGACCCAATATTATTGAAAATCCAACTTTTTTTAGTTCGATGGCTATTGCTTTTGATATTTCATATACTAATTGTGGATCTCCAGTGGCCGATAAAGCCATTGCACCAGGATATTGAGTTAAAAAATCTGGGTCAAATAATGAATTCATCATTCCACCTTCTTCATCAATGGCAAACAAGATTGGATATTTGTAATTCCCCTGACTGAAAGCAATGTATTGTAAATCTTTAATCAATTTAGACATCTGCTCTGCACTAACTGCATTCTTACGAGATAATATCATTGATGATACCTTATGTTCCACTATCAAATGATAAGCTTGTGGAGTTACAGTTGTACCTTGGAATCCTCCACATAATAATTGGCCAACATGAAATGGCGGTGAGTTTTGTCCGGAGTTCATTTGAATCGATTGTTGCTATTTTGATTCCTTGTGTTAAATGAATCTTATATGTTAATTCGATATTCGTTGTATGTTTGACTGTTGCTTCTTCTGTCGACTTGCTATTGATGTTAAAACCTTTTTACAACCATCAATTGTTGTCAAAAAAAAAAACAACAATAAATGTCTCTTCTCACTTTTGCAAAAATGTCAAACTGATACAAAAATGGGGATTGTCGCGACATTTAGTAGTTCACGACATTCCAAATAATCACCGTTTTTACTTGCTACTTCTCATTCTCAGTTCTTGTAAGTGCTTCTTCAAGAGAGACAAAGGGCGGAGTAAATTCAAGCAACTACAACCGAACCTGAACCCTTCTTTGATTTTACTTGCTTCAGCAGTTTTAGTCAGTACTACCCTCTTGAAGTACATAAATAGTTATAGGTAAAACCCAGGGCATGAATGGGTATTCCAGCATTATGGGACGTTCTAAAACCAGGTTTTGATCAACGAATCTCCATAGATCAACTAGTAGATCATTACCTAAACCAGTATGACAGAACACCACGTATAGCTGTGGATGCTTATATGTTTATCTATGAATCTGGAAATAGCAACATTGTTAATGTTGATGATGTGGAGGGAATCATGATTCTGAATTTTATGTCCAAGATATTAGCATTGATTAGTTTGAATATTTCGGTGATTGTTGTCTTTGATGGGACATTGAAACCCAAGAAGACAAGAAATGGAGACGTGCCTACAAATGGGGCAGATTATGAACAGGAAATATCAAAATTGGAGACGTGTACTAATTTCGATGAGAGGAACCCTAAGATTTATGAATTAAAGAGAATTCTATTGGCGAATAGGATTGATTATGTTCAAGCTGCAGGCGAAGCAGAAGCACAATGTGCATTTTTACAGAATTTGGGTATAGTCGACTATGTTATATCTAACGATGTTGATACCTTAGTATTTGGTGCTACCAAGGTTTTACGAAACTTTAGTAGAATAGAACAAGAAGAGTTTCAATCACCTAAAAGGAGGAGTACTGCTAAAGCAGCAACATCTTATTATGTAACCCCAGTAGATATGAGCAAAGTAGAGAAACTAACTGGAATGACACGCGCTAGATTAGTGTTTTTGGCTACCATTAGAGGAGGTGATTATTCAACTGGTCTTGATCGAATTGGAATTAAAATGGCAACTTCCTTAGCATTATGTGGGACAAAGTTTTCAAAATATCATACCAGAACGATATATAAGCAAGAAATCAAGGAACAAAAGAAGAATGGAGGAATTGTAGTTATTCAAGAACCACCACCAGATTTTGCCAATGAATTAATTCGATGTTTTGTTTCCGAAAACACTTGTTCATTAATCAAATCATGGGAACTGAGAATTGAATCTAGCATACGACGAAATAAACTAAAAGCATTTTCACATTCCCTTAACGAAATTGTTCGTGAACAACCTCGTGATGTATTTGGAACTGCGCATAAGTTTGATTCCAACTTTATCTTTGATGAATATATTACCATGCTTTATTTGTTTCCTTTAGTCAATACAAATTGTCATATATTTCTTCCCAATACTTTGAATTTTGGTGAGTTTACCCTGGATCCGATTCTTAAGGTCCCGTCAAACGCATTTTTCAAAACTATTGTTGGCTCAGAATGTGTAAGGCGACAGAGCAATATAGAAAATCTAGATTATTTTCAAGAATTGTTCTTTTCCAACACTACTCCTATTGCGATAAGTGATATTATGAGTTGCGGGGAATTACCCAAATCCCCCGTGGAAAGTTTGCCAGTTCCCGAAACCTACCGTTTTAATATCAAACATATAATCTGCCGATTAATTGCAAATTATGCATTCGATACCAAATCCTCGTTCCTAATCAAAATTACTAATATCAAAGATGAAGATGGTATGGAAAAATGTATGTTAAAATATGATCTTAAAGCGGTCTGTGGATTATTCCCTCAATCCATCGAAGCTAAAAAGTTAAATGATCCAGAGTGTCAATCTCCCATCAAGGAAAAGGAATTGCCATATATATGGATCCCGAAATCTATTATATCGCATTATGCACCGAAAATGATTGATTCATTTATCCGTTCAAGAGAAGAATACGAATATACCAAGAAACATAAAGCGTCTCCGCAAAAGAACAAACTTGACTCGTATTTCACAATATCTCCCACCAAGCCTATTGCGCCGCCGGTACTAAAGAAGGGATCCATCCCTTATAGTATATCCAAAGGATTACCCTCACCCAAGAGGAAGAAATCAAGGCCAATTCCTCCCGGACAGAAACAGCTTGATTTTTTTATCGCAAAAACTTCTGAAGTTAAGAATAGAAAGAAGGAACTGGAGAATCCGTTTTTGGAGAAACCTGAAGTTCCGAAAATTAACTTGATCATGACGGCTCCTGATTTGCGTCATGTGGAACTGCCGAAGAAACAACAGAAAGTTATCAAACCAATCGAAGTTATTGAAATTGACAGTTGTTCTGATTTATCAGAGATAATTGAGTGATGCGCGCAATTGCTTATGTTATGAGATTGCGCTTTTCAAATCTACAACGGAAAAAAAAGACTCTGACCTCGAAGATCTAGACATTACTTTACACCTATCATCTATTCTTTCTTTCTCTTTATCTATAACTATAGACTATCTAAGTACACTATATATGGAAAATACAACAATGAAGCTTCAATGGAAGACACCTACTAAAAAGATTTATGATTCTTCAGATTTAAAGAATCTTCATAAATCAATTGCCATTCATAAATTACAAAGTCATTTAGATTTCATATGTGAAAGAGTACAAGGATGCAAGATACCCAATGATATATTGAATATGGACATTGTAACAAGACATCCTAGGAATATACTGTACATTGCTCCTCCCCCATTAGTTGAGAGCTTCGACAAAGAATCTTCACTTGAACTTAGCAATAACGTACGTGGAATAACCAAAATATTTGATAGTTTGAATAAATTGATTGATGAAACTCCTCCAGTAGTTGGACCAACTAGATTTGGAAATATTGCATGTAGATCATGGCATGATAAAATAGAACCACAACTAAACACCTTAATAAAGCAAAGCCTCCAATTCCCGAAGTCATTAGATACCGATGGCTTCTTATCTGAATCAACTTACTATCTTCAAAACGCATTTGGATCCAAGATTAGGCTAGACTATGGTACTGGCCACGAATTATCATTCCTCGCATTTGTGGGATCCTTGCTCGAGTTCAAAATCATCGTTGACCCCAAAGGTCAAGAGGTCTTGATAATGTTTGCGAAATACTACGATCTAGTCCGGAGATTAATCGTCGAATATAACCTAGAACCAGCCGGGTCTCATGGCGTTTGGGGATTAGATGATCATTTTCATTTAATATATATTCTTGGAGCATCACAGTTCGTCACAGATAAATTAGCCCCCGTTGTTTCAAGGGCCCTATCTCATCAAGTAATCAATTCTCATAAGATGGATAATTTATATATCAATGCTGTATCATTTATATTCAAATTGAAGAAAGGACCCTTTAATGAACATTCCCCGATTATTTATGATATCCACAACAGCGTGTTGCTGTGGGTGAAAGTAAGACAAGGATTGTTAAAGATGTATCAAGTGGAAGTATTAAATAAATTCCCCGTGGTTCAACATTTCTGGTTTGGTGAAGTGTTGTACCCTTGGAAAGACGCCAAGACTAACGAACCCCTACCAGTATTTCAAAAAGAAGAAACGCACACTGCCCTGGAGATTCCAACAAAGATTCCAAGTCGATCTACAGGTACCGCAGCATCATCGAGAGCAGGTATCCCGATGACAGCGGCTCCTTGGGCTAATCAATCGAGAGGACTTCCCCCAAATATTCCTCAAACTGGTTGGCCATCACGCAAATAGTGATTGTATTTAGATAAATAATAAGAAAATAGTCTAACTGTGATTACTACCTATACATGTAAATATTGTCTACGATCTAGAAACTCTGAAATTGAATGCAGAACGACAAAGTGGACAAGTACTACTACCTGAACTCTTAAACCATTTATAAAGACATGCAGCATGGAACTTATTATTACAAGTAGAACATGTCTTTGACGGCAATGATAAATCAGAATGTAAAATTGAGTAACAAATTGCACAATCTTCAAAACCGGAGAAATGCAATTTGACATTCTTACAAAACAATTCAATCGATTCGATAATGGATCCATTTGTCAATGATATGATTCGTTGAGAAGCCAATAGCCATGATTTCCATTGGGTTTCTTTGACACCTAGACGGAGAGGACCTTCTACTGATACATTTTCCAATGGGTAGTTTTTGGGGATCTTGATTATCATTTCCATTTTCTGGTCGTCAATTACAAATGAAGTTTTAATCTCAGACGTAATCGTGTTGATTTTGATATTCATGTTTTCTTCTTGGTTTTGGATTTTATCTTTTTGATCAGTGACTTGGGTGAGAATTTTGGTTATTAAAATAGGTGAAATGTACGTTGAAGTTAATTTTTCAATTTTAGTTTTGAGCTGTTTATCTCTAATTTCTTTAAACCAATACTGAACCTGAGATCCACAATAACGTAAACATTTATAATAAGTATGAACACATAAAAACCTAATTTCATAATCCAAATCTTCCTTCTTTGGCAATTCAACTAAATCATAATCGGGAATAGTATTAGTTTTAATATCATCATTAGTTATTAAAGTCTTGAAAAATTTGTCCGAAAGTTGTTCAATATGTTCAAATATAAATTCAAATAATCCATTCAATTCATTCTTGTCGGTTGTAATTTGTGAAACATATTCTCCACGCATTTTGAATGTTATATCTTCAAAATAAGTGAAAATCAAATACCAACTCCATAAATACTTGACAATATCCGCTTCCTTTTCAACATGGGTAGTATGATACTTCGAATCACGAGCAACCCGTAATAATTCATCAGGTAAGATTGCACGAATCACATCATCTTCTTGTTCATCTTCACTCAACTTGGATTTTTGTAATTGATAATCCACCACGAAATCTTCTTGCTGTCTTAATATAATATTTCTTAAATAAAAACTCGAAATTCGCAATATCGGTACCAAATCAGTCTCGACAAACACCAGCAACAATTTCTCTTTTTCTTGAATGATATTTCCTGTAGATATCTTAGTCTGTTCAAGTGCTCTTGATAAAACTTGTTGATTCAATACTGAAGCTTGGTTCTCAATCCCAACACTAACATTATCATCACTCAAGAAAATCTCAAGCAATTCCTCATCATAGTTCTCCAATAATTGTTGCTCTAGTCTATGCAATAAGCCATAAACCTTCAAGGAATAATATTTCAAATCAATACGATCAGAAGTTCCAACCATGCCTAAGTTATCACGTAAAATAGTATTCGTCACTTCCCAGAAATTATCAGGAATTGTTGCCTGGTGTTGGGCGAGCAATCCCAAGAATCTCCCTGCTTGGATTCTAACATCGGTGAACTCAGGATCATAGGCTATAGAAGATTCAAACCAGGACGATATTTGATTTAATGCCATGGTTAATTTGTGTACCGGGAAGAGGTCTTTTCGTTGTTCAGCATCGTCGAAATTCAAGAATAAGATCGTGAATGTCACCCATTTTAATCCGGCCAGTATGATATCGGATTCTTTTCTGACTCCTAAGATTTCTGAAAAGACATAATTCCTAATCCGGTCAAGTGTCTTTGAATGAAGGAATTTGGATAAACCAGAAATTACACCTATGAATAATAATGGGGTCTTGACTAATTTGGTATAATTGATATTGTGTGCTTCAAAGGATTGGAAACTTTCTTGTTCGATTGAAGTCTCGATCAACTTTTTGATAATTCTAGAAGCATAGAATGCAACCGTATCATTCCCGTTAGACAATTCAACTAATTTCGTAAATACTGGAGAAGTAGCGGTTCCATTAATACAACTTGCAATAGTATCAAAATCTATCCTCAATCTAGCGGAAATACTGCTCTCTAATTCAGAAAGAGCATTGGAAACTTTCTCAAAATCGAACTTCTGAGAGTCTTGAACAAAGACGTAGTCGGAAACATATTCCCTTATTAATGCCGCTTGGACAATTATATCCTCATCAATATCTACATTCAGATTTTGGATTAATTCCAGTAAGAATTTCGCGAATATTGGACCGATTGGAAATACTTCTGGCGTTGATCTTGCTGTGCATAAATATGCTGCCAGTTCTAATGGATTTGACATTGATATGGAGTATATATCCATATGATTCACAATGTGTTTAACTCTTTCGGACAAAGCCGCCGAAATTGGAGTTCCCTTGGCGATGTTGGAAACTTGGGTGAAATTATCATCAATATTTGCTTCTCCTAAATATTCAATCAATGACTCTATAAATACATCTTGTTTCTCGTTCTTAATAAACTGCAAAAACTCACCGCAGGACGATCTCGATTCCACATTCTTCCAAGCACTTACTAAGAACTTCTTCAATTGTATCTCAGAACATCCTTCTCCGTTTATTAAACGATCCGCACATCCATCAGTCATACAAAGCTCAATGAAATCCAATCTAGATGTCTCATTCTTAGCAGCTGTTCCAATCACATTTGTTAAGATTTCTGAAGAATCAGTCAACCCTAATAACAATTCAATTTCACTCTTTGATACCTCCGGTTTTGTTGAAATGGTCAATAAATGGGCATAAATATCTCCAAAATGAGTTTGATCGATTTTAACTACTCCCTTTAAAGTTTCGAGGAATTTGTTGATGCTTGTTGGCTTGACCATTGAGAGTTTCAAGTAGACGTCGTTTATGACTTCCAGAGGATCTTCAACGATGCTCTTGGCAACAGCGGTCGATAAAAGATTGATGGGTTGGGAAACGAAGTCAGGTTCAATGTAGCTTGGTAATTCAGAAATAAACTCGGCAAGCTCTGGAATTGGAGTAGTAGTTGAATCTAAATAGATAGATATGATCTTGAATGGGAGTTCTGCCAGTGCTGGGTCGAATAACTGTTGAAGATTGACGATCGTTTCCTTGACGATATGTTCTATCAATTTGACAAGGTCTAGCTTTTGAAGTAGTTGGAAGTAGGATTGAATGAATTTCTCTTCCGGAACTTTAAGTTCAAGACTTGTTTTTAAAGTTGAAATAGTGATATATTCCAAAATGTCATCATTTACCTTTTCAAACACTTCATGGGAAACGCCAGCTTTATGTATAGTTGCCACAATGTCATCGGATATGCTCTTAATTCTACTTGCCAGTATTTCTTTCAACACGTCTATCACAACTCCTTCCATTGTTGACTCTTTGACAGTACTATCCACTTGGAAATATATCGTTATTGAGAATAAGCAATCTAAACAAGCTGGTTTGAATCGTCCCTGGTTTGAATTGAATTGTTTTAAGAACAAGTTGGTAATATATTTATATTCCTCGTCACTTGAAAAATCAACTAAATTTGATTCTGGATCTTGGTTGTCTTTAGATAACCTGAATAAAACTTGGAAAAAACTGGAGATGATATTATAATAACTTGGATCCAGATTACAATGACCAATCTTCAAATATTCATAAAACCTAGATTGAGCTTTATTTCCCGCCAATTCCCAAAAGTTTTTCTTTGTCTTTAAACCGGAACTACCTGCTTGTTGACTAAAATCAGTCAAGACGATAATGGTGCTCCAGAATTGTAAGACAACGTTTGAATATACGATACTCCCAACTGATGATTTTGAACTTTGTTTTAATTTTGTCTTCATGAATTTTTTAGATATGGTTTTGTATAATCCATTTGGATCTTCAAGTTGGGTGATGAACTTGTTATCTTGTTTCATATCAAATATTCTTAAGATGAGGGTTAAAACTGTCTTAAACAAAGCTAAATTCATGGTATCCTCCTTAACGCAACTACTCAATTTCTCCCAAACGACATCTTGATTCAATATTCTTTCAATTATCTTAATAGAAGAACTTTCCAATTTCAATTTTTCACAATTGACCAATGAAATGATCTTCATCAACATATTCACAGCACCCATCAATACTCTCTCATATTTCATTCCAACTTCAGATTCATTAGTGTATCGTTTATCAGACAAAGTCTCCGGAGTTTCAATTATAACAATTGTGGCAATAAAATTCACAATTTGTTCAATAAAGATAATCCAAACCGATTCATCAACTTTTTGTCGATCTCCTTGAAACGATTGGACAAGATTCAGATATGTCGAATTTGAAACCGAACGATCGGGATCAAAGAGTCCTAATAACCATACGGGTATTGAACTTTTCAAATATTTTGAATAGGATTTCCCACCTACGATTTCTAAGAATTTGGTTTGGACTAAATGTGCCATAGATCTTGTATTTCTAGAATTATCAATTGCTAATTTTGGATAGATTTGGATCCAAGCCATGATCGTTAAATCATTACATATGTCGTTCTTATTATTGTCTAATAATGAAAGGAGATCTGTTAATGCTTTTTCTTTCGTTTTGGGATCTTTCTTAAGAAGAGATTTGAGGATGACTGTTAATTCGGGTGAATGGATTGTGGTGATATCAGGTAAGGATGTGAAATAGTTTAATGAGACTGAGAATCCATTGTATCCTAAATCACCTGTAAGTTCTTGTTCTTCTGTTGCCATTGTTAGCTGGTGTATCTTTCTATTAAATTGTCTATCAACAGTCCTTGCTGTCTATGCGTTGAGAGATAGAAAGAGCAAAAAGAGAAGAATTTTTCAGCACCAATTTTTTTTCTGTTGACTTTTGTGCTGGGTACTTATTAGTCATTCAGTCTTCCTTTTAATAACAATGGTTTGGTCTGTACAAGAGAAGTTTACTTATTGAACGATAGCTTGACTAAGTAGGCAGAATGCATCCATCGATTCCAGTCGGACACTTCCAATTTGATTTCGTAAAGATATGCCACGAAATAGTCCGCCATAATTTTGTCCAGAATGAGACTTATTTTCTACGATTAATATGATGACTAGCTATATACAAACACACTACAACTTGATCCTAATCAACAAAGGCAAACCCTCTTTAGCAATTCCCCCTAGCTCCTGTTAATCACCCAACAGTTCATAAAACTGCTTAACAACATCACTAGTCATAACTTTATTCGGATGAAAATTCCTAATCTCAAGATGTTCTTTACATACCGCTCTTGATAATGCAACATATACTTGCCCTTTTTCAAAACTTCTCCCCAAATCAATTCGTAACCGATCAATAGTCTGTCCTTGAGCTTTATGAATCGACATGGCCCAAGATAACAATAATGGCAATTGTTCCCGGATTAATACATCCGGCACACCCTGCATGGCCGCCATGGCGGATCTTTGACGAGCCCCGAGTTCGATTTTGAATTCTTCACGTTGGACTAATGTGAGATAATCTTGTCCGCTGGTGGTTTTGAAATTGATCAAGGGAAGGAGGTTGGCGGTAGATTCTTGGACGGCGATATGACAGAGTTGTTGAAATATGGATTTCCGTTCTTCCGGGATTTGATCGAAAAAGGCGGAATCGGTGGCAGTATAGCTGTCGGAATTGGCAATACGTGAAGATAAGAATCTTAATTCGGATAAGATTTGATGATCGGTGGTGGGGTCGATTTCTTTGCCGTAATGTTCAAGGAATTGCATATGTAATCTTGGAGTGAGGAAGGTTAGGACGGTTCCGATTGATCCATTTACAAGGTCATCATCAATATTTTTCAAGTTCATGACTTGGGCACCTTCCTTGAGGGTAAGGGTTTGTTCACACATGAGATTATCTAATTGCTTTTTGTAATCGGGACTGGAAACATTATCTAATGCTGGAAAGATTATTGGTTTTCCTTTTAATTGGTTTAAACGAGAGAAATTTGCAGTCTTAACTTGATCTCTTGTGGGGAATAATTCAGTTGGTTCAATTCCATCTTCATAAGTTACTGATCGAGAAAGTTTGGAAAATTTAGCAATTAGTTCTGGAGTTAATGTACCTGATCTTAATGCATTAAGCATATCAATAAGTTCATTATCCCCCTTTTGTCTAAATACTTGTTTAAGTAATATGGTTCTTTTAATAACAGCTGTCCAACAATTTGCTTGAAAACAAAATTTTGATTTACCATCTTTTGAAACTGGAGGTAATTGAAAGAAATCTCCAGTACATACAATTTGAATTCCACCAAAAGGTTTAGTATTACCTCTAACAATTTTAGCAATTTGTTCTAATTTTTCAAATAAAAGTCCATCAATCATGGAAATTTCATCAATAATTAATACTTTTAACATTTGCCATTTTCTTAATAACATTGGATTTCTTTTAATTCTTTTAGACAATTCAAATGCACTACCTAAACCTAACCCAATACCTAAAAATTTATGAAGAGTTTGACCTTGAATATTACAAGCAGCCATACCAGTAGATGCAGTTATCCCGACTTGATCTCGATATATTTCTCGTAATTTTTTAACAAGTTCACGTAAAACAACCGATTTACCAGTACCGGCACTACCAGTATAAAATACATTTTGTTTTTGATAGACAACTGCTTGTATAACTGTTTCTTGTTCAATACTTAATTTGGTTGAATTGGTAATGTTGGAACCTGAATTTTCAGAAAGTATAGATGAAGTTCTAGATAATAATTTTGGAACTTTTTTAGGTTGACCATTTAAGATATCTAAGAAATCTGAATTTGCTCTTTTCAAGGTTGGTTGTTGTGATTGTGCATGCAATTTAGGTTTAGGATTATAATATCTAATAACATCTAAGTCATCTTCATCATCACTAAGAATAATTGGATTCTTTTTCGTATTAACTTTGGGAGCAGCAGTAGTAGTAGTTTTCCTTTGTGAAATAGTTTGAGATAATATTGGATTACGAAAGTTATTAATCTCTATACTTGTATCAAAAGAAGTATCAGGACTTGATAAATCTTCAAATCCAGTATTTGAATTAATTGTTTTATTTAAAAATGAATCTTGTCTTACTAATGATACTTTCTCAGGAGTTGTTATTGATTTAATTGGTTTAGTAGAAGTAAAGAAATTGGATAATGTCAGTTGTTTTGATCTAGTANAAATCTTCAAATCCAGTATTTGAATTAATTGTTTTATTTAAAAATGAATCTTGTCTTACTAATGATACTTTCTCAGGAGTTGTTATTGATTTAATTGGTTTAGTAGAAGTAAAGAAATTGGATAATGTCAGTTGTTTTGATCTAGTAGTATTAGTACTGTTGTTTAGTATTGGTTTCTTCTTATTGTTATTATTATTAAATGGTTTCATATTTCAGATGATTTGTACTTGTGATGAATATGTAATAGTAGTAATAGTAGTAGTAGTGTACTGTGTCTATAAAATAATACCGTACTATACAAATGTAGTAACAATATCTCTACTATACTTTAAATCCCACCCAATAGAGAAGAATAATTATTTTTGCAACAAATTTTTATTTAGTTAGAAGAAGTTAAGTAAAGAAAAGAGACAAGAGTTAAAATGTAAACAAATCAAGACGCGTTTTTCTTTTAATGGTAGAAAATTTATTAGGGTCGTGTATAATTAATCAATAGAAAAAATGATTTTTTCACATGAATACTTACTCACATATACAACAAAGAAATGGCTGAGATTTTTATTATTTATTTTTTTTTTAATGTATGAAATGAAAAAGATTTTTGATCCAAAAAATAAATCCCTTGACAAGATCTCACATTACAACTGTACTACACTACCACAACCACTACTGTATCTCGTATTAAAAATGTACCATTCCCCCCCTTTCAATTAGTTGTTCTAGATTACATAGCATTTGTAGAAACTAAAAGTAACGCGCTTGTCATATTACTAATTACAGTTTAACATCGTACAATCTAGTCTACTCTCTCCTTTGTTATAGAATTGAATTTTATACGAAACAATTTTTATTTTTTTATTTCTTTCTGATCTCTCTCTCTTTTATTTACAATTTCAGAACAACAATAAGATCAAACACACCGTTTAATAAATCAAATAATTTCAATATATATTTATAATCACACCCGTTTCTCAAAAACATCCCATAGATAGTTATACGACAACCTCAAAACTGTGATAAATACGAGTGGGCATTTTAGTAGTTTTTTTTTTTAACACACCCAACACTTTTATTTATAATATTTGGCAACAACGTTTTTACCATCGTCTAACTTGTAACCCATACAAAAATATTATGAGTGTTGTAAATTCACATGAAGATTTATATCATCAATCATCACAACAACAACAATTAACGACTGCTTTACCAACATCCAAAGAATCATCATCTCCATTGGAAAGACGACCTAGTCTATTTACTCAACGGATAAAGAAATTAACTAAATCTAAATCTTATCTTAATTTCCATCAATATTTAGATACCAATAAATCATTAGATTCAACCACTTCTTCTTCAACTGAAGATCATAAACAACAATCACCAGTATCTCAATCGACATCACAGATGCTATTTAAGAAATTGACAAGAAATCCAACCAAGAAAGATGTAGATCAAAATCAACAACAACAACAATCAACTACTACAACTTACCCGGAAGAATATTTATTATACGGAAGATCAAGTAGTGGTACTTCATTAGATCCAAGAAACAGACATATCAAAGATGATTCAATAGATATACATTCAATATCAACTCAAGATGTGTTATTACCCCCACCAAAAGGATTCTTAGAAAAACTGAAAACCTTCCCACAACCAGAAGTATCTAATATTAATACTACTTCTACTACTACAAGATATCCACTACGACATTCACCTACAATGTATTCTCCTTCAAAATTAGATACAATTGATTCCTTTTCTGCAGTTACTAGTTTTAAAGCACAAATACCAAGACCAGAAATTGTTGATGAATTATTTGAAAAATTATTATCTATTAGAGTATTCCCATCTGAAGCTATTGAATCATTAAGAAATCAACCAACTCAAAGAAAATGGGAATTACTCTTAAGTGAAAATGATACAAATGAAAATTTTGACTTGAAATCTTTATCCCATAAGGCAAATCAATATTTTTCAAATAGAGAAACATCAACTCCATCAGCCAACCCTAGCATTGATAGAGATACAATCCCCCCTCTTCTATCCGAACAACAAGTGGATCTTAATGAAGATTTATACAATGGTGATCCAGTCACTCTTCGACGTCTGAAATCAAGAACAGTAACTATAACTAAAATATTCCCTCAAGCAGAAAATTTACGTAAAGCATCAAGTGGATCGACTTTCTCATTAGTATCTTCTGAAACAACATCCACAACAACAACTTCAACTCCACCAATAGGAACCAGTACCATCAGTACCCATGCTAATGGCAAGAAAATACGAATAAAAGATGGAAGTCCAGAATGGTTTGTTACTCGTATAATGTCAAATAAAATGTCAATTAAAGAATTCAAAAAACTTGAAAAGAAATTAGCTGAAAATCATAAATCTTCAAAAACTTCATTAAGTTGGATTCATCGATTTTGTAATGCTCAAGGAGAATTGGCCCTCGCGGTTACATTATCTCAAATTAATCGGAAAAATTTCAAATCAAATGAAGAATTCGATAAGGAATACATAATTGTCAAATGTTTAAAACATGTTTTGAAAGAAGATTTCCTTGATGATCCAGACTACTCATCAACTACCAAGGATAAACCCCATGTTCTTAAATCATTAACTCATTCCTTAATCTCCCCAAGATTATCCACTAGAATATTAGTAACTGAAGTCATGGTAATGTTGATGCTTTTACGAGATCGAAGTTTATTAGATAGTGCAATAACCGCTCTCTCAGGTCTTAATATCCAAGCTAATGAATATAATTTCAAATTTCAAAGATGGTTGAATTCATTTGAAGAATGTATAGATAAACAATCGTGGGAAATCTTGGGTAAACATAAAGGAGAATCAAACAATATGAAGAATTATTTCTTAATTACATTAATGTTAATCAATTCAATGGTTGAATTATGTGGGAGTCTAAAACGAAGAATCTTAATTCGTCGAGATTTTGGTGAATCAAGAATAATGGAAATTTTGGAAAAATTGAAATATGTCCAAGATGATAGAATTAATGATGAAATTGAGAAATATGAAGGATATGCTGAAGAAGATTATCATTTATATCTTGAATCCAAAAGTGGAAGTGCTAGTAGTAGTGTGGTTACGAAATATAAACCATTACCAACCGTTCCGATGGTGCAACAACAACAACAAGTGGATGGGAATTTTGTTGATAAACTGGAAGTATCTTCAGATACCTTTTCAACAAGGAATTTAACGGATCAGAGTACATCTTCGTTTACACAGGAAGATGGAGATGAAAGAGAGAGTTTTAGATCGAAATATCTGATTACAGTGGAATCACAAAAGGGAGAAGGAGAAGTGAAGGAAGGGATTCATAATGAGAATAAATCCTTCTCCACAACACTGTTACCTAGAGTTGATGAAATTGATCCTGATGAAAAGATAAAGAATATCTTGAACAAATTGGTTGAACTTAATCAAAGTGATAGAACACCACAAGAACTTAATAACATGTATAACATAATTGAATCAATCTTAATTGACATTTCTACCGGTGATGATGAAGATTTAGCAACTGATAATAATGAAACCGAAGGAGCAAAACCAATGTTTCACAGATTTTTCGATAGGCTAGCAACTGAAGATATCGCCAGACAAGCCATTTCGGAAGCTAGGACTCTCGCTCATGAAATCAAGCTTTTAAAAGCCCAAAATTCAAAACTTGAAGATCTAGTCAAGCTGGAAAATGTCCTCACAGTGGAGAAATTACAAGAAGAAAATGAAATACAACGGGATAAAATTGAGACTCAAGAGCGTCAGATATCTTTATTACAACATCAGATTAAACAATTAGAAAAGAAATCACAAACTTCTGGTCAACAAGTTCAATTCCAATCACCACAAAATTCATTGGATTCAGGTGGGAAAAATGATACAATTTGTTCAAGTTCATTTGTGAATGAATTAAATACCATTATTTCAAATTCTTCATCAACTAAAAAGAGTATTCCACATGCTTTCAGAGAGTTGAGACAGGAACGAATGAAGAATAATTCGCCGGAGCGGAGTACACCTAGCAGTCCTACGAAGTCTAGAGGATCTCCAAAGAAGAAAGCTGCAGAATTAGTTGCACCAGCTCCCCCACCGCCGCCTCCTCCACCACCACCACCTCCACCTCCAATGCCAGGATTTTTGAATGCTGCTGCTGGATCAGCTCCTCCACCACCAGCTCCTCCACCACCACCTCCACCACCAATGCCAGAGTTTATGGAAAGGTCGCAACTGACACCACTGGGTCCACCACCGCCACCTCCACCTCCAATGCCAGGATTCATGCAGAAATCTGTGTCAGCTGCACTGGGTGGGGCTCCACCACCTCCACCACCGCCACCTCCTCCACCTCCATTGATGTCAACAAGTGGTCCACAAGATATTGGGAAATTAATAGCTCAGCATAAAGCACTCGCCCACCATGACACTGGCTCTGCTCTCGATTTTGCCCCTTCAGTTCGACCAAAAACAAAATTAAAACAAATGCATTGGGAGAAATTAGAAAGTATCCAAAGCACCTTCTGGAATGACATTGAACATGAAGAGCTCTCGGAAAGATTGATTAAAGAAGGGGTATTGAATGAGGTTGAAAAAGTATTCGTGGCCAAGCCTTCGACTATCAAAAAACGACGTGATGTGGAACAAGATCTGGAGGGAGAAGATAATGAGAAAAAGAAGGCAATTAAGAAGGTTTCATTTTTGTCTCAGGATTTGGCACAACAGTTTGGAATCAATTTGCATATGTTTGGAAACCTTAGTGAACAACAATTGATCTTGAAGGTGTTGAGATGTAATTCGGATATATTGGAGAATATTAATGTTTTGGAGTTTTTCAATAGTGATAGTTTGGTGGAAATTAGTGATAATTTGTTTAGAAATTTGGCACCTTATTCGATTGACTTGAGACATCCTAAACATTTACCAAAGAAAAACCCTGATGAATTGGAAAGAGCTGATCGGATCTTTTTGGAATTGTGTTATAATTTGAGACATTATTGGAAAGCTAGGTCTAAGGCATTGTTATTCAGTCAAACTTATAGACGTGATTATACTGATTTAGTCGGGAAATTGAATACTTTAGATGAAGCTACTGATTGTTTAAGAAATTCGGAAAGTTTACGTAATGTATTTGGGATAATTCGATCATTGGGGAATTTTATGAATGATAGTTCCAAGCAAGCCCAGGGTTTCAAATTAGAAACATTACAACGATTGAAATTTGTCAAAGATGAACTGAATACCATGAATTTCTTGCATTATATTGAAAAAATCATTAGAAATTCGTTTCCTGAATATGGAACTTTTGTTGATGAGTTAGATGGATTGAATATGGTTCAGAATTTATGTCTTGATCAATTAGAGGCTGGATGTCAAGAAATTTCAAAATCGATAAAGATCACTAGTGATGCAATTGAATTGGGAAGATTGAGTAAAGTTGAAGAATTACATCCTGAAGATCGGATCTTGACTACCATTAGTGCTCCATTGCAAAATGCCAAGAATAAGAATAAATCATTACAAGAACATTTAAAGAAATCAATGGACGAATTAAACTCTTTGATGGTGTATTTTGGTGAAAATCCTAATAATGCAAATAGTAAGAACTTATTCTTTCAAAAGATTTTAAATTTTGTTAATGATTTCAAAAGGGCTCATTTTGAAAATGTCCAACGAGAGGAAGAACAAAGGGTATATATGGCCAGGAAGAAAGCACTCGAGGAAAGGAAAGAAAAGCGAAAGAGAAAACAACAAGAAGCCGAAGAAGCAGCAGCTCACGCTGCCGAATCAAGTAAGGAACCTAAATCCGACAGTGCTGACATTGATACTGCTGAAGAATCTCTAGCTGTTATTGATTCATTATTGGCTAAATTAAAAGCAACCTCGCATGTGCATGTTAGTGGGAGAACAAAGGGAAGAGTTAGGAGAGATAGACGAAGCAAAGCATTGTCGTTCTATTCCACAATGGCACCAGCGACAGAAGAAGAGGATGTGGTTAATGCTACCGTACCGCCAGTGGTTGAAAAAGAATATGAGAGTGTTAATAATTTAAAACGAAGGTTGACTACTAGAAGGAAATTATTGGATTCTGAAACTGTTTCGAACAAATCTGATGAAACATTGCTGAGAGCACAAGCTATGCTCTATAGATTACGGAATGAGGATAGTAATGACACTAATAGTGACCCAAGTAAGGTGTCCACTGCTGAGACCAACAAGGATAGGATATCAGATGTAGAATCGAATCCTAAATTTGTTGAAATTGCATAATTATAATAATATATAGACTAGACGTTTTGGTTAGGCTTTTGCTTTTATATAAATAGCTAATTTGATTAATTAATAGCATTTTCTTAATAAGAACCTAAACTCTGTAGATAATAGTCAATCTATACCTTACAGGCGAAAATTTAGCACGTGACAACAGGGTCGGGTAACAGTTTTTCAAATAATGAATTTTACAACAAAAATATGGACGATTGTCATAAAACTGAATTGCCTATAGTCTTATATCGTTAGCTATAAGAATTGATACAGTCAATAAACCAGATTTATAATATTTTTTAAATCTACATTAGATTAACCACCGTCTCAACATTTTCTTACTGTTTTTAAAATTTCAAACAATGTTGCGAAAAAAATTGCAAAAATTTGTGAGTGAAGGTTTTTACAATGCTTCTTATAAAATTACTAAAAACTTCTATAAAATTTGAGCTCGAGCACCGGCGACAATTGCTCCAATAGTTCTAGTAACTGTTGAGCTAGCTGTGACTTCCCTAAGAATAGCTCCCATGGTAATGGTGGATATACTAACGATGTCAGTAGTTGCCGCAGTTTGAAAAGTGGAAACACAGTCGTTATGTCAGCCTGTTACGAGCGATCACACGGAAGAGTTCACTGTGGTCGGCGAGAAGAGCTCTTCCGCCGTGGAAGACTGATAGCCAAGAGGAGGTCTTCCATGGCGTTTGTGCAGATTGTAGAAATATTGTTTCAGTGGACGTGCTATCTAAAATTATTTCTTCTGGTATAGCCCCATACTTGCTCATCCAACCTAAAATTGTTTCTTATGAAATAGCCTCAGATGTGCTTGTCAGTCCGAGAAGTATGGATAGGTCATAGTTGGAAGCTTCCACAAAACTAGAAGTGTTAGCCAAAGCATACATTTCAGTAATCTCTCATTAGCCACATCAGGTCTTTCATGAGGGATTCTTATGCTTGTTTAATATACCATTTGAGTCTTGGCAAAATTTAGAAGATCCTTCCTCAATAGAAAGATGAATTCAATTTCCTTGAGTTTTCAAGTTAGGCTCTTAATTTTTGATATTTTTATTCTTGAACGATAGGTTAGAATAGACTAGGTTGGTGGCTAATTTTCGGTCAAATGGTAATCAATTACCGTAAATAAAGTTTCAGATTGGATAGTGATTTTGGCCGCTGCTATACATTTAATTTACCTTTATATTCTTTTTTATCTGAATTTTGAAGATGACTGGTTTGATTCCAAGTCTAAAGTACCACACGCTGCCTACCAATTCCTTGTAATTATTCATAACAATTTGGTTGCAAAAAGGTACACAAATTCGTACAACTGACTCGTATATTTACTGAAAAAAAGAAATAAAAAATAAAATCGAAGTCAAAACTAAAAACTGAAAAATATGACTTCTCCTATAATTTCACATGTACCATAATATTCAAGAAGAGTCAAATTATAATTAAGAAGCATTAAATCTATTTGACTTCTTAATTAATTTATTAATAAAACAGGATCTAACATTTTGCTACAGCCGTCTGTTTCTTACTTTTATCTTTAAATCATTTTTCTTGCTAGCATTTCATATATATTCATTATATATATTAGTAAATACTAGGATAGTACTGACCAATCATATTGTAGACATATATGACTCATAGTTTTTGTTAACACAAAAAGAGTGAAGAAAAAAATTCCATCGGATTCTATTGCCTACTAAAATTTAACCACGCCACAACAACAACAGAGGAGAAGAGAAGAGAACAGCAGAAGACAAAAAACTGTCAAACAAAATTTTTTTTCCCGCCGATGACGGTGTACTGCATATAATGCCCCTCTCTTCTTTGTCTTTTATGAATCATCACAATTTCCATTCCATCCATCACTCATTCACTCGAATTGAGATTTTTCACTTTTCCACTTCCGCATCTCTTTTTCGTTTCTTCTTCTTCTTCTCTTTCAATCTGTCTTTCCTATTAGTCAGTAAGTTATAGAAATATAGAAGTATAGACAAACACAACTAAACCTACTTTTTCATTCTAAAAAATTGAAGTTAAGTTGTTAAATTAATTTTTTTAATTGCAAAAAACCAGTCGCTACTTCAATCGCATAACTAAAATTTTGCAAACGTTAATATCCCCAATTCCAAAGAATGCTAAAGTATAGGACTAATTCCCAAATGCTTAGATTGGCATTGCTTCAATCTACTACTACAGCAAGATCCTTCCATTGTTCTTCTATCAATTTAGAAGCTACTCTTATATCAGGTACAAAATTAGCGAAAAATATAAGACAAAATATTGCTCAAAAAGTAATTGATTATAATCAACAACATTTCAATATTGGTAAAGATGAAACAAGTTTTGACAAATTAAGGTATAAACCAAGTTTAACTATTATTCAAGTTGGTTCAAGACCAGATTCTTCTGCTTATGTTAGATCAAAATTAAAGGCTGCTCAAGCTTCAAATATTAAATCTAATCTTATTAAATTACCTGAAAACATCCCACAAGATGAATTATTGGAAAAAATTGATTGTTTAAATAAAGATCCAAAAGTCCATGGAATCTTAATTCAATTACCTTTACCTAAACATATTGACGAAACTTTAATCACCAATTCAGTAATTACTGATAAAGATGTTGATGGATTTGATCATTATAATGTCGGTCAATTATCTAAACGTGGTGGATCCCCACACTTCAAACCATGTACTCCAAATGGTATTATAGAATTAATTAAAACCACCGGAATCCCATTAAGAGGTAAGAATGCCGTTGTTATTGGAAGATCTGATATTGTTGGTGCACCTGTTGCTACCATGTTAAGAAATGAAGATTGTACTGTTACAATTTGTCATAGATATACTCAAGACTTACCAAAATTGGTATCTCAAGCCGATATTGTTGTTGCTGCTGTTGGGATCGCAGAATTTGTTAAGGGGCATTGGGTCAAAGAAGGTGCAATTGTAATTGATGTTGGTATAAATTATAAACCAGATCCAAATTCTAAAACCGGAACTAAATTAGTTGGTGATGTTGATTTTGAACAAGTTGTACAGAAAGCATCCTTTATCACTCCAGTTCCAGGTGGGGTTGGACCAATGACTGTAGCAATGTTATGTTCAAATGTATATGACGCCTCATTAATTCATGCCAAGAAAGCTCATGAACACGCTTTTAAACCATTACCATTACATTTACTTGAACCTGTTCCTTCAGATATTGAAATTTCAAGAGCTCAAAAACCTAAGAAAATCACTAGAGTTGCACAAGAATTAGGGATTTTGGATAAAGAATTAGAACCATTTGGACATTACAAAGCAAAAGTTAATCCAAAGGCTGTTATTGAAAGATTGGATGAACAAGTTGAAGGGTCACCCGAAGAAAAAGGTCATTATGTCTTAGTTGCCGGTATCACTCCTACTCCGTTAGGTGAAGGTAAATCAACTACTACCATGGGTTTAACTCAAGCTCTTGGTGCTCATTTGGGTTATAACTCAATTGCAAATGTTAGACAACCTTCCATGGGACCTACTTTTGGTGTTAAGGGTGGTGCTGCAGGTGGAGGATATGCCCAAGTTATTCCAATGGATGAATTCAATATGCATTTAACTGGTGATATTCATGCTATTTCTGCTGCTCAGAATTTATTATGTGCTGCTGTCGATACAAGAATGTTCCATGAAGCTACTTCTAAAACAATCTCTGGATTCTATAAGAGACTTGTACCAGAAAAGAAAGGAATCAGAACTTTTACTCCATCAATGTTGACCAGATTAGCAAAATTAGGTATTACAAAAGCCAATCCTGATGATTTAACTGAAGATGAAATTGTAGAATTTGCAAAATTAGATATTGATCCCGAATCAATCACAATCAAAAGAGTCGTAGATTGTAATGATAGATTCGTAAGAGAAATCACTGTTGGTGAAGGTAAGAATGAATCCTCCAAATTCCCTCCCCGTAAATCAGGAATGGATATCACCGTTGCCTCTGAATTAATGGCAATCTTGGCCCTTTCAACCTCATTGAAAGATTTAAGACAACGTGTTGGTAAGATTGTTGTCGGTACTCAACGTAATACTGGTATCGCCATTACTGCTGAAGATATTGGATGTGCAGGTGCTATAACTGCATTATTAAAGGATGCTATTAAACCAAACTTAATGCAAACTATTGAAGGTACTCCAGTTTTCGTCCATGCTGGTCCATTTGCCAATATTTCCATTGGTGCCTCATCAGTAATTGCCGATCAATTGGCACTTAAGTTAACATCTCCATCTAATCCAATTAACAACGGTCAGAAGGGTTTCGTGGTGACTGAAGCTGGGTTTGATTTTACAATGGGTGGTGAAAGATTCTTTAATATTAAATGTAGAACTTCTGGTTTGAAACCAGATACAGTTGTTTTAGTTGCGACTTCCCGTGCATTGAAATTACATGGTGGTGCACCTGATGTTAAACCTGGTCAACCATTACCAGAAGCCTATACTACTGAAAATTTGGAATTTTTGGAAGCTGGTTGTTCTAATTTAGCCAAGCAAATTGCCAATATCAAACAATATAATGTTCCTGTTGTTGTTGCCATTAATCAATTTGAAACTGATACCCATGAAGAAATCAAATTGATCCAACATCAAGCACTCCAAGCTGGTGCTGATTTCGCCGTCCCTTCTAATCATTGGGCAAAAGGTGGGGTTGGAGCTACCAAGTTGGCCGAAGCTGTAGTTGAATCAGTTAAATTATCAAATCAATTAGAAAAGCAACAATATTTATATGATGTTAATGAAACTGTTGAAAATAAATTATTGGCAATTACAACCAAGATGTATGGAGCTTCTGGAATTGAATTATCACCATTGGCAAAACAACAGATTGAAACTTATACTCAACAAGGTTATGATAAATTACCAATTTGTATTGCCAAGACTCAATATTCATTATCCCATGATCCTGCCTTAAAGGGTGTCCCAACTGGATTCACAGTACCAATTAGAGAAGTTAGATGTTCTGCTGGTGCTGGATATTTATATGCTTTAGCAGCTGAGATTATGACTATACCTGGTTTACCAACACATGCTGGGTTTATGAATGTGGAAGTAAATGACGAAGGTGAAATTGAAGGATTGTTTTAATCAAACTTTTGTAAATTTGTATAATACTTATATTTAAGATTAATAGACGACTTTTTTGTATTTTTTTACTGTAATAATTATCATTATACTATAATACATATTATTAAAAATTTGTCCAAAGAGAGACTATAAACTCTATTTCATCAAAAAAATGAAAACTCCCTTCGAGAGAGTTATCATCCGCGTAGTATACAAAATAAGGATTGGAAAGTATGAAATACACACAACAAGAAATGAAGACCCCCCTGACATGACATGATTAACCCACCGGATTGGCTTCTTTTGGAGTAGCAATTGGTATTTTTCTATTTGTCAAATTATTATTATTAACCGAATGAGGACGAGTTGAATTTGAACTGGTTTGAGATGGTGTTTGACTGACTGAAGGAGATGATTTATTTGGACCATTATTGGAAACTGGTCTGGATGCACTTGGAGATATTGGTCGTTGTTTTTGTCCCAGACGAGGGGTTTGATTATTCAGCTTCTGTTTAACTGGTCCCTGTGGCAGTGGTTGTTGATCTTTTTGTTGTTGCAATTGTTGAATTTGAGCTTGTTGTTCAGCTTGAGCTTGTTGTTTATTTGCCAATTGTTGCTGTTGTAAAGCTCTCATTCTGGCTTGTTGCATATATAGTTGTTGCTTTTGTTGTACAGATTCTTTCAATAAACCATAAGATTTAGACAATAACATAGAACCAAAGCGTATTGATTGAGTCTCATCACTTATGCAATTAAGTTTTGAAGGATCTAAACTGAATGGTTCAATAGCACCATTTTGATAATCGGATAAATCATTATCAAACAGCCAATTGGAATCCAATCTCTTGACAACATCTCTTCTACAATCATAAACATTTGGGATTTTTGATTTCCCTTCTTCATTTTCTTCATCGGAAAAACTCATAAATTCATCTAAAACATCATCAGGTCTAGAAATCAATCCTCTTCTATCAATGAAAACTCGATTATTTCTTGAAGCTCTCTTACGCAACCTTGCAATTGGATCTGATAATTTGTCTTCTTCATCAAATTCATTAGTACGTTGTCGTCTTTGTTGATATCCATATCCATTATTATAAGCATTAAAATTATTAGTTTCTATATTTTGTAATAGCTGAGCAATATAACTTGATGAGTTATATTTACTACTATCAATACTCTCTTGTAATAATGTCAGAAGATGGGGGAATGCTTTAGTTGGAATTAATTCACCATTGGAACCTCTGAATGTTCGAACACCAGGTAATGGTTTTCCTTCTTCTAATAATTTCTTCAAATGTTCACCAATATAATTTGAGGTATTGATTTGATGGAAATTAGTGGCAGCAATAGATGAATAAGGAATATGACTTAATTCGGTAGCATTATTATTTGTAGAAATATCAAAATGAGGTTCATATGGGTCATTAGTAAGATTAACAAATCCTTTGTCTTGTTCTTTTCTTTTCCGTAATTTTTCCAATACTGCTCGTTTAATAGTTTCATTCTTTTCTTTCAATACCAATGAAACAGTAACAAGTTCCATATCTGGAATCTTAGAAGGTGGTAATTTGACATATGCTTGACTGGTAGAAGTAGCATCTTGAGCTTGTTGTTGTACAGATTGTGGTTTGTCTTTGGAAACAGCAGCAGGAGCAGCAGCTGCAGCAGCCGCATTGGCTTCTTGCTTTCTCCTTTCCTTTCTTTTGATTTCCTTTTCTTCTTCGTCTTCTTTTGGTTTGACAATCTTCTTTCTTTTGTGAGGATAATATAAATAATCATCACCTTTAATACCAACAGCACGTTTCAAATTCTTACCTTCACAACGTAATTTAAAGATTTCAATTTCTGATTCCAAATTTTCCAACTTTAAAAGTTCACGTTTATTTACACACATGACTAAATCACGAGCTCTATGCAATGATTTTTGAAGCATTCTTATACGTTCTGCACCCAAAGTATCTGCACGTCTTGTTTTACGAGCTTGTCTAAATTCACGTCTTCTGAAACAAACATATGGATCACTATCGTTATCTTTTTCATTAGCATTAGGATCTTCAAATTTAAGCATTGGTTGAATTGATTTCCCCTTTCGTTCAATCTTTCTTTCTTTCCAATGCTCATAGATTGGTTTACCAAACAATTCAAATAATTTCGGTATTGGTCTTACTGAAGTTGTTGGGGATTCACCTGCCAATGGGTTTTTATCAAATAATGTGACAAATGGTTCATAATTCAATTCTTTGGATAATCGTTCTTTCAAGGTAGTTGTAGAAAGATATTCAATATTACCACCATTAGAAACAACATATGGATTACTTGTCTTTGCTGAATTTTTAAATTGATCTATTATATATGTGGATAATTCTTCATAAGACAAAATATTGGTTGGATCCATCGATAAGAATGGTTGTCTCGATTCTATAGTTTTTTCCAATCGATCACAAATAGTTTCAAATTCTAGTTCTGTACATTTCCTGGTATTTTCATCCAGTTTATTCTTTTTTGCATTGGGAACTTTTGGATAAGATTTCGTCAATACATCTTTAAAGAATTCTTCATCTATTTCATCCATATTATATTCAACACCAACAGTATCCTCTACTGTTGCACTGAACTTTATATTAGATTTTGGTTCTTTAAATTTCTGATCATTATAATATTTATGAGCTTCTGGCCATAATCTTGATGCATCTGGTGTTGGGATATATACATTCACGGGTATATCTTCTTTTTTAGAAGAAGAATCATCACCTGAAGTCTTTGAGCCCATTAATGCTTTCTGGGCAGCATTGATGACTTGTTGTAAATGGACTTCATCTTCTTCATTTTTATCAACCCCAGTTTCTATAGAATGTAAATCTCGTGGTGGTTGTGTTCCGTTTGAAGATGCACTTAAATGATGTACTTGACTTGGTTCCAATTCATTGTCTAGGGAAGGTAAATCGCGTTGTTTATATATTGTCAATGGTTGTTTAACTGATATTTTCCGCTGTCGGAATCGTGCACCGGTAGCATGTTGTTTGGCAGCTTTACTTTGGGTTTTTGCTGGTAGTATTGCCATTATATTATGATTTGTGTATATTCACCCTGACAACTTAATGGAGGAAGAATAACCCTATTTTATCTACAGGAATGATGCTCTTATTTATTTGATGCAAACTGAAAAATCAAACAGTTGTTGTTGTTGTTGTTGATAGTTGGATGGGAATGTGAAGAAAATTTTTTTTTCGGTGCTCTTAACTATTGCAGGATGGATGTAAATTTGTATGAGTAAAAATTTGATGGATGAACAAAATTTGAAGTGAAATAGGGGGTGGATTTTTTGGGAAATTCTTAATAATTTGTAATGATGAAATTCATGTAAATTATTTTAAGCTTTAGAACAGCTTAGTTGAATGTAATATGATCAATATGATACAATGGAAATATAATAAGATGATGAATATCTTATTTATTTAGATTGATTAAGTGTTGTAGATACCTAATCAACTTGATCAATTAAGTTAATTGGATGATTGTTATTCTAATAGGAGTATTAATAAAAAAATGTCCAACAAAAAGTTTTTTTTTTTCTGTTCGCTTTTGCCTTCCAATTTATTAAGTGACAACGAACTAACAACAACAACAACAAACCTTCCTTAATTTTGTTAGTGGCAAAAAAAAAAAAATTCATATTTATCACGTGAGTAGTCACGTGAGGATAAAATTCCCCCATTTATAGGAGTCACGATGGGAGTGGTTAGTAGACCATCTTAAAAGTATGGATTCAACTATAATCCATATTGCTAAGATCCAATGACGGAACCACTATGAACTCAGGTAAGCTTAGATAATAATTTTTAGTTCTGAATTGCTTGGGGAAATTCAAATCAGTGGGGGCAATACTTACAACCATACTGTTGTAAAAATGCTGTTGGTGTAGCAGCCGTTAAAAATTCACTTACATCAAGCTACAAACTGTCTCCAGACATTCATCTATATTGAATTCATAATAATGAATGTTGTTATACTTGGTATCTGTCTGTGGGGTATAGTTAGTAACTATAACCAGATGTGTTGCAAAGTAGAACACTTAGTAGTTATTGGTTTTAGATTGTATTTGTTTCCCAATGATTTGTAGTTGGAAGAAGGTGATGATGTTCCAGAACCATTAGCACATGATTATATGTGTCTGAATGACCTATTCATTGTATGTAGTAGTAGTAGTATAACATTGTAATAAAAAGAAGAAAGAATTTAAAATTAAATTGAAAAAAAAACTTTAAAAAAGAAAAATCCTAAAAAGAAAAAATTAACAAAAATGTAAGAGAGTATTGTATGCAGGAACTGACAATTTAATAAGCGATTTTATATCTCGGTGTTTATGTTTCTCTCTCCGTGGCTATTGATTTCTAAATACCTTTTTTTGGGGAGTTCAATACTACTTTTAGATCTATAAGGTATTTATCAAGCCAGGAAATTGAATTAAATGTATCAATCCATAAAGTGTATGCTCTATTCTATCCACAGCAGTGTGTATTTCTATTTACTAAGCTTTTAGTTTAATGAGTCTAAATCAATTTAGGAGGGAGAAATTCCCATGTTCATTGTTTTTTTTTCTCTCGACGTAATTTATAATTCAACTTAGAGTCTCCACCCCACCCATCCGCTTGACATCCTCGTGCCAATAGCTATTCCTGAGGGTTGACTCTGTTGTTCATCGGCACATAGAATTATTCACTCACTGCCAAATACGCAATCAGTTCATTCAGGCATACTTACATAAACACATCCACCCCCATAAAAACTTATAGACTTATACATAAATAGACATTTGCAACACATTTTACGAATATGACTCTGATTACAATACCAAAGGAGAAATTACCTTCAACAACTCCATTTTTAAATTCAGTATGTCCAGGATTTAATCAATTAGATGATAATATTCATTTCACATTACAAGAAGAACAAAGTGATTTACCAACTGGATTACTTAAATTTAATTGGCCAATAACAAATACAAGAAATAATCTTATTGCAAAATTAGATGATAATTATTTAAATATTTCAAGACCTCCTTTCACGAATAATAATGAATCAACTACTTATGTCAATTTACCTTATCATATTACTAATCTATTTAAACGAGTAGTTGAACATAATGATAAATCAAAAGATGGGGATATTCATATTGGTTCAAATGTTAATCCATTAATTCATGATCCATTTAAATTTACAAATTTAAATCCTGGTTGTATTTCAAGAATCATTCAATTGGAAAATGATTTAGATGAAGAGGATGACGTTGAAGATCCAATCAAGAACAAGCATAAACTCAATAAATTCGCATCAAATTTCAATCGATTATTAAATTTAAAAAGAACAACCCATCAACAAAATCAATTAGTTTATAAAAGTTTATTAAGTGAAAAGCCGAGTATAATTGAAAAGATATTAATATTCGATGAAGATAAATATCAGTCGGAAATTAAGTCTTCAACTACTCATAAACTATTAATATCAACTCATGTTAACATATTAAATATATTTGCATTAGATCAAAATTCAAATTATAAAAATACAAAATCATTCATCAGTGAGAAACCAATTGTTTACTTTCCTGATGATTCACCAGATACCCAACAGCAACAACAGCAACCACATAATCCACATCAACAACCTCACCCAATAGCAAAATCAATGTCTACTCAACATTTACGTCAATCTACTACTCCTACACCCTCAGCGACATTTGAAAAATATCAAAAAGTGATTGAAGAACCAATCTTACGGATTCAATTCCGTCAAACTTCAATAATCACTTCAGTTACAACATTTATGACTCAACTGCAACCACATTTATTACTTGGATTAGATACTGGAGAAATCATCTTAATTAAATTATTCGAATTAACTTATCAAATATTTGATAATTTAGGAATTAATGATAATGATATCATTATAAATAATTCTGCGGTAACTACTATGGAAATTATTCATCATCCAAATTATGAATATTTGATTATGGTTGGATTTTCAAATGGAGAAGTTATGATTATTGATCCAAATGCTTCGGAATCATCTAATATCAATGTCTCGCTGGATGAGAAAATATCAAAGAGAGCAACATCACCCACTCCACAACCAAAATATACCAAACAAATAGTAGGGAAGGATTCATTTGTCACTTATTTCAAGAAATTCGATCTAAGTCCATTATCTACTTCCCCATCATCCCCCACCAAGAAAACTACACAAACTAGTCACATCTACTACCCACCCTACTTAGTAGGTCATTTTAAACTAAGTCAAAAGCCAATCACGGCAATCACATCCACCCTACAAAATAACCCACATCATCACCACCACCACCATAACAATCCACACCATCATTCGGAACTTCTCCCGCCATTGATCCTCGCCATCGCAGCGGATGACGGCCTAGTCCGTATCTTTGACCTTTTATTTACATATGGATACAATTATGCCAATGACGATCCTAATTGTAATACAGTCGTCACAGATATACTCTCCAATTATTTCAATGATGGAATCTATGATGTTGAATTCAGTCCCGATTATAAGTTTTTATGTATAGTCGGTAAAGGAGACTTAATTGAAATATTCAAGATGAATTATTATAATATGAATGGATTACTTGCCAAGAATGCTGCTGGGATTAACACTGGACCCACCAGTCATCATAATCTCCCTTCAACTAGCAATATTGATTCTATTACTGGCAGAGGAGCAGGGGGCAGATCAAGATCTCGTAGTGGGACGGTAAATAGTATGAATTCAGGGAATAATGGGTTTTCATTAGGGATGCTCCTATCTCCGACTCCTGCCGATCCTAACAACCGACCTGACCCTTCTTCTACCGCAGCCCTTCCAGGTCCAAAGAAAGATCAATATCCACCTATGATTAAAGATATTCAAATCATTGGCAGATTTAAGGGTCATTCAAATACTGTTAAATCAATCCAATTCGTAAAACAAGATGATAGCAGTAATCTGCTGGGAGTTGTATATAAATTAATCAGTTGTGGGAATGATAGTAAAATAATCATATGGGAATTTGATTATAAGGCATTACCAAAAGTTAAAAAACCAAAACCGGTAATCACAACAACAATGGGTACAATGGGAAGACGGGATAGTTCGAGACGGAGATCGTTTTATGATAGGAAGAAACATATGCTGGTGGGACATACTCCAAGTCCTGCGACTCGAAGAGCTGGTAGTGTGACTGGCGCAGGTGGAGGCGCCGCGGGTGCGGGTGCGGGTACGGCCTCGCGTCGTCTTTCAGTTGCTGCTGCTGATGAAGTACATTCTACTTCATTGACTAATTTGAATCATAGTACGAGTATGAATATGGCAAGTATTTTGACTATAAATGATAGTGGATCAGAAATAAATCATACCCCGAAACAAAACACTCATGATCAAATTGAGATTGTATTGTCGTTGTATAAATCGTTATTTGATATACGTACAAAGAGACATTATAAACGATTAGGGAAGAAACAAGGTCCAAAATATAAAACGATTATCTCACCTATTGTGAATGATAAATTAGTTCCACTGATTGATATTCCATTATGTGTGGTTGATTTTTCTAGATTTGTAAATAATGGAAAGATTGATTCGGTTTATTTTGATGATGTTACATTTTGGTGTTTTGCTAAGAATGGAGATATTTTTAGATATTCAATTTGTTAGATAAAACTAGTAGATAAAATAAGATATATATATAATAACTATACAAATAAATGACCTAATAATGAAAAACAAAAGAAAAGGAATCAAAGAATTTATTGATAATTATTGAATACTGGATTCATATCCAATCCAAATCCTAATTCCTCATCTAATCGTAAATATTCATTTCCAGAAGGTGTAGTTTGAGTAATGTCTTGATATAATTGTTCATTTATAAAATCATTTGATGCAATAGACGTAGTTGCCGTTGTAGTAGAACCAGCTGTAGCGGCACCTTGTCCTTGTCCTTGAAATGAAAATTCATTAATCTCTTGAGGTTTTGGAATTTGATAATATTGTTGTTGATTTTCCATCAATTGTTGTGGATTAGTATTTACCATTGCAGTATTTTGATTATGAGACATATATTCATAATGAGGATGTTGAGTGATTGGAGTTTGAGAAATATCCATTGGTTCATATTGGTCCAAAAGGGCTTGAGCTTCAACATGTGCTTGTTGTTGTCTTTGGCTTTCGAGTTGCTGTCTTTGTCTTTCTTGCTCTTGTTGTTGTTGTTGACGTAATTGTTGCAGTTGTTGTTGTTGTTGTTCTCTTTGTAATTCTTGTTGACGTTGTCTTGCTTCCTCTTCTTCTTGTTGACGCTTTTGTTGGATTTGTAATTGTAATTGAATTTGTTGTTGCTCATCAATTGGTTTTCTAACAAATTCTCGGAAATTCTTAACTTCTTCAATTATTAATTGTTTCATATCTTTTATATCATCAACTGTTTCAAACGATTTAAAATCAAATTTAACTTGACATTCAGGTTCATCTCTTTCATCATGCCATATTTCCAAATATTTATGATTTAATGCTTCTTCTACTGAAATTCTTTTTGAAGGATCTAAAGTTAACATTTTTTCTAATAAATCAAGGGCCAATGGACTAGCATCAGGATATAATTGTTTATAATGAACCTTTCTCATAATAGGTAAAGATCTAACATAATTTTGAGCTCTAGTTGAACCAATTCTAGTTAAAGTAGATTCAGGTGGAGTACCCAAGATTAATAAGATTTGATTTAATTGATCAACATAATCTTTTCCTCTAAATATGGGTTTCCCACCTAATAATTCTGCTAATATACATCCAACAGACCAAATATCAATTGCTTTAGTATAATTAGTAAAACTTAACATGATTTCAGGGGCGCGATACCATCTAGTAGCAACATATTCAGTCATAAATCCGGCATTTTGTTCTACATCTTCCAGAAATCCTCTAGCTAATCCGAAATCACAGATTTTTAATTCACAATCAGCATTGACTAATAAATTGCCTGGTTTTAAATCACGATGTAAAACATCTGCTGAATGAATATATTTTAATCCGCATAGTATTTGATATATGAAGGATTGATAATGAGAATCTGTTAATGGTTGACCCGATCTAATGATTTGATGCATATCACATTCCATTAATTCTTCATAAAGATAAACTTCATTGAAATCTCCAGTCAATGGATTAGGAATGATATCTAAATCATATAAACAAGTAATATTCTTATGACCTCTAAAGAATTGTAATAATTTTAATTCACGAAGTGATCTTTTACAAAGAATTTTCTTACTGAAAATATTGGTAATTTTTTTAATTGCAACATAAGAACCATCAGATGAAGATGAAGTATTGGCTGAATCAGGACTGGTTGTAGTTGAAGAACCATCATCATATTTAGCTGATACAACTATACCATAAGCACCATGACCTAATTCTTTAACTATTTTGAATCTTTTATCAATTATGAATTCTTGGTTGTAAACTTTATTAACAGTTCTTCCATAATAGACTGGACCAGCATCAGTTCCATCAGGATTAGTATTACTTGGGCGAGATGCCATTGTGTTAAATGTATAAGTTGAAGCAGTAATAATAAGTAACGGAGGGGTGTGTATATAAAATAGGGAAGTGTTTGATTAACAAATCAATTATGTAGTAATACAAGGGAGGTTTATATATAAATAGGGTGGAAGTGTGTGTATGTGGATATACTTTATACTTCTTCAATTGACCTTTGGCTATTCAATTGAGGTGGTGTCTATAATATTGATTGATTGTAGTAGTAGTAGTAGTAGTGATGGATAGGTAGTGTAAAAATGAGCACCCTTTTTATTGGGAGAACTGGGGGATTTGCAAATATACTGTGAACAAAAAAAAAGATCAAACAATTGCAACAAACTGTATAAATGTGTTGTTGTTGTTGTTGTTGTTGGGAGGAGGAGGAGATTGAATTGAAAAACCAAAGGGCAGCAAGTCAAAGGGATAAAAATGGCTTGAAAAAAAAAGTGATGGATAGGATGACGTTATTTATTTTCCTGTGTAAGAGATTCCCTATCAAATGAGAATGTGGAGGAACCAAAAAAATTTTTAAGGGGGGGAGATCACAAGGTTAATTAATTTGTTATTGTTGTTGGCTTGAACTTAATTTATAATAACCAAAAGGGTTGCACTTTTATTGATGTTCTTCCAAAATTGGTGGTGTGATTTGAATGACATTGGGATCATATTAACTTATATTTATAACCTCTATTCTTAATAACCTTAAGATTATTAAACTTAAACTTATAAAATTAAGAAATTTAGATTGCAAAAAAAAAAGAGAGAAAGTTATTTTTAGAAATTTATTCACAAAATCATTTTGAATCAAAGTTTTCCAACAACCCATCTTCAAAAATAGCTTTTTGGCACGGCTCTTTTCTAATTATAAAAAAATAAATAACAAGCGCAAGCGCATTTACACCATTTCTAGAAGAGTAATGTTTGTGATATCTGCATCTTTCTCTGTAGCACGGGTTCTCGAAAACCCATTCTCTCAGAATAGTTCAACCTCGCTGCCAAATCAAGTGAATAAAATATTAAAATGTTGCAGCCAAGTAAGCTGATTATATCCATTAGGAAAACCTATTTATAACTAATTCCCCTCCTTCTTTCATTTTGATTACTATATCCAACCACTGCCAATTATACTTCAAATATAATTGAATTATAATTCAATTGCGTAAGCCGCTATTGTCTTCTCCTTTCAATGGGATATGCACGCGCAGATTTATTATTAACTTAAGGATGGTGAGTTTAAAGTTAAAGTCAAAATCAAAAAATATCGTGCTGCATTTCGTAATTCCAATTATCTTATATGAATCACAAAATCGAAAATCACAAAATAAATCTATTTTAAGAAACATCCAAATTTTATACCGAGACTTTTTGGCATTTTATCACTTGACCCATTGCTCTTTCTAGATAAGGGGCCAATTAGATTTAGAATTACATTAAACTCTGATGCTTTCAGACTTTCGACAGATTCATTAAAAAGAAATAATATGAGCAGGAATAATAATAATCGCTTGTTGCCAATTCTCAGATTGGCGACCTTCGAGAAGCTAGTCTTTTACGAATAATTATCCTCGTAACCCCTTCGCGAATCGCTAACGACCCTACGTAATTGTGCCTGATCGGACTTCTTTGTTGCAAAAAAGTATTTCACAAAAACGACAATAAAGTTGAAGTTGGTTATATTAGTAGCCCTTGCATTAATTGTACTAAAAATAAACCAACTCTCTCTCTATCTCTATAAATAGACTCAACTTAAAAACAACAAACTATTTATAATTAACAATCTGATTGGATGATATAAACATATGTCGAATTTTGTGTATTCTAGGCATATCCTTTATCCTTTAAGTATAAAGTTAATCGCTTTAACCCATCAACTATGTCTTCAGTTTTATTACCAAATCCGACTCGGAGGTACCCCTTTCGGTTATCAAATACCTCCCCTGGAACAATCAATGTCTTGTATTTTTCAACCAATTCTACACACATCTCATAAGTATCAATATTATCAATATTCACTTTGATAAAACAAGTTGAACCACCTTTCGGTTTAACCCAGGAAAATATTCCTCGAGATTGGTTGATATACTGTTGCAAAATCTCCAAATTCTTCAAACAAATTTCATATCCTCTTTTAACAATAACTTTATAGTTTTCAAGAGCAATTGTTGCCAATTTATCATCAATTGTACTTATCGAAATCATATTGTAGTCACGTTTAGCATATAATTCTTCAATAATTTCTTGGTCCCTAGTTACAATCCAACCTAATCTTAATCCTGCCAAAGAGAATGCCTTTGACGTTGAACAAGTCAGAATGGTTTTATTATAACCATAATTAACAATCGATTTGGGTTGCTTCGCATCAATCGAATGATATAATGGACGATAAACTTCATCACACAAAACGTAAATGTCATACTTCTTTACCAATTCCACAATCTGCTTCATAATATCGTCTCCCCAGACTACCCCAGTTGGATTGTTAGGATTATTAATAACTAAAAGCTTTGGAGAATGAGTCTTAATCAAGCCTTCCAACTCTTCAAGGTTTGGTAAATATCCATCCTCGTATTTCAAATGCCATGGAATAACATTTCCTCTATTTCCAGAAAACATTCCTGAAACAGAAGCTAATTGCTGATATGTAGGATCAACCACGATTACTTTATCATCCTTATCTACCAAACTATACAATGTCAAAAAATTAGCCCCAATTGCTCCATTCGTAATGACAATATCATTTGGAACGATCTTATGTTCAGGATCATCTAATTCATTATAAACATTAGCAATTGCTGATTTTAACTCTGGAGATCCACGAATATGTCCATAGGTTAAGCATGTATTTAAAATATCGTCACTGATTGATTTGGCAAGTTTTTGGTCGGGGATTAATGCAAATAATTCATTGAAACTGATTGATGCTGTACATGTTTCTGCCATGTTGTAATCAATCTTGGTTTCATATTTATCCATGAATTGCTCAACTGCGAATTTCTCTTGTTTGACCATGATTGGGTACTTGTCTTATAAAGTGGTGGTTGCTGATGGTGGATTGGGTGGCGGTGGTGGAATCGGAAAATTTCAGTTCAGAGTAAAATTGGTTGGATTTTGTGCCAACTAAAGACCCTGCATTTTTTTAGATAAAGCCGCTAAGGTTTCAACATCATCCATTGTTGTGGCTCGGTAGTTCGAGATTGATGCTATTTATTGGAAATTGAGCTTCTTTAAAAAGACTAACTCTATATAACCTAGTAGGTCATTACTATGTACTATTCCTCTCATTTTTAAGATAGAACTTGGAAATCCTTTCTTACCTCTTGTTGCAATAAACTATTTTTATGTGTAATTATTGCAAAATTTAGTAAAAAAAATAATCAAGCCACAACACCAAAATTTTTTTGTGATTATTCTGAAGATACAACAACGTATACAAACTGTTCGAGCTCGAGAATTATGGAACAAAGGGTCAATTCGTTCACATCCAAAGACTCCCTTTCTCAAAAATAATTGTATAACTCTTATAGCTGTTTGTACTATACCTACATGAAACAGCAATAAGTCTGCAATGGATCTCATCCTTCATGACGTAAGATTGATTCGCTAATTCTTCCAACGAATGGTTCCAGGCGTGGATCGAACGTGGGGAGAAAACAAGACACAGCAAGATAATCTAAATTCGGGGAGCTTCGGACTAAGTATTACATAAGTGCCTCGCAGAATGCATATGTCACAAAGAACTCGTCCTATAAGAAATTCACAATTAATGTCTAGTGATATTTTTATGCAACCTGAATCCTTTGTTCCATGGTTGCGAAAAAAGTCACGTTACATTTTTGATGTTGTACAGATATTCTAGAAGACTCGAATAGAAAGGGGTTCCAAACAAAAGAGCTATCTGCATGAAGATGATAAACGAGGCAGCTAGCCGAGTACATGCTCAACGATCCTCCCATAATGGGCCGTTGTTATTATATAATGCAATTTCGATCGTATAGAGTGTGTGTAGGTTTTCGGAACATTTAGTGTCTGAATTCTAGGTTCAAGGGGGCGAAGTTCTAGATTCAGTTCCTGTTTCAAGTGGTCGATTTCAAGTATCCTGTTTCACTCTATAATCCGTCATTTCACTTCCACGGAGGTTTGAAATGGCGGACAGATAAGGGGAATGTCCAGAAAAAGTTCGGAGTCCGATAATGGGGTTCTCCTACTATAAAAAAATGAAACGCGAATTATATCAGACAGAGGTTACATTTTTCCTGTTGTAATGTAAAATTCACAATAATGCGCGTCTAGATAATATTTTTTAGATGTCCCAAATAATACGATTTCAGTCTCGCTTAAAACTACTTTGATTAGACAGATTAATATTTTTTTTATGCAAGACTTCCAAATCAGCTGTCAATTTATAAAGCATATTCGCGGATAGAAACGAACCCTCTATTGAACAATATAGCTGTGACATCATAGATAGGAACCGGACATGACCCCCCTTGAAAACGTATATTCAGCTATGGAACAACAAAGCCTCTTCTTGTCTCCAAGCCCTGAAATATACTAACACAAACATTGAATATTATCAGCTGTTGCTTGAATTTCATCTTGCATTGCGCTAAAGCCTTGCCCACCGTCAGCTGAAATCTCTAAATAAGAAGTCCACACCTTGAAATTGCTGGGAATCAATTATACCCAGAGTTGGGGAAAGATTATAGATAGATAATCACTGTAAAGTAAAACGCGGGGATAGTGGTTCATAATGTTTTCTATAAACGAATCTCCTATTCTTAGGATGTTTGTTTTTCTTTGGTTCTTGTTAATGGAAACCCCAATTCGATATTCTCTATTCTACTCCTGCGAAAGGTGGCCCGTAGCATCACAGTCGCCGCCTCAAATAGACGAACCGTTGATGCTGCATCTTTACGCCATTATTGGTAAGAATCATCCTTAGTAATGATTCAGTCATACCATTCGCATGAGATATTTCCTGTAAGCAGTCTATATTAGTGTGGTTTAAAAAATATGACAAGAATTCTCAGTTGTCGCTAAAATTTCTTGCGCATTTCATGCAAGTCCCAAAAAAAATCACCATGAAACTTCTCTCTTGGTATTATTTCTTGAAACCAATTTTTGGATGATTAGCAAGGTCTACGCCAACTCGGTAATTAGTAATCACTTGATATTACTTTCTTGTTAACCCTTTCAAGGCATAGAAGTGGAGTAATTGTGGGCCAATTAGTTTACAAGCTTGGGACATGGTAGATCACTCATTTTTTCATACAATCCTGTGTATCCAAGCTTCATAAACGTTAGGAGGTAAAGAAAATAATCGATCAAAAGAAAATCTGATACATAGGGGGTCGCCTTCATTGGGAAACGAAGTTTTTATTCTCTGTGTCGTTGTTTCCTGTTTCTTGGCAATTGTTTTCTTGGAAACCTGGAGTGGGATTATACGTTTGTGTTTGTTTGGATTAGTGGCGACACGGATCTGAAAATAATAATTTCCGTATGGGCATCAAATGATTCACCGGAATTCAGTTTCAGAACATAATTATGGAGTACTCATTGACATTTTTAACCCTTGATTGATTAAAAATGCTTAGTCCAATACAGAAACCAGGGATAAATTTAGCCACCACGTTCAAATCATACCAGGAAGGTAATAACCAAGGAAATTTGGCTTTTCTTAGTCCTAGGTTAATGAACATCATCGAAGGTTTTTGGGGGTGTAGGCAATCCCAAAAATTCCAAGAATCTGGTGATTTAATAAAATCTTTAGATCTTTTTCTTAGATCTTGAGGTCATGGAGAATTACACACACAATAACACAAAAAAGCGAACCACAAATGCTAAGAAAATTAGAACTTTCTTGGTTGTTTAATTTGGCTAAGAGAAAAAGTCAAGCCATAGATAATATTCGCTACGAATTTTTTTCTTGTGAGAGAATGATTCGGGACGGGCATGACATATTATTATTATTTTATCAAGAATAACATTTGGTGGAGTTAATCTAAGAAAATTGTTCAACGAATGAAATCAGAGGACATTGGTAGGGCATTGGTCAATAGCCTAGCACGTTGGATGCAATTTCGAAACATACTTATTATCAATTTTGTTTCAGGTACGCCAGATTGACTTCAAATTTGCCAATGCTCTCAGTATTGTAGTTTGAAGAGGTAAAACGAACCAACGATGATGTTGCATTTCGATTAAAAATATTTTTTATGCGTCAAGGAATAAATATTTTTTTAGCTTCAGGCAAAATATAATATTTTTTTAGATCTTAAAAAATAATGTTTGCCAATCAAGTCAGGTTGAGAGCCTATTTCATATAAATTGTGTCATGTGCGAAGCTGAAACGCTTCTGAATGACATATACAGACTCCAACATCATGGAAAAGACCAGAAAAAAGGCTAATGATGCCACCACGCCCCTACAATTTATGATTTTCTTTAATATATATCCAGTTGCAAACGTCCTTTTTGTTTCTAATTATTCTCTTTTACTTCTAAGTACTCTAATCATAACCTACATATTTTAGGATTACTTTGAACTAACCTTAGTTACTGATCCTATTCTAATATACTACTCACTTTTTCCAACTAATACATTAATCTAAAAGTTGGAGTTTTCAAGTTTTCAAATAAGAGTTTTGAGCTATCTCGAACCCTTAAACAAGAAACATTCGACAATACCCGTGGGAATACCCGAGAACGTTTGAGTTTTAAGCTTCTTCAAATAAAGGATTAAACCTTAATCATATCGTGCTGTTCCGTTTACTTCACCACATAAACTGTGAAAAGAGGCGAAACTAATAAAACCTTGTTTGACTTCTCCAACCTGCACTTGATTTCGCAATCTTGTTACAATTTAAGGAGATCATTCAGAAGTATAATTAAATCACTGATACAGACAAAAATTGGAGAAGAATTTCAAAGATTGTTTAATTTTAAATTTCAAGTATAATATTGATCTTTTATCCTTTTGCAACTAGTGAATATCATCACATAGAAAACAACCCAACCACACTTAAAATAAATTTATTTTTTAAGATCTAAATAATATTTTTCTTGTGGAAACTATTCGCAGCGAAAAAAGAAAATTTAGAGTTCAGACATTAAACTTCAAAGTCACAAAGTTTCAGACAGACAGACAATAAATTATTTTTTTTTCTAATATTTATATAAAGAGAGACCAACAATCTTTTTACAAAGAAAAAAAAAAAGGTCAAGTGTTTTTTTATTTATTTAATTACCACAATTTCAGACAATTATCCAAAAATAAAGAAAGTCCTTTGACTGATTGATTGTCAAAAAAAAGAGAAGATCATCAAAGTACTAGCTTAACTACCAATCAGTGGCTTTTTTAATAACAACAATTAAAGAAGCAGCAAATTCAAACCTCGTATACTTAACCTTATTGGGGGGAAATACAACAAGAAAAAAAAATATACATAGAAGAAGAGAAGAGAGAAGAGATGAACGACACTTCAAATAAAGATAGATTGGAGGATCTTGCCTCACTTTTCCTACCGGATATTTTGCATCCTATGCAATCGGGTGGGAACACCCCATCCAATAACCCCACGAATGCAAGTACTACCAACCCATCATTGAAACAAGAAGAATATGAAGGCATTAGTTCTGACTTTAATTTATTAGCTAGAGATTCTTTATCAAGAAATACCAACACCCCACCAACTACCGCACCAAATACAAGTAACTTTCAAGATTTCTTAAGCAACAACAATTTCATTAATAGATCGAATAATTCTATGATGGCCTACAATTCAATGTCAATGGTTCAGAATGATGCAATGAATGCCAATCAACAGGGCCAGGAACAACAACAATACTCCCATATCAGCCATTATGCACCTTACATACCGTATGAGGCAAATGCAGGTATGGCCCTGCATCATCATATGTCAATGTTCAACCCAGCCTTTCAACTGATGTTGCCAGCTGGGAGTCAAATGTCACCACTGCCAATGCCTCAAGGTCAACTTCAACAACAACAGCAACAACAACAACAGCCACCAGCATATGGTGCATATCAGTATCCATCTGCCCTACCTACATCATTATCATCTGCCTACCTCAATACACTAGGAACCAATTGGTTTCCAAGTAACAACAGTAGTAATGCCAACTTAGAGAATCTTATGACTAGTGGTGGCTACCCACAATCTGATCTTCAAGCACAACAACTGCTGGCAGTTGACGAAATCCCTCTGACCACTGGAAATCAAGGCGACCTTTCCATAACAGCCTCACCTAAGAAGAAAAAGGCCAAGACAAGAAGACAACGTGACTTGAAAGCCTGTGAAGTACAAATTGATTACAAGCCAACTAAATTGAAAAGATTATTGGACTTTAAACAATCAGGTAGCACAAGCATTAATGATTATAAGTTAGTGGATAAGGATAATCACGAGATATCTATAGATTTCAATGGGTTCTTGAATGGAAGATTCTTAACAAACGACACTGATAACAACAACTACATCTTTACCAAAAATGAATTGCAACGAAATAGTGGTGATACAACTCCCCAGATATCCAATCAAAAGGAAGATCCTAAAGTCATTTCATGTTATAGAAGAAACTACATTCAAATATCTCTTAATATGAACATTCATGGTTTTAATGGAGATTCAAAATTGTTAAAGTTACAAACTAGTGAGTATGGATATACTGTATCCCGAGTCATCAAATATTTCAAAGTTGAGATCTTAGCAACCACTAATATAGCAAATAGTAAGAATGTTCCAATCTTAATCAAGAATGATCCAAAGGATGTCGAGAAGGAGAAAGAAAAGGAAAGCAAGAAACAGACACAACAACAATCTTCATATGAGTATAAAGATGACTTAGTGCAACCAAGCTCAATTACTTCCCATGAACATATTATAATTCTTAACAATGACACCCCTATTGAAAATGGTCAAATCGATAAATTCTTTGTTGTTAAGAAATTACAATTCAAGAATGCAACTCCAAATAATGGTAACCTTACATTTCAAAACTATTATCATTTAAAGATTAAATTGAGTTGTATTGTTGCTGATCTTTATTATGATGATTATGTTGAAGATGAAGGTACGATAGGTAACAATGCATCTACTACTGCTAATAATGGAGGTAATAATGAAGTGGTTTTAGCTGAATTAATAAGTGAACCAATTATTGTCCGTGGACGTAATCCAAGTTTCTATGCTGAAAGAAAAGATATTCTTATTAAAGGGAGATACTCTACTTCAAAGCGTTCATTCAAGATTGCTGCTCAATCTGCTCAAGCTCATTTACAAAGTGGTGAAGAACAAGACACTGACTATCATAATGAAGATGAGGATGAAGAAGAAGATGCCAATGTTGTTGATACCATGAACGTGGATGAAGAAGACGAACAACAATTTCCACGAAGGATTTCTTCAATTGATGAAAATGCAAATGGTGCTGATGAAGATGGATCTCCAATTTCATCGATTACAGATGAAGCGAGACCTGGCCTGCTAAATCAATTGGTGCTTTCCAGTAATCAACAAGTACCTCCATTGGCATATTCTACCAATCAGCTGGCACTTGATTTGAAATCGGTAAAGGGATATAAGTATTATCCTATATCCAACGTATATTACCTACCACCTATTAATGTTGTATATTTCCCACATAGAGCACATCAAGCACAGAAGGAAGATGTGGAAGTTCCAATAGAGCCAGTGGTTAATCAAAATAGAAAAAGTTCCAACGTTTACTTCAAGTGAAAGAAAGTTCAAGAGATTTCTCGGTAAGTTTCCTTTCACTATTACCTTTGCCTTGTTCAATTTAGAATGTTTGTTTATTAATTATGGGATACCTTGAGGTTGCTTGCTATTTTTGGTGAAAGCCAATGGTAGGTTATTTGGTTTTATTATTGTCATTTTTTTTTTCAATTTGGTTTGTATTAAAGTTTATAATATTTGTTATTGTTATTATTATTATTATAATTGCTATGATTGTTAATAGGTTCATGAATTATATAGTTATATCGATGTTTATTTTAATGTACAATTAACACGTACGTATATTACTCTGTGTTAGTCGTAGCTTGATATTATACTACTTTGCCGCAAATATAGTGGCTGAAAATAATATTTTTTATGTAAGATTTACTTTCAAGAACAAAGATACGCAATTACATTCAAAAAAATATATTTTAGATCCGACACAACTCTTGTTGATTAAACTTTTTAGAAGATGATAATTTGTTGCAAAAAGCATTCTATGCCGACACTTTTCTGACAAACAGGTACATTTAAACCAGAAACTAAGACCCAACAGATTCCCCCTTGTGCATGAAACTAAATTCATTTTGACGCTCGTGCAGCATTAGCGAGTGATGTCTAGCACATTGTTCTATCTGTAGCTAATATAACATTCCATTAGGTTGTCTAGCTGCCGTCACCATGCCATTCGGGAATTATTTACCACTTAATTAACAATTGATGACATGTTGATTACGAATGTTTCTCATCAGACACAAAATTCTATTTGCTACACTATAACTTTTTCTTTTATAGATAGGGGGAGAGAGATAAACGTATGACCAGGGGCACACTGTATTGAACAAAGGTTTTAAGGAGCAAAACGCAAAACCCTAAACTGGGTGTAAAACCTTAATTAATGCGAAGTTATATATTAAGTTTGAGTGACTATTATTTTCTTCCCCGCTTAGCCTTACCTATTGCACTAACCACAACTCCATCCACAGGGGTTTATCGTCAACAATAAGAGAGGGTTTAGTTGCAGCAGAAAGAAAAGTTTGATAATTATTCCTTCTCTTAAACCTGAAAGCTCTGGTTCTATTTATAATTGGGGGGACCTTACTCTAGCCACGGCCAATTCTCCGTGTCTTCCTTTTAACCTTATTCTTGCTTCCAGTGAACAAGTAGTCTATCTGCTGCGGTTTGTTAACTATCATATGATCACGTCACACCACCGGAAGTTTAAACCCGCTAGATTCGCCATGTAAAAAAAAGCTTAGTTTTGATATCTTAATCTTAATTGAAAAGTATACTTACAACATTTTAAGAACCCAACAAACGTTTCTAGAAATATGGTAATTAAAGTTCCGATAATGGCGTATTAAATTAAGAGGGAATTTTTAAGCTTCAAGAAAATGAAAATAAAAGTTTATTCTTCCTCAGGTATTGTACTTTTAGTTTATTGTCGACAAATAAGGTTTTGCCAAAACTTTCATCGGCAAGTGCAAGCTATGCTAGGAGTTAATACGATAACCAATTGGCTGGGGAAAGGCAAATGTTCTTGTGATAAATGGGGACGTCAACTAGCTAACATTGCTGTACACTAGCAGCCACTTCAAGGATGCTAGGATAGTTCTGGAGAGGAGGTTGAGAGTGCAAGCTCCTCATTAAGTAGGCGACGGTATAAGAAACAAGGCTAAACACAGGTAAAACATGCAAGCAAGACCATTAAATCTCTCCTATTTATTGTGAGATATGTCCAGGGTTGAATCCAGAGCTCCAAGGGAGCTAAATTGTCGGTAGATACCATGCCAGAGTCAAGGCTCCAGAAGTCCCTATCGATCTACACAACTGGTGAACCACCGTCTGGCCAATTTAGAATGGAATTTTCTGATAAAATTACTAGCCAGAGAGCTGTAGGTACATCTGTAACCAAGCAGCCTATCGTAGAGAGTACAAACAAGGGAAGCACACCAGAAGAAGCAAAATCTATTCTAAACGAAGTGGGTTGAGAGATTGATTTGAAACGACGTCACTACATACAATAACTCTGAAGGCTAAACAAATAAAGGATGGAAGAGCAACTCTCCCTGGCGACTCAAGTATTCTGATTTATAGCACAGTAAGCAGCAGCTGGGATTGTGGTTGCCGGATTTGCTTTTCTTGTGTAAGGCATTACTTTTCAAAGAACGATTCGAAGTTAGCATATACTGTAATAGAGGATTTAAGGATTGTTAAACTACAACACAAAAATAATCGAACTTCCCATGTTCATTTATTAAGAAAAAGCCAGTTTTCTTGCTTAGTATAAACATATAAACAAAATAAATAAAACTACTACTCAAATGATCTATTCTCTAATAACAATGGAAGCAGCACCCATACCGGTACCGATACACATAGAGGTTAAACCAATTTCACCCTTGTTTAATAATCTTAAGATGGTAGCATATTGTCTAGCACCAGTAACACCTAATGGATGACCAATGGCAATGGCACCACCATTCTTGTTAACCTTTTCTTTTGGAATATTACAAGCTTCAACGGAATAAAGAGCTTGAGCGGCAAAAGCTTCATTAACTTCATAAGCAGTGATATCATCAATGGTTAAACCAGTTCTCTTTAAAACTTCAGGAATGGCATAAGCTGGACCAACACCCATAATTTCAGGTGGGACACCAACAACGGAACATGCAACGAATTTAGCTTGAATTTCGTAACCTCTTGCTTCAGCAACAGATCTTCTCATTAATAAGACAGCAGCAGCACCATCGGAAATTTGAGAAGCATTACCGGCATGGGTACAACCACCAAAAGCTGGTTTAATTTTAGATAAAGATTCAGGAGTAACATTTGGTCTTGGACCTTCGTCAGTATCAACAATGATTTCCTTTTCAACGACATTACCGTTGCTGTCTTTGTTTCTTAAAACGGATTTGATTGGTAAGATTTCATCCTTGAAAGCACCAGTTCTGACAGCCTTTTCAGCCTTTTGGTAAGAAACGGCAGAGAATTCATCTTGTCTTTCTCTTGAAATGTTATATTTGTTGGCAACATTTTCGTTAGTGTAACCCATTGGAACTAAACATTTAGCCATTTCCGGATCGTTAACTAAATGAGGATCAACCAGAGGAATAATCAGGGCACCGTAATTCTTGGACATAGATTCAACACCACCAGCTAAACCACAATCAATTTCACCGCATCTAATCTTGTTGGCGACATCAGAGATGGCCATTAAACCAGAAGAACAGAATCTGTTGATGGCAATGAAACCAGCAGTGTATGGAATACCAGCGGCTAAAGCAGCACCTCTATGTTCAGTGGCACCAGCGGCTGGGTTTAAGACGTTACCCATAACAACATCTTCAATTAAGGATGGGTCAACACCAGTTTTTTTAATGAATTCTTTTAAGAAGTTGGTTAAAATGTATTCAGAACCAACATCCTTGAAACTACCTTTGAAACCTTTGGCAATAGCAGTTCTATAAGCACCAACAATGACAACATCATCTGGATTCTTTTGTAAAAGAGCTTGCTTTGAAGATGGGTTTAATTGTCCACTTAATTGGTTGAGTCTATCCATTTTTTATTTATTTGTTTATTTGTTTCTGTTAGTTATCAAAAAGGTTTTGCTTGATGATTAATGATGATATTAAGAATGAAAAATGAATAAATGCAAATAAGGGTAATATTAAGATGAATTTATATAATTTTAATTTTGCCTGTGAATTCGAAAAGTCTCCGCAATTTTCAAAGTTTTAATCCGCTGAGAAATTAAAAAAAAAATTAAAAAAAAAAAAGTTAATCCGAGGAAACAGAAAAATGATTTATCCCGAGGTTAATATATTTGACATCATTACACTACACCGAAGTACTACTACTAATACAAGATATATCTTTAACAGGCGAAACAAGAATCAACGGCCGATGGCTCATCTCCTCAACTGATTAGTAACAAAACTATTCATCTCTCTCGGCCGTAAGAAAGTAATGATGTAGAGTTTACCCATAGTAATAGGCATTACACGAGTCTTCCGATATGCTCGTTTACTTTCAAGTTTACGTTTTTAGTATTAGATATTCTTTGCATACTATTCAACCCTACAGTTACCCATGACAGCAAGCCATGACTATTGAATAGATCTATACTCTGTAGACATCATAGAAGCAAATCTATTGTCTTGTCTTCTCGGCAAGTAGAGCTACTCATACCAAAGCCGAACAATAAAGTAGGAACAAGTCAGAGGGCTGAATTACGTATTGATTTAATGGTTGAGAGAATTAGACTAATCCACGGGAAGCAAGCCCAAAAGAGAAAGCCCGGAAACTGTTTATTCGGTATAAGTATCTAACAATCGTGGGGTTTATTAAGATCTTTTACAATGGAATTGATATCCGAGATAAACTTACACTTTATACATTTTCGTGGGGAAAACAAAAAAAGAAATCCCGACGCAAATTTTAAATTACCGAAATTAAACTTCTTGTTTTAGCGCGGGTCCATTTCTAAATAGAAATTAAACCGACGTTTTGATTCGGACAAGAATATTGTGAAATAAAACAGTTTTGCGCTAAGAATTATTTACCCCTCCATTCCATTCTCACTTTTAATTACTCATCGCAATACTTAAAAAAAGCGTTGATACATAAAATTATGAAAAACTCTGGTAATATCAAAACAGTTGTATAAAATTACTTTTGATTATAAATAATACATAAACCATAAAATATAAAAACTCAGGTTTCTCTTTCAAACAGGAATATTCCAATAAATGGTTCGATATCATCCGGTCTTCCTTCTGGACATTTGCCTTGAAATATTAATGTAGGTACTTCTTCTTCTTTATATTTTTCATCTTCTATTGAACCACCAACCGCTTTATCGGTATCTTGTTTACCATTACCAATATCACCATGCCCACTGTCAGGATTATCTCCATCATCATCTTCTCCATTCTTAATACCAAATATTTTAGTGAAATCTATCCTCAACATCCCTTCTTTATCAACTACTACATATAGTTTATATTTTTGATCAATTAAATCATTTGAATCATTATAATGAATTAATCCTTTAGTGGAACCAGTAATTAATCCCATAGTAGAACCTATTCCCATAATATTTGTTCCATTAATCTTGATATATAATCCACTTAATCCAAATGGTGAACAATGTAATTCTAAATCACATTCATTGGCATATTGAAACGACATTTGTTTTTCTGTTACCATAACTGCATGGTCTATTGGTGTCACTGGTGTTGTCATGATTTGTATACAATTTCTTTATCTTCGGAGATGGTTATTTCAGTCCTTATATTTTAACTGCTGTTCTTTCATTTTCAGTGCGGCGAGATTTGTACCATTGACAGAAAAAAAAAAGAAAGAGGTTCCCCCTCAAATTGAACAACAGTACACGACTCATTGCAAATATATTAAAAGATTCTCTTTCCAAGTATTGAATTCCTTCTCTGAAAGGCAAAATGATCCAATATTATTAGATAACCAATTCAATACAATCAACAAACTGTTAGTATCAAATTTAAACTTTGAAAAATTATTCATTAAATTCTTTTCATAACCACGATATTGTTTTGTTATTTGAACTAATTTGAATTGATCATCTTGACAATAATTCAAAATCAAATTAGAACTAAAGTTATTTGCCATAGATATACTTAGTTGACCTTCTGGATAATTGATTGGAATTGAAAGCATGACATCTATAGATTTATTTCTTCTCCAAAGTTCAGGAATAAGTTCAGAATTGATATTAAGAACTGGTAATGTAACCTTGTAATAATTCTCTTGAGATGATTTCTTGAATAGTTTGACGGACTCACCCAATTTACTACACATTTGGTCAATAAGTTGATTTCTCATGTCTAATACTTCACGGGGGACTTGTTTCACTTGTTTATTTATCGTAACTTGTTTTGGTTTCGGTTCGGGCTTCTTCGCCAGTTCCTTCTTCACCGGTTCAGGTTTCTTTATAGTCTTAACGAACTTAATAGTCTCTTTCTTCTCTTGTTTCAAAAATAATTCTAAATATTTATCCAATGTCAATATCATCGATAATAATCCCGGGCCATCCACTAATTCAATCTCTTCGTCAACTAATTGTCCTTGTGCAATTGTCACAATTCTTTTAAATCCAAGTTCTACATTCACGGCAAATCCTCTTGGAATATCGTCATTCAAAACAACAATTTTTGGCCGTTGGGTCTTATCTTTAGGATAATTGGCAGGAATACTTATATTCAATTGTAATCTATCTAACTCAAATGGAAATTCGGGATCTGATGGTTTTAAACACATTGATATATAAATAGTTGAATCTGGTTGATTCTTCATAAATTCCAATAAATATTTTTGTAGATTGGATAATCTGGCATGATTCTTATATTGATTCTTAAAATAATCAGGTTCATTGGTTTCTTTCTCTTTGATTTGATTGATTAATGTTTTAATTGGAGTGCCATTTAATGTGACTGGTTTAAATGCTCTTATTAATTTAGAAATTTGTAGGAATCGAATATTGGTTGTAAGATCTTTAGTACCTTCTGGTTGACCAGATTTCTTACCTCCTCTTTGTTTATTTCTTTGAGGTTTCCGTTTCCGTTTGTCTTTTATTTGATTGTCCTCGCCACCTCTAGGCTCATTGGAATGAGCTTGCTTTGGAGGATTGTCTTGTTGTTCCATACTTTCTTACTGTTTCTAATAAACACCAAAAAGAATGGAAGCAAGAAAATCCTATTTATATTTTCTGGTGACTGACTCATAGAAGCTGAAAAATTTCTGTAGCAGCCAGAGATAGAGAGATCATCTCGCAAAAGAAGAATGAATTATTCCACTTAAGAAGTGCAATCAAATGAGGTACTTTCGAAATGAGATAGAACTTGTGAAATGGACTTTCAACTATGTGATAGTTAACAAACCTTCTGGTATAGTGTGTCAAGGTACTGAATCCAATACTTTATTAGCTGGATTGTTAGAAAAATTTAAACATCTTAATCCAAATCCATCTCAATTTAGAATATCCCAAAGACTTGATAGATTTACAACTGGAGGATTAATTGTGGCTAGAAATGGGAAATGGGCTAATAAGATCAGAAAATCATTTGCTGATGAACCCCTGGATTTAAGTCTTATGAGAAGATATGTTGGTTTATTGGCTATACCTAAAAATAAATCAATTCAAGACTTGGGATTGGAATATTATGTTGGAACCAATCCTGAAGAATCATATAAAGGATTGAAGTTTAATGATGAGACCTTATCTGCGGGAACTATTGATTTTGATATAGATGCTTTGGAAAAGGATTATCGTGGACCAAAGAGACAACGTCAATTATTAAAGTATGATGCTGTCACTAAGTTTCAAATACTTGAACATTTGGGTAGAATCCCCAGTACTAAAATGACTTCAAAATATCCGGATCTCTTTATGAATAGAAAGATTATTCCCCTTGTATTCGAATTAAAAACCGGAAGAAAGAATCAAATCCGTGATCATGTTTTACAAGCTTTTAAGATACCTTTGTTAAATGATGACAATTTCGCAACTTTCAAAACTCATTCGGTTGACAATTATACTGATATTAATAGTTCAGTTTTTAAATCAAATCAAATTGGTTTACATTCCGGACTTTTAAGGATGAAGAATAAAGACAATGAAGAACAGAGTTTTGTTTTCCCCATATGTGCAGAATCTGATCGAGAGTTATGGGATGGATTCATCGACCAGAATGGTACATTAATTCCTGAAATATCAAAAGAATTATTAAATTGGAAGTGTTAGCCTTTCACTTATTTGCCTTCTGAATCAGTTAGCCAACGTGTAGAAAAATTAATTCCAAAGCAAAAATACATGTACATAATAAATAATAACATTCGGTGACGATGGTGTTAGAAAACTTGAGATTACTACAAGAGATTGTTGTTTAAATCGTTAACAAATCTATTCTAATACCTAATACATACATTTACATCGTTATCTATAACTTTTGTCCCTAATTTTATAAGAAACCAATCAAACAAAGGAGCAACATCCCAGTGCCGATTCTTATTTTAGTTGATCCACCTTCTACAACAGTCGTATCATCTCTCTTTTGTAATCCAGTTGGTTGGGGAACACGGACAGTTGTAGTCATCGTTTGATATACAACTTTCAAGACTACTTTTGGACCCAAAGAAGGTTGAACGGTTGTGAATTGGGGTTGTGGTGTAGAAGTAGATGAAGGGCCATATGTCGAAGTAAATGTTGCAACTGTTGTCAATGTAGTCACTTGATCGTCATCATAACTTGCCGATGGGGTATCAGAATATACTGGAGCTGGGCTTGATACTGCCGAGTATACTGGAGCTGGGCTGGATGTAGGCGTGTTTGCAGGAGCAGAACTGACTGGAGCCGGTTGAGATCCAACAGAACCCAAAAGATTGGAAAGACCATCAAGGAATCCATCGTTTTCAGCAGAAGAAATATCCCAAACAGAAATACCACCAAAAGCAGGGTCTTGACTAATGGCAGATAAAGCATTTTGAATTTGAGATAAACCAACAAATCCAGAACCAGCAGAAGCAACAGATCCAGGTAAACCTAAATATAACTTAACATTCTTATTTGGAGAAGTTGACTGGGCATAGTCACTCCAAGTTTGCCAGTTAAATTGACCATCTAAAGAACAGTAATTGTTGTAGAACTGAATAAAACAAAAATCAATTTCTGTTTGCAGTAAAAGATCACCAACAGATTCATCTGGATATGGACATTGTGGGGCTGCAGATAAGTAATATTGCTTGGAGGAATCCCCATTAAAGTATTGACGTAATTGATTAGCAAGGGCAACATAACCAGTTTGATCCTTATTCTCAATATCAAAATCAAACCCATCGACAATAGCGTCATCGAATGGTCTTTCATTATCTTGACCACCTCCAAATTTGTTCCACATGGTAGTTGCAAATTGTTCTGCGTCAGAGTCAGATGTGAAACCATATTGTCCTGTAGCACCACCTAATGATAACAACACTATTTTGCCTTGGGATTGACAAGATTTAATATCTTGTCCAATATTGGAGCAATGTAAAAGACCACTACTAAACAGTTGAGTGCATTGGTTAGCAAAGTTTAACTCTAAATTGGGGAATCCATTCATAAATGACACTATGATAATCTGAGCGGGTGTTGAAGAACAATAATCTCCTAAAGATTGTTGGGATCCACCAGCATTCTGTCCCCAATAAGCAGCGATATTATTGTTAGCATTCAAGTTAAAAGCTGAAGCTATTGAAACAATAAGGGTAAATGTTGCTATTATTTGTGAAAGCATACTTAGATATTGTATAGTAAAGGAATGTAAATTAGTTGGAATTATAGAAAGAACTCATAAACTTGGTCTTTTCTCAACCAAGAGGAAATTTGGCAACTTAAATAAGATTTGATTCTAATTTGCAAAAGATTAGTTTCAAAGTGTTGAAAAGAGGTTGAAATCAAGCCCCCCGTCAAAGGGGTGTTTTCAATAAATTAATAAGTCATCAAAACATCACCTGAAACAAATAACTAATAAGATCTCATATCTATTCCTAAATCAGTTATGTTTATAAATTTATACTGAAAGGGGTAAAAAAATTGCAAACTGTTTAGTTGTTGCAAAATATTCGTAAACTTCATGCAATTAAATTTTTTAGTCTCAGAAAAAAAAAAGCTGAAACGCGTATAAATTAAGAATCGTTGTTGTGTTTTTTTCGCCGACAGGGAATCTTCATTATTGTTTCAAAATAATGAAACAATGAAACCACGCATCATTTTTTCGTGCGACAATTCACCAAATACGATTTACTTCATTTCCAAATTAGGAGATTTTACTTCAAACGTGATCTCATTTCAGGTTTAAAAGTATTGTTTTACTTATTTAAGTTAACTAACACAAAACAAAACAAACATATTATACCGCATCGAAGACAGGGGTCGAAACAATAGGTAAGCTTATTGACTTTTCTAAAGGAGAAAATGATGGGGATTGTGTTTTAAGTTCGGTGCGTGATTGTGGTTCGTCGTCTATTTTTCTTTACAATCTGAAACATTGGTAACATAGAGAGATATCAATAACGTACAACTTTCAACCACGTTTGAAGACCTCTTGTATTTGGTTTTCCGGGAATCTGTACCTTGTTTCCTTTACCAACGCTTTTTTCACGAAGGAGGAAACCAAAACAATTAACATATTGAAAAAGTTCTACGGAGAAGTTTCACCCTTGCATCCATTTAATTAAACTACGCTGACGAAATATTGAAGAATGAAATAGAAACAAAATAAAAGAGTTACAGAACATACATAATACGGAATTGAAATGATTGAAATGCAAGCGGAAATAACAACAATGGCACCACCCGTCTAAAGCATAAGAAGTGCCAAGGCGTAAATGATACCACCAATACTTAAAGTAGTCGCCAAGTTCTCAGAACCATTTGAGGTAGACAGATCAGTGGAGCTTGCGGTACCTGAAGATCTGGCACTAGAACTGCCGTCGCCGGATGTGCCACTTGAGTTATTATCATCATCACCTGTGTTGGTAGATGGGGCTCCTCTGCCACTAGCAGTATCTGAATCTCCTCCTCTTCCTGTAGCACTAGCAGAGTCGTCGTCAGACTTGTTGGAATCATTTGTAGTTTTTGAGTCTTTATCAGTAACAGAACCAGTTTTGGAATCGTTGTCGTCGGTAGAAGATTTACCATTGCTACTCTTTTCATCTTTATCACTACTAGCTGATTTATTATCCGATGATGAAGTTTTCTTGTCGTCGGCCTTTGATTCTGATGTATTCTTATCATCCTTCTTTGTTTCAGACGAGTCTTTGTCATCGTCTTTAGTTTCAGTTGGGATTGGGACGTCTGAGTATACACTTAAATTTTGGCAGAATGTTCTTTGCAAAGCACCAGGTTCGTTGTCACCAGCATCATAGGCAAAGTCAGGACAATTTTTAATACAGTCACTTAAGGTTTCCCAATATTTCAGATCTAATTTACAAACGCAAGCCATAACTGCAACAGCACTGTTTTCATCATAAGCATCTTCGCAATGCTCCATTTGGTAAGTTCCAGCTTCGACGCAACTTCCAGTACATGCCGTATTATCAGCTCTTTTTAAATTATGAATTTGCTTTAAGTCAAATGCTGTTGCAACAGCAGCTAAAAATATTATGTTCAAAAATTTCATTGATTTTTGGAATTTGATTCTTTTAGGAAGAGATTACCATTTGACTAGGAAATGGAATGGAAGTGAATAACCAAACTATATATACAAAATTAAGGGGGGTGTGCCTTTCCATTTTCGTCTGCGTCTTGTTTACAATTTTTATTTGAAAGTGGTCTTACATAACCACATTTTTACCGCCAAAAATAAAATAACTTTAAATTGATAATGCTTACTTTGTAGGATGATCATAGATCCTAACAGGAATTTCGGTAAGTTGCTGCATGGATCAGCCCGTACATTAGAATATATGTTGAACAGATATAAGGTTTTACTTAAGCCTCGTCACGGTTTGGTTTGCAAAAAGATTTACAAACATAATATTGCTGTTACCCACTGGAAAACTCGTTCGCGATTCAGAAATTTCAATTTCCGCGTTCAATACCTTATTCTGGAAAAATATAAATAATTTTAATAGAAGAATTTCTTGTTGAAACTAATCAAGTGATTCAATTATTATATATAGGTAAAATTTTATCAGTATTTGCATTCTCGTGATATTCTATAAACAAAGAAGTATCTTCCATGTGGCTGAAACCCACAAAATCAGAGCATAAAAGAAGAATATTTTATTCGTTTTGTGTTTAGTTTTATTTTCGATTAGTTCTCGCTTATTTTTCTCCCCCCACATATTTTTTCACCTCGGAGCCAAATCACGAACAAAGGATTTATTTAGTGGGGGCCATAATAAACTTTCTAAGCAAGATGAGTTAATGTGATAAAAGGAAAAGAATATTCTTACATGTAAAAGCGGTTTCAGGTAATGTTCAGAGCTCTTTCCTGTTGAAGTAGGCTATGTTTGCGTTAGAAATATTACGTACCACCGTCAGAAGAAAAATCTGCTGAAAATCTAACCAAATCGGAAGTAAATTTACCAAATTGAGTTCAACCAAAGAAACAGTTTGGGATTTTACAAGCGATATGCTAGATTACATATGTTCAACAAAGTCATACTCGTTAACATCTTATGGATTTACTAAATACTTGTTTTCACAAAGTCGCAATTACATCAGTACCTTGTCGATCAATTATGAGATCTTTCTGTATTGTTGATTCCCATTCCGTAATTCACAAATTAAAGAGAAGAGTTCAATGAAGACTTTGACCAAATTCTACTGTATAACCCAACACATTATATAATAGCCGGGGAATCTAGCTTTTGCAGGGTCATATCTAATTGTTGATACTACTTGCACTTGACACTAAACAAGCCAATTTAGGCTCCTTCCCTGTATAACATGTAGCGTCAATGTCGCAAAAAAAAATATAGCAAAATGCTTAGAAATCTTCGGAATTCAAGTAACATGTTGAATTTTGAGGTCAAAGCTAAAAAGTCGCCATTTCCGAAGGTGTATTTTTATTTGGACTCCTGCAAATTGCCATTTCGCAGCTAAGCTTGTGGAAAGAATACTTCATTTAAAAAGGATATTAAACGCAAAAAAAGGTAAATCAAGAATTCAAATGTGCATTGTTTTATATATGTACATTGCTCGAAAGATACTGGGAAATTACTTTGATTGATTTAAACTATAAACTAAAAGGAATTCTTCAAGTAGGACAGAATATCATCTATGGATTTCGATACAACTTGTTTCTCATCCTCATTGGAACTAAACTTATTAAATTTCATCACATGCAAACTCAATACACTAAGTTTGACAACTGTGCGGTAAATCAATTTAATTCCAAATCCATTTGGATTGACGTTTATGGAAAGTAGCTTTTTAGCTTCTTGAGAAAAATCATCCTTATCCAAGATCGAACCACCCATGGGAAGAAAATTCATTGGATTCTAATTTCTCATAAAGTATATTTGATTGCACACCTTTCAACGTAAATCAAGAGCGCCCATTTCGCCTTAATTAGATTCGAAAGACAAATTTCATTGACAAAGACAGCCACCAAGACGATTCAATATATCAAAAGTCAAAGTTCCCATATTTGGTTTTGCACATCAAGGGAATGAGACACGTTCAACTGGATTGAGATGTCGTAATATTTTCGATAGCGAAAAGCTGTAATATGTAGAAATTTAATTTCGGCTCCCAAAATATAGCACCTAAGGGATTCTAGTTCTGTCCAACTAGTCAGAAATTGTTGCAAATGTCAGGACACCGTTACTGCGGTTTACCGACCCAAATTTCCTTCTTGAGTTGATTTACCAGAATTTAACATAACATGGATCTAAGCCTCGTAATTAATATGCATCTAGGATTCACCCATAATCCAAACATGTGCCATTTTATGGGAATTTCTTACAGTAACCCAATTATCAGCTTTCTGGATTGCAATAAATCGATCTCGCATTCCTTTTATATTCCCGGAAACCAGCTATTCAGGGATGAAACCGATTGGTCTCGAATTACCCAGCAGTGACGTAATCACACTCCCACATTTCTCACCACCACATGTGTAAATTTAAGAACAAATGGATACACCAAAAAATGCTTTAAAGTGTTAACTAGTATGCTGGAATGGTGAGTAACCAAAATCTATCTGTTTAATCTCGTTCTTCTTCCACCAATAAACATTACTAATCGAGTTCCCTGCAAGATTCTCATTTGTTTCAAATTTGCAAGCAATAATTTAGGATTCGGAACATTCTTATTATAACATATGGAAATTTAAGCCTCCTTATCCCTAGAAAGTTGTTCGCAATTTGAAGTTGCGTTATTTATAAATAAAGGAGTTAAATAATAATGAACAATGCGGATTCCAAAAATAGAAATCAAATTACAAAAAATAATTGCCTCGAGGAAAATCCACTTTTTGATTCATCCCCGCTACTCGATCTATATTCAGGGGTTGTTTCCAGCAAAATAGTTTATACCAGCCTGGCTTCTGGGCGGGAGCGAGCTATTTCCAATCGTGTTCATCTTCAACGCAAAGAAATCAAATTTATCTAAGGAATTGCAAACGGATATTCAAAATTGTTAAGCTTAACTTTTCTCTCAAATGGTTGAACTTTAATCCTCTTACTTTATAGGATCACCTTCTCAATTACAGGGGTGGTTCATAGGCGGATGTCTCATTTCTGAATGAATAAATATTCAATATGAAATATTTATTATTAAATGACCTTATTGTTATGCACATTCTTTTAATTTAAGCTCAATTGTGTGAATGTTGCGGAAGAAAGTTCGGATGATTGATTTCCAATCGCCTTAGTAAATTAAATTAAGAATCGTGGGGCTAGATAGGAGCTATACATAATGAAAAATTTCATGTTTTGATTTTTCCTAGTTAAGATCAACGGAACAATAAAAACAAAGTTTTTTTCATCTCATATTTTTCTCATTAAATTTGCCACTTGACATACCTTAATTTATCCGGGATTTGTTGTCTAATATCTAATAAACTGAAAGAAAGTCTGAATTTGCTACAGTCAATTGAAATAGCATCAAGCTGATATCCATCGCCTTAGCAATCGAAATGGATGCTTAGTCCTTAAGATCCCGTATTTAGAATTATCCAGAGGATCGTAAAAATAATTAAAGATCCCATTGTTCTTTGAAAAATTAAAATGTGTATGCCATTAGCCCTATTCGGAAATCGAACAAGCATTGAACAATGAAAATACAAAGCCCTGGTACCCCATTTTGTGTTAATTTACCCATTTGATTATGGAGCATAACAATTGTGTCACATTGACCCTTCTATTATTAGAACAGGGGATGCTTAACCAGCAAGGAATGGCTATTTAAAGAGCTAAACTCTCCCCTGATTTTCAAAGTTGGAAAGTTTTTCATTTCCTTTCTCCTTTTCTTTTGTCAATTATCTTGAATTATATCAATTGAAATATCCACTAAACACAATGAAGGTCTTATCCGTCTTATTATTATCCGCTATTGCATCTGCTGCTGAAACTTCCTCATCCCTTGCTCCAGCTTGTTCTGGTAGTTGTGTGGTTGCTCAAAATCTTCAAATGGCTTCCTGTCGTGAAGAAAACATCTCCGAAGATTCTTTGAAGATTTTAGAATGTACCTGTAACTTATCAAGTGAATATTGGATTCAATTGAGTGACTGTGTTATAAACTGTCCAACTTTCGCTTCTGGTGCTCCAAAGACTGACCCAACTAGTTTAAGAGAATACAGCTGTAACGCTATCAAGCCATACACTACCTTCTCTGAAGAACCAATCCTCACCACTGATGACAGCAATGCTAAGGCAGTCACCTCTGCTGCTAACACCACCGAAAGTTCCACCCATAAGACAACTTCCAATGGTACCAGTATCACCACCCACGCTACAAGTTCTGAAACTTCCGCTACTACCAGTGGATCAGAAACCACTTCTCACACTTCTTCTACTGAAAAGGCTGCTGCTGCTGCCTTAGGTGTTGGTTCTTTAGTTTACTTAGTTGGTGCTGTTTTGCTTTAAATTGCCTAAATGAAGGTTAAGGTTTTCGCAGGACGATGGTTTTTAACTAATTATTCTTAATTCGATTGACTTTTTTTAATATAACTACGTAGCCGTTTTATATAAACACTTTTTAATTAACATTTTATATTGACTTTGTATTGTAATCCACGTAATTCTTAACTTACTTTAAAGTTTCACTCGAAATTGATCAAATATTAAACTTATCGTTGGTGTAAGAAGATACTTTGAGTAGCAAAAGCTGAAAAGAATGTCCCTTCATTTTGACTTGTACAATCTTACTTGAAGAGTCTGACAATTTAAGAAATGTTTCACATCGTTGGGAAATGGAAAGTGAATTCGGAATGTTTTGAAGATCGCCGAATATCTTGGAAAAATTCTCCACGTACTTTTTAGGCAATGTTTTGCGCGCCGCTTCTGTAACATGAAGTTTAAATCGGGGTACTATCTAATGTGGCTAATGTTTAACATTCATGGAGTAGTATCGGGTGCCTTTCGGTAGAGGTGAATTTAGACAAATATGAACAATATATTAAAATAAATATCGAGGGGTCCAACCACTTATATAAAGAAAACAACAACTGTACATACATAAAATTAATCTTCATTTACTATAACAAAGCTGCCAAAAACGCATAAAGAATAGTCCCTGGTTCCAATTTTAGAGCCAAGTTTCCGCTACCTTGTGTTATGGATGGATTTATTGTCTGAGAAGCTTGTGATTCCGAATTCTTAAACTGAAAAAATTCAGGACTATTGGATGTTGATTTTTTGCTGTTGATTATTAGGGTGCTAGAAGGTGTTGCAGCTTTGATGGATGAAGTGGAAAGACTACTAGAAAGTTTTCGATTCACTGAAGTTAATGTCTCGGAGATACTTTCGACAGTGCTTGTTTCGGTAGTTTTCAAAATATTATGTGTTGCTTTTGCATTGCTGAGGGCTTTCGTCTTCAAATTTGTCTCCAATGTAGTAGTGGCCTCAATGTTGGTTCCTGGTTCGACTTGACCTTCTGCACTTGCAACACCAAATCCCATTCCTTCCATAGCTTCTTGAATTGACCATGGAATTGTTCCGGAATATTCTTCAAGAACAGAGGAGTAGGTATCCGCTGCTCGACAAAATCCGTTATGTAATCCTTGTGGACTGGTATCACCGTTTAACCCTTCATAATATGGACAGAATCTTACACAATTACTTAGCGACTTCCAAAAGGGGTCTTGCATATTACACATGCACGTGAGAAGCTTTGTAGTGCTTTCAAAATCAACATCAATTTCCAGCCCACATTGATCGTCCATGAGGTCTGCGGCTGACATACAGGCTGTGTCGCAAGAGTCCCTTTTAAATAAGCCCCCTTTACCCAAAAACGAACCTGTAGCCGTACCTGAAACAATGCTTGCGAAAGTTAAACTTTGAGTGAAGTATTGCATTAATGTAAATGCTGACTAATTGAGGCAATCAACAATGAATTCTCAAGGAAGCATAATTCAACTACCAAAACGATAAACTCAGAGCATATTTATACAAACTTCCTCCATTGTTCAAGTTATAATTAGAAAGAAACAACCAGAAGATCAACAAATATTCATTTGGCGAAGCTTGATACTACAATTCTTGGGGCATTCTTATTTCTTTTGACTTACTTATGGTTAGAGTATCAAAGGCAGCATTCCAGAGAGATTATCATGATAAGAAGCAACGTAACGGATCGAAGCAGGCTTAGTAGGTTCAGCCCCAACCAACAAAGATTCAAGATTGTTTACGCGAAAAGGCTTTTATCTCTAAATTACTGTAACTTAAATTTTCTACAATCTGGACAGTATATACTGCCATTAGACCAAGGATGTGTTTTTAAAGATAGTAAGCAAGCAATGCTTTTTCTGTTGCTAAAAATAACCAATCGAATTCCAATGACTTTAAAAGTAGGAGGCGGGGAAAGCTGCTGGCCAATGATATACGTTTGTTTCAACTTTATCGCGTAAGTTACTAGTGGGCAAAGCTATATCTTCCAAATTTCAAAGTCATTCTTAATGAACTAACATGCAGGGTAATCCTTCAGATGAAACTTCACGGTGCTATGCATGGAAATAAGGTACGGCTATAACACTAAAAAAATATAAACGGCTGAAATCTTATTTTTCTATTCTTGGAAGAGATCGGTAGTTTTCTGATCCGAAAGAAGTTTCTACGAGGGTGTGTAAAATTTCAATGAAAGCATAATATGGTTTAGCCCAATCTTCAGTGCAAAGGCTACTAGTACTCAGTACTCATTGGTAATCTGAAAGTGATTCACCAGGGTTGCTTAAAATTTCTGGTATACTCACTCGTCAGAAATCTAATTTAGAAGCAAAACAGCAATTGGAGGTTAATATTTACTTAGGAGAATTTCAGCTCAATGCACCCGCAGATATTAACAGAATATAAAATATTTATTATGATACATACTGTAAAGAAAGCATTAGAGCTGGTCAGAATTAAAATAATAAACACAGAATCTTTGATTGTTTTATTTTTTTGGGATTTTCTAAGGATTAAAGTAAAGCAACTGCCATCAAATAAAGGAAGGAACCCACACCCATAGACATTGCATCATTCTTAGTTCCAGATGTTGTTTCTGAAGAAGTCTTAGACTCAGATGTAGTCTTACTTTCTGAAGCCTTTGATTCGGAAGATGTTTCAGAAGTAGTAGTTTTTCCATTGGTTGCACTTCCGTTTGTGGTTTCTTTAGTGGTTGCACTTCCATTTGTAGTTTCTTTAGTGGTTGTAGCTTCAAGTGTACTAGGAGAAGTTTCGGTCTCACCAGTGGCAGAACCAGCTGCATTTGCAAAACCTAATCCTTGATTCCCAACATTGTTGAAAGCAGAAGGGATTGAACCTGAAAATTCTTCAAGGAGTGAAGAAAATTCTTGTGCTGTTTGACAATATAAACTTTGTAAACCCAGTGGACTTGTGTCGATACCTTGAGTATCAATATCACTACAATCTTTGACACATGTACTTAAGTCATCCCAAAAACTTCCACCAAGATGACAAAGACAATTAAAAAATTTAGTGGTAGTTTCAAAATTTTGGCCTGAGACATCACCACATTCCTTAGTTATGGTATCACTGGCAGAAGGACAACCATTTGAACAGGTAGAACTTGCTCTTTTAGATAGTCCTTGTAGATCCTCATTTAAGAACATTAGATCGAATGCAGAGGCAAAAGTAGCAAGACTTAAGATTTGAATATATGATTTCATGGTGGTCGTTGAATTAAATTGATGAAATTAATTGAAAAAGAACTGAAAACGTAAGTAGAATTGATGACTTATTTATAATCTTTTTAGACGGAAGATCGTCATCTAAATTAGCCATTGTTTTTTTCATTGGTCAACAATCAATCTAGTTACGATGGATTTTTTTTGGTTTGCAACAATGGAAGTTTGAAATATTTTTTTACATGCAGTTTTGATGCACAAAAAATGCGGAGAGATTAAATAATAAAAATAAATTAAATTGGGCTTAAGAATTGCAAATATATTAGAAAAAAACCCTCAAAATCATTTTAAAACAATAGGGCTTAAGATTTAAATCAATAAACTAGAATGACTTTAATATAATAAAATGACGCACGAAAGCCCTCATTGCAATACGATATAACGCAGCCCTATTGTCTGATTGCTTAAACCTCAAGGTATAACAAAAGTTGATCTTATGCTGTTCGCCAACAAGGTGGTTGAAGATCTCTCTAAAATGTGAGAAGTAAAAGGGTATTTTGGTCAATTGGTTTTCGTTGAATTGGTTGAAAAGATGATCATGCAAGTATCAATCGATCAGATAAAAAATATAAATCGTAGATTGTAATCGAATTTCGTAACTGCAGAAATGGTACAGCCGCCTCAATTGACCGCTGTTTCATGAGAGAATTGATATTATAACCATTTCTCAAATAGGAAGGTGATACTTTTGGGAACATCTACACGTTGAACATCAGAACATACATAGTACTGGCGAAACAGGGACAGAAATTGTAAGGAGCCCCTGTTTGCCCCCTTACTATATACGTTTTGATGTTCAACGTGTAGCTTTTCCCAAAAGTATCACATTCCTATTTGAGAAATGGTTATAATATCAATTTTTTCCTGTTTCATAGCCCAATTGTCAATTTATTTTACATGACAGATTTTAAAAAATCTAAAGAAACTTCGCAAGATTACTTTATTCATATAAGCCGATTATTGGATATTGCTTACGAAAATGACTTAATAAATCATACATTCAAAGGCTCAGCCGTTTCAGCCATTGATTTTCCATTTTCCCCAAAAAGCAAGCCATTGATTGTGATTTCCACGCATGAATGATAGATGATCTTGAAAGATAACGATGAGCTTAAGTCTTCCGAGGGGATACATTATAAGATTTTCCACGTTCTCTGGTTGAAAATTTTATAATGACGAAATAAAGAATATTCTTTAAATAGAATGGGGCTTATTTAAATTCAGAGAGGTTGGGGTGACCGTTATTGAATTGGGGGACAATATGTCCCCTTACATTAAATTAAATTATTTCATAAGAAAAAAATGATGGTAATAGTTGAAAATACTCTTGTTTGACTTGTAATAAAATGCTTTATCATATGAATGAATAATGGAAATTGAAGATTTTAAAAGTGTGCAAGTGTTTGACATATGTTATCGTCTGTGTAGTGTTTCTTGGAATCAGATTTAGTACAAGAGAGTTTCCCTGAGAAGCGATATACTGTTCGTTTGCTGGAACTATTGTATATTTGCAATGCATCAATACTGCATTGAGTGTAATTACAGAAATAGCCGGTTACATTCGAAACTTGGATGTATTTCTTTCAATTGTACTAAAAACATCAATACATAAAATACAAAGTGTTTGGTCTTTCAATTGGATAAATTTGCAGTCAATTTGGACCCGGACAAAAATTGATAAAGTGCATATTGTTTTTCTGATACAACCATGACAAGAGTTTCTAAATACGTCATATGAATTTGGTTGAATATTTATTAATTTCTTACTTATAATTGGATGTACCTTTACCATCATTCATATCGGGCATAATATCTTCAGGAATCAATCAATTTCAATGTATTGGTTGCTTTAGAACCATTCATATTTATCTCAGTAACTTATAAAGAAGGTCTATTTTGCAATCAATTGCAATGCTATCGCAACAAGAGTCAGATAAAGAGAATATTAGTTGCGTTGTTCAAGCTTACCATCGCCAACAAAAAGAATTCGCAACCTCTTCACAAAGGAACCTAAATATAGTAATTTTTAGCGAGATAATATTTTGCCATTGTTCCCTCATCTCCAGATTTCATATTTTTGTGGGTGTGGTTTTACTTTAATACAACTTAAAATTGAAACTGAATTAATTAACTTTTCTTACTAACAATTTCAATCTGAGAATTCCAAAGATTGACATGTTCCATTTGATGAATAATGATAAAATATGAAGTGATATAAGTAGTTAAGTAATGTCTTTGAATTTATAAAATTGTAACCAAGTAACAAAAATCCCACTACAAAAGTCACGTGTCGCGTGTATTTAAATTCAAATTGCTTATCGCATTGTGAAGTTAAAATTTTGTTTTTGTTAGGTTGCTATAACCCCCTCCTCTACTAAATCCCCTCCTTTATCAATTTAACCAAAATTTATAGTGGCAATTATCCCAATTCAAATTTGTTTTCATTTTTATAATACAAATATTACATCTCTCTTCAGTTGTTGGTGTTTTTAAGAGTAGGGTGTTTTACATCATCAACAGAATTCCTGTCTTTTTATATTATTAGGTTGTTATCAAGTTACTTACGCGTGTTAACTTTCGATATCCTTATCATACCCCGCTCATAACCAATAACTAAACAACATCGACATCATTATAATTATGAACGAATCATCAACTCCATCTCCTAGACTGAAACCATCGTCAGAGGATCCACATAATATGACAGACGAAGAAGAACAAGAAAATAACCAACATGGCAAAGAATTGACACCTTTACCACAATTAAAGAAACTATTAAGTTCTCATCTGTCAATTTATAATGCTTTAAATAATCCCGATTTAGATACTTCATTAGCAATAGAAACACCAAGACTATTAACCCCTGATTTGTTTACTCAACAGCAATTCTCAATAACTTCCTGGCAATCCATTCCTAGTGAATTTCAGAATTCCCCAATCTATTCTCATGCTGCTTTATCTACTATGAAACCAATTGCTAAAACCTCCAGTATACTTTCAATTACTTCGGATGAAGAAATAATTACTGATTCTACCGTTGTTGTACCATCACCTGATTCTGTAATGGTATTTGAGACTGATGAAGAAGAAGAAGATGCTAATGAAGATGAATTGCCAGCCAATTCAGCCAATTCAGCCAATTTGAATTCGTTTATAATGCCTAAAATGTCAGTTTCAGCAAGTTCTGAAACTACTCAAACTAATAATAACAAACTATTTACAATTGTTGTTATTTCAAATTCATATAAATCAGAAATTGATCAATTAATTAAATCATTGCATAATCAATTCAATACTACAATTAAAATATTACATTTTAATATGAGTGAAGTAAATAACGATGAGAAATCAATATTGGAAGATTCAGATTTAATATTTATAATTAATGATGGTTCTACTAAAATTGTAGAATTTGTCAATTCAACAATATCAGATCCTATTCAAGAAATTTATCCGAAAATAACAATTGTTAATTTAATTACTGTCAATTATTTTATTAATTTATTTGAATTAATAAATCGTTTACATCCCTATCAGATTTGGAAAGCGTCATCATTGAATCAAGATAATTTGCTTCATAAATTTACCAGTTTTATCGAATTAGAATCTGATAAAGTACTAACCCCTAAAAATTCCCAACAACTTATCCCTAGAACCATGTATTCAAGTTTGGTATCTACTAAAAAACCTGATTATAAAATTATAGAAAAGCAATTCAAGGTTGATTTACAAACTTCTACCACTTTTAATGATCCATTAAAATTATCTAAAAGTTGTGGCCAAATTGAATTATTTTTCACCAATTTGAGGAATTTTTTCATATTGGATGATGGACTTGGAAGTAATAATAATACTGGTTGGATAATAATTAGCTTTACATTAGGAATAGGGTTTGGAATAGGTATAACTAGTGGAGCTATTTCTTTGATTGGGCATTATATATCCAATGGGCTTTGGGGACCTCCTCAAGATTCAAAACTATTGCAACCACAGGTGGTACGAATAGACTCAAATACAGTAACAATTGGGAATGATATGTCAACAAAGTTCAAATTAATGTTTGAAAAATTCATTGATCAAATGTTACAAACTTCATTTGTTTTATATACTCGAGAATTTTGTGAATGTTATTTGTTTGACTTTAGTTCTACTGTTATTGATTGTATTAGAGGCGGGTTAGAAAAAGTGTTCTATTATACAGCAATCATTAGTTAGGGTTTTATTATTTTCTATGTGCTTTTGTTTCTGGGCGTGTTTGTTTCTATTAATGTTATTACAGGTGTTTTATAGTAATAAGAAATCTTCTATTTACAAATTTGGATTGGTGGTGGGGGGTTCAACTAACCATAAAGCTAACATTTCTATAAAAGTCTAACATTGGATTCTCTCCTGTTTTAGTGGTAGTTGCTTCAGTATCAGCCCATTGATCAAGGAATTCACGATGTGATTCAACACGAGGTACTTTCCCAGTAACTTGTTTATATAATTCAGATGCAATGTTAAAATCGGTAGCAAACATAATATCAAAAAATCCTTGATGAACCATATATGTTGTTACATCTACAGTTCTATCTTTTAATACTGTTTGTACAACTGGTCCATTATAAACACCGGGTATAGTTTTTGGTAAATAATTAAAGTCAGAACATAATAAAGAATGATTTGGGAATCTATGTTTTAAAATATGGAAAAAGTGTAATAATCTTGTTGGAATAAATTCACCAGGAGTTAAATTATCTTTAAAAGGAAGTATTGAATTTTTCATTTTTAATTTAGTTGAAGAATGTAATAATGGATGTATCTTATCCTTATCGGTTAAAAAGGGAATTACACTCTTTATAGTCTCCATCTTTCCTCGAATTGAATTAGATTCATCTAAAATTGAAAGGGATCCACTTTCTCTTAAATTAAGATAGGCATTGGAATAATATGATAATTCTGGAGTAAAGAATTCATAAAAATCTCCATGTTCATCAATTAACACTTTTCCTTCAAATGGTTGACCAGTCAAATTATCATAACGAATTAAATCATGAGCAAAATTATCGAAAACTTCAAGAGCTATAAAGAAACAAGGTTCAGTCACAACTTTATCCCATTTAAATATCGATTTATTATAAATCTCTAGTTTTGAAGAATCCAATCCATGACTTGCAAGTTTGTTATTAAGGGCTTGCTTCATTTGTTTTGCAGCCAATTGACTTGAAATTTCAATAATTTTATATTTAGTTCTAGCATAAATATCTGGTTGATTTTTACGAATATAATTTAAGATATTACACATCAATGTACCATTTCCTCCACCCATTTCATAAATTATTAAATCTTCATATGGATAATTTCCATTTAATTTATAATTGACAAGAATATACCTTGCAAGAGCTTCTCCATAATGAGGTTGGAATAATTCTGTAGGGGTATGCCATAATTGTAATGATTTTTTAGTAGTTTGGATTTGACCTTTAGTAGCTTCTAAATCCATCTTATGAATTTGTAAAGCACGGTTAGCAAGTTTAGATCCCAGTGATTTTTGTTCAAGTAATTGAGGTGGAGCTGATTGTTGTTGTTGTTGCTGCTGAGATTGATGATCTTTTTGATCATATTTTGAATATGATTTCTGCCAATTGTCAATAAATTGATCAATATCTTTAATATTCTTATAATCAAATGGAGTATCAGGTTGATAGATTTCAACTTCTTTTGAGAAATAACCATAATTTGGATTATATAAAGAATCTTCAATAAAGTCAGAAGTAGACATTTTCACTCTTGTAGGACGATTGGTAAGTCTAGCTAGTTTATCTGAATTTGTCAATGGGTAACTATCAAAGACTTGTTGTGGTGTTTTATTTCCAAATGGATAATTGGTACTTTTCCTATAAATATATTCAATTGCATTGAATCCAGGATTCAGATTATCATCCTGTTGTTGTAATGGATGTGGTGCTCCTAGATCAGGGAAGGCAACCTTCTTTGGTTTACTTGTAATTGAACGTAAGGAATCATTTGAACCTGATACTTTAAATGCATAAGTATCCGGTCTAATTGAATATTCATGATGGAATCCTTCATTATCATCTTTCTTTCTATATATTTGAAGTCCTGTTGTTACATTCTTAAGTCCTTTGAATAAATACCGACGTTGTAGTATCAATCGACATGAATTGTTAGCAGGTTTACGTATAACAATCATCGTTACTTCTTTTTAATAAATATGGTCTTCAATTGGGTTGGCCGTCTTTACATTCAATCATGAGAAAACTTTTTTTATATTTTTTGTCTTGCGTCTTACTTCTTACTTCTTCTGGGTACATCTTATTTCCTAATTAGGAAGTCTAATAGAGAGGTTACTTGCATTAATACTATACTCCTGTTAACCTCTTTAGTTATTCTGTTAATAAGGATCAAATAAAAATGAATTCTTAGATCTAATGATTCATCTTATGGAGCATTCACAATCTATTGATTTATTCAAATGTAGGTTCAATCCATTTCCAATGTCGAATCTATAATGTGTTCACTACATGTCACAGGAAGAGAATGACAATATAATTCAGAAGAACATATACTGTCAACTCAAAATAGATATGGATTATTTATGAATTTTGACTAGAGAATCATTCTTTAAAGAAATTAGTATAATGGATTCAAGAAAAACATTGAGTATATATAACTAAAAAAAATCAAACGATAACACTAAGAATGAGCAAAAGTAAACCACTCCAAACAGCAAAGTGCCTATACTTAGAAGCAGAACCATCATAAGTAATTACAGGTACTATTGTCAGCTCTGAAGGTTTAGATGAAACTGATTTCTCAGAATGTGAAGCATCAATGCTTGACCCCAAAGCTTCGTTACTAGAACCTCCCAAAATCGTAGATCTATGAAATTCACCAATTGCAGTTCGACTTTTTGGAATTGTATGGTATTCTGTAATGGTCCCAAGCAATGTGACCGTTTTAGTCTTCAAATTATTGGGAATTTCTCCAGAATTTGGTTCAGGGAAGGTCGTTGTCTCAACAGCTATAATACGAGTGTCAATTACTTCGGTATTGAAATCTTTAGTAGATCCATGAGATTCCTGATTGCATGTAAGACAAGATGAATATTCGTGGCTACAGCTAGCACAACTATTTGAGTGTTTAGTCCTTCTGTCTGTTTCAACCTGTGATATCTCTCTTGAAGTTAACAAAGAAGACGAAGTCTTTAACGTGGTTGACGTGACAGGAATGGAAGAATTGACAAATGGTGGAATAGGTATAGTACATGTCGGACAGTACGCAGATGGCAAAACAACCACTGTTACCGATGTATATCCTTCAGCAATTCTTGAACTCAACATGTACGTGTGTGAGTCTGGACTGTTTGGAAGTTGGTCAGTCAGTGTTACAAGTGGGGACCCAGCTGATATTGATAGGATATTAGAGGACTCATTTAATGAAGATTGTGGGAGTGAATGTGGAGACTCTGCGGATGACGTACATGTTGGACAGCTTGTGGATTCTGTTTCAGATGATTCTGTTTTATGAGAAGATTCCAATGCTGTAGATGAAATATCACTTAGCCTTGCTAACGATGAACTAGTGGACATATTACTGGATGGTACCCCAGTCGACAGCATCCCTCGTATTGATTGATGTTCCGATTGACTAGATGAAGGTTCTGTAGAAATATCAGGCGAAGTTTGACTTTCATGACTTGTAGAAGGCTCTGTTGAAGTTTCCGTGAAACCTTCAGAAGACGATTCTCCGTTTCCTTCGCTAGCTGATGATTCCTCCTTCGAAGTTGTAGAAGATTGATCACTTTCCTCTCTAGATGACGATTCTTCTTTTTCACTTGTGGAAGATTCTTCAGTAGTAGCAATAGATGATGATTGTTCAGTTTCACTAGTGGTGGATTCCATAGATGATTCCTCTCCTTCACTTGTAGAAGATTGTTCAGTAGTAACAATAGACGATGATTGTTGCGTCTCACTAGTGGATGGTTCGATAGATGACGATTCTTCTTCTTCACTTGTGGACGATTCTTCAGTAGTAACAATAGACGATGACTGTTCACTTTCACTTGTGGATGATTCGCTAGATGATGATTCCTCTTCTTCACTTGTGGACGATTCTTCAGTAGTAACAATAGACGATGGTTGTTCAGTTTCACTAGTGGGCGATTCGATAGATGACGATTCTTCCTCTTCACTTGTGGAAGATTGTTCAGTGGTAACAGTAGATGATGATTGTTCAGTTTCACTAGTGGACGATTCGATAGATGACGATTCTTCCTCTTCACTTGTGGAAGATTGTTCAGTGGTAACAGTAGATGATGATTGTTCAGTTTCACTAGTGGACGATTCGATAGATGACGATTCTTCCTCTTCACTTGTGGAAGATTGTTCAGTGGTAACAGTAGATGATGATTGTTCAGTTTCACTAGTGGACGATTCGATAGATGACGATTCTTCGGTACTCAGCGAGAAATTGGTACTTTCGTCAGTAATTGTAGAAGAGTCTTGATCTTCAGTGCTGGATGGTAATTCCGTCGATTCCACGGAGCTACTGGTAGGAGTTTCCTCTGGTATCAAATCGATTACACTTGCCGTTTCTCCTGGTGGCGCCGTAACAGTAATCGTCGTATGGGGACCATTCCTGGTGCTTGTAGTCGTAACGGTCGGGATAGGCACCTGAACAACAATAGTAATTGTTCCAATACCTGTATCAATTGGCATAGTTGTAAGTTGAGTAGTAGATCCAGTGTAAGTTTGAGTCACCACTACTACTTGTTGACCATTGCCACCAGGGGAATCATTCTTGTACGGACTCCAGAGTATATCTTGCAGGTTGTTTGTTACATAATAGCTGCCAACACATTGGTATTGGTCAAGATATCTCACTCTATTCTGAACACCATTACGTACGTCCATAAATACCTCTGCAAAGGGAACAAACCCAGCTGGAACATTTGTAA